TACGGAATGGGAAAGAGCACAGGGAAGATAAGTATTTATTTTTTTTTTAGAGGGCACGGTAACGAATCTTGCAATCTGATTGGTTCTTTACCCCGTCAGTATTTTCCTATCTCTGCCCACGGGCCACGGTAACGCTTTCGTGAGTCGCTGAGTACATCTCAACTTTCGTTGCCATTTTTCATAAATATACCTCGTTTTGCCGGCTGGGCAGTATTTTTATGCAAACACATCGGTCACTACCTCAAGCCGACTTATGAATCCTCTCTTTTCTCTCTCTCAAATTACTTTGGTTGACAAAAAAATATTGGTTTCAGAATGAATTTGTATAAGCAATAGTGTCATTACGTTGGTTGACAAGCGGCCTAAAAACCGTCTGCAATTGATTTTAATCGTTCACAAAAAGTACCCAGAAAGTTAAAACGCGAGGTATTTGGTTACAGGTAAACTGAACAAAGGAACTTTCATTCATTTAATATCTGAATTTTCTCAAACAATTTGTTCGTAGTGAAAGAGCGAGCGAAGTTTTAATTTCAGTTCGACAATAAATATACGCTCTCGGTGAGTCTTTCCAAGTCCGTTCAATTTGGACATTTGGACCATAAATTGCAGAACAGAAACTGAAGGAATTTATTGAGAAAAGGCCGCATTAAATCCCCATGTGTCTCGTTGAAGTGTGCCGTTCGAATTTAGTTTTTGTGGAGGAAAGACCAGATTTACACACGCCGTTGCAGCAAACAAACGAGCAAACTCTCACAACTTCAAAATAAAAAATTTGAATTTACTCACAATTACGTTCCTGGCCGTTTACTTAATGAACAGAGGTAAATCTTCGTACATGAATGAATCGTCGATGAGAGTCAATAATACTTTCCGTTATATCATTGGTTGTTTTTGAAGAAAACATTGTTGTGACAGTCCTTGCCAAACTAGTTCCGTTGTTTTTCAAATGTTCTTGCGCTTTTTTTTCTTACGCGCTCTCTAATTGACAGGTGTCAGATTGTGACAGATACTTGTAAAAATAATGTTTCAAACTTTGTTTGGAAGCCTTTTAAATCAACTTTATCATTACGCAAGTAAAAATGTTTCAGTGAAGCATCTCTCTTTAATTTGTTTCACCTTTACTTTAACTACCATTCACTCGCTAAAAAATTGTTCAGTTTATGGAAGATCTTGCCGTATTTATAGCCCAAAATCATTCGGGTTCTTTCAGAATGTACTTCGTTAAGTTTAAAAAAAAAAAAATATGTTATTTACCGGCTAAGGGTCGGTCCGTATGATGAAAAACTGTGACCTCGGCCTTGAAAATGCTGCCCGAGGCCGTAGGCCTCGGGCAGCATTTTCAAGACCTCGGTCACAGTTTTTCACCATACGGACCTCCCAGCCGGCAAATAACATTATGTATGCGCGCAAAACCAACTCAGAAAAAATATTACTCTTACAAAAACTATTTTGGAACGCGAAAAAAACCCTTTAACTGTTTCCGGTCCAGACATGTAATCTACGTTTGATCGACAAAATAAAAATGGAACTTACTTTTACTATCACTGCACCCAGGAAAAAATTAATAAACAAAGCAATTTAATGTACACCTCTTTAAAATAATAAATATGTCTTCTCTTAGCTTACTCTTATCGTCTGGCACACCAATTAAAGCATTCCGATATCACTTTGATCGAAAAATGTCAAAACAGATCAAGGATATCAGTTTTCTTACCATGGCGTCCAAGGCTCACACAATATTCAACTTTTCACGTACCCCTCCAATGTTCAAAGAGCCATTGAAGTTGGACTCTCATTGAAAAGTAAGCGTGAGTCGGAGAAAGAAAAGAGAGCTCGACAGTTGACATTTAATGCACGTCATAACACTACTTAATACTATAAACTGTGGTAAACCAAGAGGCCGGCAAACCGTGGTAGAATTCAGTCTCGTTGCTATTTTAATTGACGCTTTCATGAATGAAAACGAATAAATGCAATATCAGCAGTGAAAAAATAGGAGAAACTTACCGAATTGGCTCTGTTTTACGGCAAAGCGAAATGAAGACTATTCCATACAGCGACTACGCCATGTAATGGTTTCGTGTCAGTCTTCACATTCGAAGACGTCATGCCCCCAGCAGATCGCTGTTCCATTTGCAGTTTGTATTTTTGGTGGTTTCGGCGAGATGCCTTGGCGGCCGTTACCACCAAAAATACAAGGATGTCGTATAGATCAGCAAATACAAAGATGGCTTAAGGATCAGCTGCAGGATAGCATAGCTAATAAAGGAATGGCATGGCCTTCACGTCACGCCACGACGATTCGCCACAACATCGAAATATTTCAAGTAATACTAAGCAATTTAATGTTCAGATAGAGCGTCTGATGTTTTGCAAAGCTATTCGACCTAACGCTACACTATTTGTGTCTACGCTGTACCATTCTACATTACGCTGAGCCATTTCACGCAACGCTACACCATTTGTGTGTACGCTGTACCATTCGACATTATGCTAAGCCACTTCACGCAACGCTACGCTGTTTGTATGTACGCTGTACCATTCGACATTACGCTAAGCCATTTCACGCAACGCTACACTGTTTGTAGGTACGCTGTACCATTCGACATTACGCTGAGCCATTTCACACAACGCTACACTGTTTTTATGTACGCTGTACCATTCGACATTACGCTGAGCCATTTCCCGCAACGCTACACCATATGTGTGTACGCTGTACCATTCTAAATTAGGCTGAGCCATTTGACGCAACGCTACACCGTTTGTGCGTACGCTGTGCTACTCGACGTTACCCTGAGCCGTTTAACGCAACGCTACACCGTTTGAGTACTGTATTGCAAATGAGTGCCAAGCTATTCGTAATTGAGCTAGTCCATTTCACAATCTCATGTTCCAACTCAACATGGGCTACTAGACCGTTTCTCATTTGGCTAAACTATTCATGTTTAGGGTGTTCTGTTTCACGAAGGAAAACTAGACTGTCTATAATTTGGCCATGCCATTCCTTTATTAGCTATGCTATCCTGCAGCTGATCCTCCTGATCCTTAGGTCTCGCTAGTGTTAACACGAGTCGTTTTAAACCTCACAGTATTAGGGCATCATCAACCAGTGCAGCTGCACTGGCTAAGGTACTTCTTGATACCATTCTCTGAACTGCTGGTTGGTCAGGCACCAAAGTATTACAAAAAAACCAATCCAAGATCATGAGAATTTGGCAGAAGTTGACGTTTGATGGTAATTCTATTGAGTCATCATGAGGTGCCAGGGATCACCTGTCCACCTTTACTTGCGTATGAAATAAACCCACCCAATTTAAGTTCTATTCGCCTTTCAAAGTTGATTTCTGGGATTGGATTGCACAATCTCATGTGATCCCTTGCACCCATGATGACTCAATAGAATTACTATCAAACTTCAACTTACAGGTAAGTCGCGTTAACCTTTTAATTTATTGAGCTACTTATGTAAAACAGTCGGAGTATGCTCAATGAACTAATTTGATAATTGGCTGTAATGCTAGCAAAATCGCTGAACGTTTGAAGTCATCAGGGCGAAAAAAATTATTAAGTGCAAGGTGTTTTGATATTTTTCTGCTATCAAACATCTTATTAGTAGAAATCAAGCAGAGTTTTTGATGGTCTGATCTGGACTTCAGAAACAATAAAAGAAAGTGTACTTTTGACCAATTTCAGAAAGCTGAAATAAATTATGACGAAATTCTTAATGAACGAATATCAGAATTGAAAAGCTTTTATGAACTTTACATATCACAAAGTTTAAGAATATAAAAGTTTTTGCTGCATGCAATGTGATACTAGGACCAGGCTTTTCAACTTTCGAAATTTCCGATGTCGCAAGAGGTCAAAAAAGGACTTTTTCAGCTTTGACTATTGAGAGCTCAAAAAATTTTATTTTTACTTATTTCCAGAAGCTGATGTGGTTTTATTAACTTGCTACCAAAGATCATTCATTGGTCAAAGTTTCAGGGAAAACTTTGTTCCGATGCCAAATGCCCTGGACCGCTCTCACAGAGACCGTAAGTATCACATCTCCATTTAAATTGGAGGTATTGAAAATGATCTTCCTAAGCAGAAATTTTATTCGAAAGTTTTGGTCTAGAGGATATTGAACATGCAATGAACCACCGGAAAGAACATAACATGCTTGTACCAAACATAAGATAAAAGAGAATCCCGTCAAAAGCAATACAACATGACATTATGACAGTAAAACTAGAGATATAAAAATGTAATACTTCGATCATGAGTGAAAATATGGTTGCATTTAATTAGTTTTCATTCTTTTAAAATTCAGGCTTTCACGTTCTAACTTCGGTTAAAGCTGGTGCCAAGCTAAAAGTAAAGACAGAGCGATATTTGTATGAAATCTCTCAACGAAACCTGACACACAAAACACCAATGAAATACCTAGTAATTATAAGATTTCAGGCAAGAAGAGATATCTTCACACGGAAATGATAACATGTCCGTTCACTCATGCAATATTTCTAAACACTGGAAGACAAATTTCTTATCTCCGCACGGCCATGTAATATCCTCTATGTCATACTCAAGGTTTTTGTGTTGTTCGAAATTTTAAAATCTTATTGGCCGAAACGGGGAACTTGTGAATTGACTTTATTAAGGTGATACGAATCTTCACTCAAAAATAGAGGTCATCCCGCTCAATAGTCCAACGAGGGAAGAGTTTATTCATGGAGAGCGGTATGAATCAATTTCGTGTTTGCGTGTAGGAAGTTTTAAGGAAAAAGTTGGGCCTTGACAACTATGAAGCAAACTTTACGCACTTTCTACAAGCCACAAATAATAACGGCAGGAATTTGGTTCGTTTTCTTTCATAACTCCTCGTAATCAGTCGAAAGTTTAAAAACATGTAAAACCGACGTACATTTGAGGTTGAAAACGCTCTTCTTTATTTATCTCATGTTGTTGTACAAGCAATGTTGAAATTCACAATGAAAGTGATTCCCCTGTAATCCTCAAACTTCGAGGATTCTTGCCACGGCATGTTCTTCCAGTTGAAACTTCAAACCTTCCTTATCAAGGTTGGTTCTCACAAGGCGGAGATCCACAAAGTGGCTCGGTGGCATCTCGTGTATCACCTTCTTGGCTCTGAAGGAAAAAAAACAAGAATGAAAGATGAAGACAGTTTCTGAACAGTGCGTTCGAGTTGTAATTATGACCGTAAGCGATCAAAATACGTTCAGAGAAATGTGCACAACTGGAACTTTATGTAGCTGTGAAGTTAATCTGTTGAAAAGTTATGATCACAAAATTCGGAAACTTGAGAGAATTTGGCGAATGGAGAGACGTGCAAACCTCTGAGGTGACCTAAAACGTTCGGGTGCACTGCTCCTGAATATGTGTGTACATGTCTGTACACAGCAGTCGAAGCCAACGTAATTACCTGTAATTATTTTCATATCGACATTTCAGCATTTTCCCTCCTTCGACCAAAAGGTACATGATAGTGTCTCCTTTGATTGTTCCATCACAAGGAGTCATTTTCTCCGAGGTTGGTTCCCAGCCAAGCGTCCTGTTTTGCATGACAGGCCCGTCGATGGGAAAGTTGCCTCCTTGAAAATTGGTCTTGTGCACAAGAGTGTTGCCTTTGAGGCTGTCAAAGTAGGAAGCATTTCAGTACGCAAAAGGAATAAAACATACATTTTGAGTCCACCTTACGAGCTAAAGATTTTAATGGGAAAAAAAATCAAATTCAACAGGTTAGATTACTATGTTAGAAGACAAAAACAAGTGGGAAAGGAAGAAAATGACAAATGTAAAAAAAGTTCAGGCTAGTTTGTGCAAACTGGGTGTTGCCTAATTATTTTTGAAAAGCAAGCGGTTGTCGCTGTATTACACCTTTTGCTGTTCATTTACGTAAAATGTACATTCATTTACGTCAACAGTTGAAACTATACGGCAAATATACATTCATTAGCACTTCAATGAAATTCATTGAAGTGCTAATTGAATGTACGTCTCTATGCAAATTGTATTATTGAATGTCTCTAATAAGCAATTGATTGTCATACTATGCAATTGATTTTCTATTGGTGTTAATGATCAACCATTACGCGAGATTGAAAGTATATTTGTTCTGTTTGATTGTTCAAAGGTGCAATTGTTCATCCGTTGATGCTATTGAATGTTAATACATATGCAAATAGCGTTATTGAAAGTTCGTTCGCGTTCATGAGTTTCATGGAAGTGCTAATGAATGTATATTTGCCGTATAGTTTCAACTGTTGACGTTAATGAATGTACATTTTGCGTAAATGAACAGAAAAAGGTGTAATGCACTTTTGAGACTTCCATGATGTTATTCATCATGGAAATCCGTCGTGAATTTTCACTTTTTCACAAAGAGCCCAAATCTTTGTGTAGTGTTGTAGAATATGTGGGAAAATTTATGTGATTTTTTTTTAAGATCATTCACAGCTAATACAATGAATTCTGAAAACTAAATTAACAACTAGCAAAGATCCTTGTGCAATCTGCAAGTTAAAAAGCCGATTACTATTTAAATAGTAAGGAATCACTCACGTCATTTCCACGGTGGCCGTGGCACACCCTCCATCTTCAAATGTTAATTTCCTGTCGTATGTCAGACCCTCAGGAAATGCTTGCTTGAAATAGTCAGGAATATCAGCAGGGTACTTCATAAAACATTTGAATCCATACTTCAAGGTCGGTGCCACTATGTCAACGGCGAATGGAAGGGGTCCGCCCTTTGTAACACGGAATGTCCCTGTTTGTTTGCCTCTGAAATGTTCAGATGGGAATAGTTTTCGATATGGTAGTATTTTATGAACGAAATCACTGAAGTAGCATATGGCTATTTTAATTTGGTGCGTTTTCATCACATAAGTGACTTGCGTACTATGACTTCTGGACGAGTTACTATATGAAGCTTGGATCTATCTACCACTTTTTTCGAGATATACGCAGATGACACAAATGGCCGCAAGAGACAACTGAAATAATCAAATTTACTTTCGTTAGACCAGCAATGCATTCACGCAAAAGGACAATTTACAGGTTGATCGTTATGTGACATAAACTTACTCGTAAGGTTTGCCAGTGCCTTCTCCTTCGATTGTGAACGCATGACCATTGACACAGCCCTCCATAAGCCATGTCATCTTCATGGTATCGGCTAAAACCTGAATATTGGAAGAAAAAGATTTTCTCGAGAGGCACTTAGCCCGCCTATTCTATTACCTATGTAAACTACAGTTCACTTACATGTTTTGAATGAGACATCTTCAAATCCGCTCCGCAAAGTCGAGCAACGAGCACTGTTACCGCCTGAGAGGTGTGCCTTGTAGTTGAATCCAACTGATTGCGAACCGCCTTGATTTGCCAAATTTATTACACAAGCCAAACAGACAATGATCAATTGAATGTCTCATCCGCCAGACAATGTGTACACAAATTAATCCCCTTTTCCGACAGTTTGTGTAATCTTTGAAGCTTGGCTGTCTGCCTTTTTTGGCCTTGGGAATGCTTTTGCCAAAAAAAAACAATGTTGTCGGTGACCAATTTTTACATTGAACTAACGAAGCACGAAAGTTCAATACGGCATTAACAGACTCTAAATTTTACAACATCAGTTAATAATGTAATTAAATAATTATTACAGACTGTGTTTTTTACTTTTTTCTTCCGAAATGAAACTGGGTGGAACCGAGCGATACCACAGTTCTGGCCTGAAAAACTGGCAGAGTTAGTTTTAAGGATAATAAGTTATATAACTCTAGACTTCAGTTGTTCGTAGGTATTAAAAGACGCCCTTTATTATTTTCCCTACTAGAGATAATCATTTGAATCCATATTTCAAGGTCGGTGCCAGTGTGTCAAAGGCGAATAAAAGGGGTCCGCTCTTTGTAACACGGAATGTCCCTCTTTATTTGCCTCTGAAATATTCATTGTTGTAATCTTTGGCTGTCGGCCCGCGTGCGTTTTACGTCATTTGGGAGTGTTTTCGGCGAACCCCTTAGGGCAGAGGATTCCTTCAAAACTTCGCCAGATGCCGCCGAATGTTATCTAATACCACCTTATTATGTAACTTTTAAGGTGCATCTGTGAAGTTTTAGCCGAAATCTTTCTATACCTGAGAGCACCTTAAGACTATAGTTACATAACTTATTAGCCTTGCGATCTATTCAGTTATATAACTATAAACTTAAGTGCCACTCTCGCTAAGAGCGGTCCTCTCGACTTCCCATCGGAAAAAAGTTTTCTTTTATTTTTTGCCCATGAAAAGGGTTTAGGACACATGTTTCAAAAATAGTTTAATTGTTCTCCAATTCTCTTTTTTTTGCGTCGCCACAAGCCAAAAATCATTTTTGGCCAGACCACCCCTGTGAACAGCGATCGAAAGTGTCAATTTCAAAGATTTCGTCCAGCGCGCAGCGACTACAACAATGTAGCTCACGGAATTCTATCTAGCTACAAGTTACAAGGTATATTCAGTTAGTTCACAGACAAAATATAGAAACTTCAGCTGAAATATTTTTCATACCAGCGTGATGAGAGGAGACCCTGCTCTTCGACCTTAATTTGCATATCAAAAATTCACTACTTTGTACGAAAGAATTCTCAAAATGCAGGCGTTAATCGGGCCGAAAAAGCATATCAGTGCATAGTTTATACACCAATGAGGTCACGGATTGCCTCAAACCCGCGGGTATATCTCTAGCTTCCATCCACCAACTTCTTAAAAACAACACAAATCCATGTGTTTGCTCAATTGCGCTCGTGTCAAAGATCATTTGCATGATTCTTGGAATTGACCAAGATCTCCTTTTGACCGTTCAAACTTCGTTCGTTTATCTTCTACGTTGAGGATTTTAGAATTTCACAGCAAGTGAATGGAGATTAGATGCCGAGTTGTCTTAAAACATTGCGTAAACGTGATCGGTCGTAACGCTTGCGCGCTTGCGTGACTTACAAAGTAAACAAGGTGATCGGAAGGCGCCTTCTCGATAATTTACGTTGAAATATCAGGTCATGAACTACGCACAGTGTGGAGAAAATCAAAATAAAAGAATAAAATTTGGCACTCTGGTCATAACAGACATATCGCGTTGCTTGAAAGGACATAAAAACAAGTTAAAATAGGTTGCAGTGTTTATATTTACAAAACAACACACATACACTCTGAAATAATTCTTGCAGTTTCTCCCGATATTTAGTATACGGAACCCGATGAACTAAACCTCCTTCCCGCAGGTTTGTTTCCATCACTAATGATGTTACGCTCTTATGGACCACAACGGTTTTGAGCAACAAACTCGACATTTCCTTGCGACCATCAAAATCAACTGGACAAACCCAGCTTGATATATTGCGTGACGTGATTGTGCAAAATTTTCCCCTTGCCATATGGCCTGTTTCGCGGGTTCTACAAATTGAAAGCAAAATTAGTTAGTGTAACAAATTAAAATCGAAAGTTATTAAAATGGACTGAAGAATTTTACATTTTAACGCGAATTTTATCGTTTAAATGTTTACTTGATTCACGGAAAGCAAAGATTGGAGTGGCTTTGGATAGTTAAGCCCTGACTTCTCTCCTGGGACGACGTATCGAGTTAGTTGAAGTACTACTAGCTATCCAGCGAAATCCTCGATTACAAGTTAAATTTGTTTCGTTCCGGTCAGTTTGACCACGATATGGAAAAAGATATAACAGTTATTGGTATGTTCTAAACATCTGAACACTTAAAGAAACATTAGAAATGCGGTTGAGGTACTTGTTAACAGCCACAGCACAAGGGAAAATGTGAGGCAGTAAAAGAAAGCCAGACTGACTGGAGATGTTTTTAAAGTTTTCGGAATTTAAGTTGTATTCGTAGCACATGAGAAATATATTTGCAATTTCTCGAGAGTGAAGGCTATTATTTAAGTTGCTCTTAGTATTAAAAGATGCCCTTTATTATCTGCCCTACGATAGATAATTATTTGAATCCATACTTCAGGGTCGGCGCCAGTATGTCAAAGGCGAATGGAAAGGTCCGCCCTTTGTAACACGGAATGTCCTTGTTTGTTTGCCTCTGAAGTATTCGTTTTTGTACCCTTGGCAGTCAGCCCGCATGCATTTCACGTCATTTTGAGTTTTTTCGGCGAGCTACCACTTTTAGTTATTTTTAAAACTTTCCTAAAACGATCTTAGGCGAAGCCCTTAGGGCAGAGGATTCTTTAAAAACTTTGCCAGATGCCGCCGAATGTTATATTATACCACCTTGCATAATATTATGTAACTTTGAAGGTGCCTCCGTGAAGTTTTAGCCGAAACCTTTCAATACCTCAGAGCAACTTATATTTATAGTTACATAACTTACTAGCCTTGAAACTTACTCTGTCAGTTTTTCAGGCCAGAACTGTGGTATCGCTCGGTTCCACCCAGTTTCATTTCGGAAGAAAAAAGTAAAAAACACAGTCTGTAATAATTATTTAATTACATTATAAACTCATGTTATAAATTTAGAGTCTGTTTAAGCCATATTAAACCTTCGTGCTTCGTTAGCTCATTTTAAAAATAAGTCACCGACAACGTTGTTATTTTCGCCAAAAGCATTCCAAAGGCCAAAATGGGCGGACAGCCAAGATTCAAAGATTACACAAACTGTCGGAAAAGGGTATCAATTTGTATACACATTGTCTGGCGAATGAGACATTCAATTGATCATTGTCTGTTTGGCTTGCGTAATAAATTTGGCAAACCAAGGCGGTTCGCAATCAGTTGGATTCAACTACAAGACACACCTCCTAGGCGGTAACAGTGCTCGTTGCTCGACTTTGCGGAGTGGATTTGAAGATGTCTCATTCAAAACATGTAAGTGAACTGTAGTTTACATAGCTAATAGAAAAGGCGGGTTAAGTGCCTCTCGAGAAAATCTTTTTCTTCCAATATTCAGGTTTTAGCCGATACCATGAAGATGACATGGCTTATGGAGGGCTGTGTCAATGGTCATGCGTTCACAATCGAAGGAGAAGGCACTGGCAAACCTTACGAGTAAGTTTATGTCACATAACGATCAACCTGTAAATTTTCCTTTTACGTGGATGCATTGCTGGTCTAACGAAAGCAAATTTGATTATTTCAGTTGTATCTTGCGGCCGTTTGTGTCATCTGCGTATGGCTGTCTAGAAAAAAATGGAAGATAGATCCAAGCTTCATATAGTAACTCGTCCAGAAGTCATAGTACGCAAGTCACTTATGTGATGAAAACGCACCAAATTAAAATAGCCATATGCTACTTCAGCGATTTCGTTCATAAAATACTACCATACCGAAAATCCTTTCCATCTGAACATTTCAGAGGCAAACAAACAGGGACATTCCGTGTTACAAAGGGCGGACCCCTTCCATTCGCCGTTGACATAGTGGCACCGACCTTGAAGTATGGATTCAAATGTTTTATGAAGTACCCTGCTGATATTCCCGACTATTTCAAGCAAGCATTTCCTGAGGGTCTGATATACGACAGGAAATTAACATTTGAAGATGGAGGGTGTGCCACGGCCACCGTGGAAATGAAGTGAGTAATTCCTTACTATTTAATTGTCAATCAGCTTTTTAACTTGCAGATTGCACGAGGATCTTTGATACAAAAGGAAACGTTTCTTATTTGCTTGTTGTTAATTTCGATGTCAGAATTCATAGTATTAGCTGTGAATGATCAAAAAAAAATCATACCAATTTTCTCGCATATTATGTAACACTGCACAAAGGTTTGGGCTCTCTGTGAAAAGGTGAAAATTCACGACGAATTTCCATGATGAATAACATCATGGAAGCCTCAAAAGTGCATTAATACAGTGACAACCGCTTACTTGTCAAAAATAATAAGGCAACTTGCCTAATTTTTTTTACATTTGTCATTTTGTTCCTTTCCGGCTTATTTTTGTCTTCTAACATAGTAATCTAACCTGTTGATCTAGATATTTTTTTCCATTAAAATCTTGTAACCTCGTAAGGTGGACTCAAAATGTATGTTTTATTCATTTTGCGTTCTGAAATGCTTCCTCCTTTGACAGCCTCAAAGGCAACACTCTTGTGCACAAGACCAAATTTCAAGGAGGCAACTTTCCCATCGACGGGCCTGTCATGCAAAACAGGACGCTTGGCTGGGAACCAGCCTCGGAGAAAATGACTCCATGTGATGGAACAATCAAGGGAGACACTATCATGTACCTTTTGGTCGAAGGAGGGAAAATGCTGAAATGTCGATATGAAAATAATTACAGGTAATTACGTTGGCTTCGACTGCTGTGTACAGACCTGTACACACATATTCAGGAGCAGTGCACCCGAACGTTTATAGTCACCTCAGAGGTTTGCACGTCTCTCCATTCGCCAAATTTGCTCTAGTTTCCGAATTTTGTGATCATAACTTTTCAACCGATTAACTGCACAGCTTCATAAAGTTCCAGTTGTGCACATTTCTCTGAACTTATTTTGATCGCTTACGGTCATAATTACAACTCGAACGCACTGTTCGGAAACTGTCTTCATCTTCGAGGTTACCAGAGCGTTGAAGAAGATGATTTAATACCTAAACTTCTCATTTCAGCAAGAACTCACGGATCATTCTTGTTTTATTTCCTCCAGAGCCAAGAAGGTGATACACGAGATGCCACCGAGCCATTTTGTAGATCTCCGCCTTGTGAGAACCAACCTTGATAAGGAAGGTTTGAAGTTTCAACTGGAAGAACATGCTGTGGCAAGAATCCTCAAGGTTTGAGGATTACAGGGGACTCACTAGCATTGTGAATTTCAACATTGCTTGTACAACAATATAAGATGAATAAAGAAGAGCGTTTTCAACCTCAAATGTACGTCGGTCTTACATGTTTTTAAACTTTCGACTGATTACGAGGAGTAATGAAAGAAAACGAACCAATTTCTGCCGTTATTATTTGTGGCTTGCAGAAAGTGCGTTAAGTTCGCTTCACAGTTGTCAAGGCCCAAGTTTTTCCTTCACTGACCTGTGGTAATGACATGATTTTTATCGAAACATTTTCATTTGCGTAATGATAAAGGCGATTTAAAAGGCTTCCCAAAACAGTCACTGATCGAACGGAAAGTATCATTCATTCTCATCGACGATTAATTAATGTACGAAGATTTCCCTCTGTTTATTAAGTAAATAGCGAGGAAAGTAATTGTAGGTAAATTCAAATTTTTTATTTTGAAGTTGTGAGGGTTTGCTCGTTGGTTTCTGCAATGGCGTGTGTAAATCTGGTCTTTCCTGTACAAAACTAAATTCGAATGATACACTCCAACGAGACACAAGGGGATTAAATGTGGCATTTTCTCTTTAAATTCTTTCAGTTTCTGTTGTCCAATTTACTGTACAAATGTCCGAATTGAACGGACTTGGAAAGACGCACTGAGTGCGTATATGTAATTAAAACTTCGCTCGCCCTTACATTACGAACGAATTGTTTGAGAAAATTCAGATATCAAATGAATGAGAGTTCCATCGATTAGTTCAACTGTAACCAAATACCTCACGTTTTAACTTCCTAGTTACTTTTTGCAGACGATTACAATTGCAGACGTTTTTTAGGCCGCTTGTCAACCAACGTAATTACACTGATGCTTATACAAATTCATTCTGAACCCACTATTTTTCTGTCATTCAAAGTGATTTGAGAGAGAGAAAAGAGAGGATTAATAAGTTAGTCATTGGCTTGAGGTAGTGACCGACGTCTTTGCTTAAAAATATTGCCCAGCTGGAAAAACGAGATATATTTATGAAAGATGGCAACGAAAGTAGGGATGTACTCGGCGACTCTCGAAAGCGTTACCGTTGCCCGAGGGCAGAGATAGGAAAACAATGACCGGGTAAAGAACCAATCAGATCGCAGGATTCGTTACCGTGTACTTTGAAAAAAAAATTATTACTTGATATCTCATTGGTGTTTTGTATCATAGGTTTCGTTGAGAGATTTTATTCTATACTCGATACAAATCTCGCTCTGTCTTTACTTTTAGCTTGGCACCGGCTTTAACCGAAGTGCAAACTTGAAAGCCTGAACTTAAAAGAATGAAAACTAATAAAATGCCACCATATTCTCACCCATGAACGAAGTGTTACATTTTTATATCTACAGTTTTATTGTCATAATGTCATATTGTATTGCTTTTAACGAAAATCTCTTTTATCTTATGTTTGGTACAAGCATGTTATGTTCTTCTCGGTGGTTCATTGCATGTGCAATAAAATTTCTGCTTGGGAAGATCTTTTGCTTAGGGTTGCAAAGTATCACAAAAAAACCAGTCCACGAACATGAGCATTTGGCAGAATTTGAAGTTTGATGTTTAATTCTATTGAGTCATCATGAGGTGCTAGGGATCACATGCCTACCCTTACTTGCGTATGAAATAAACCCATTTAATTTAAGTTTTGTTCGCCTTTCGAAGTTGATCTCTGGGATTGGATTGAGCAATCTCGTGTGATTCCTAGCACCTCATGATGACTCAGTAGCATCACATCAAACTTCAACTTGCAGTTTAGTTTCGTTTAACTTTCAATTTATTTTATTGAGCTACTTATATAAAACAGTCGGAGTTTGCTCAGTGAAGTAATTTGCATAACCGGCTGTCATGCTAACAAACTTGCTAAACGTTTGAAGTCAGCGGAGCCAAGAAAATTGATAAGTGCAAGATGTTTTGGTCTAGAGGATATTGCACATGCAATGAACCACCGCGAAGAAAATTACATGCTTGTAACAAACATCAGATAAAAGAGATTGTCATCAAAAGCAATACAATATAACATTATGACAATAAAACTGTCGTAAAAATGGTACTCACAAGGCGGAGATCCACAAAATGGCTCGGTGGCATCTCGTGTATCACCTCCTTAGCTCTGGAGAAAAAAAATCAAGAATAATCCGTGATTTCACGCTCAAATACGAAGTTTAGGTATTAAATTGTTTACTTCGACGCCCTGGTAACCTCAAAGATGAAGACAGTTTCCGAACAGTGCGTTCGAGTTGTAATTATGATCGTAAGCGATCAAAATAATTTCAAAGAAATGTTCAGAACTGGACCTTTATCCAGCTTTGCAGTTATGTAATCTGATGCTGTTGAAAAGTTACGCTTATTTGGCGAATGAAGAAACGTGAAAACCTCGGAGGTGACTCTAAACATTCGGGTGCACTGCTTCTGAATATATGTTTACATGTCTGTACACAGCAGTAGAAGCCAACGTTATTACCTGTAATTATTTTCATATCGACATTTCAGCATTTTCCCTCTCTCGACCAAAAGGTACATGACAGTGTCTCCCTTGATTATTCCATCACAAGGAGTCATTTTCTCCGAGGTTGGTTCCCAGCCAAGCGTCCTGTTTTGCATGACAGGCCCGTCGATGGGAAAGTTGGCTCCATGGAAATTGGTTTTGTGCACAAGAGTGTTGCCTCTGAGGCTGTCAAAGTAGGAAGCATTTCAGAATGCAAAATGATTAAAACATACATTTTGAGTCCACCTTACGAGGTGACAAGATTTTAATGGAATAAAAGCCTCTAAATCAACAGGTTAGATAACTATGTTAGAGGACCAAATAAGCCTGAAAGGAACAAAGTGACCAATATAAAAAAAAAACTAGGCTAATTTGTACAAACTGAGTTTTGCCTGATTGTTTTTTGAAAAGTAACCGGTTATCACCGGTTTAATGCACTTTTGAGGCTTCCATGATGTTCTTCATTTTGGAAATTCGTCGTGGATTTTCACTTTTTCACATCAAGCGCAAATCGCAAATAACTCAAAAATCGCAATTTCCAAGTTAAAAAGCTGATTAACAGTTAAATAGTAAGGAATTACTCACCTCATTTCCACGGTGGCCGTGGCACACCCACCATCTTCAAATGTTAATTTCCTGTCGTATGTCAGACCCTCGGGAAATGCTTTCTTGAAATAATCTGGAATATCAGCAGGGTACTTAATAAAACATTTGAATCCATACTTCAAGGTCGGTGCCACTATGTCAACGGCGAATGGAAGGGGTCCGCCCTTTGTAACACGGAATGTCCCTGTTTGTTTGCCTCTGAAATATTCAGATGGAAAGGATTCTCGATATGGTAGTATTTCCGAACGAAATCACTGAAGTAGCATATGGCTATTTTAATATGGTGCGTTTTCATCATATAAGTGACTTGCGTACAATGGTTTCTGGATGAGTTATTATATGAAGTTTGGATCTATCTACCATTTTTTCCGAGACAGCCATACGCAGATGACGCAAACGGGCGCAAGAAACAACTGAAATAATCAAATTTGCTTTCGTTAGACCAGCAATGTCCACGGAAAAGGAGAGCAGGTCGATCGTTATCTCACATAAACTTACTCGTAAGGTTTGCCAGTGCTTTCTCCTTCGATGGCGAATGCATGACCATTGACACAGCCCTCCATAAGCCATGTCATCTTCATGGTATCGGCTAAAACCTGAATATTGGAAGAAAAAGATTTTCTTGAGAGGCACTTAACCCGCCTATTCTATTAGCTATGTAAACTACTGTTCACTTACATGTTTTGAATGAGACATCTTCAAATCCGCTTCGCAAAGTCGAGCAACGAGCACTGTTACCGCGTAAGAGGTGTGTCTTGCAGTTGAATCCAACTGATTGTGAACCTCCTTGGTTTGCCAAATTTATCACACAAGCCAAACAGACAATGATCAATTGAATGTCTCATCCGTCAGACAATGTGTACACAAATTTATAACCTTTTTCGACAGTTTGTGTAATCTTTGAAGCTTGGCTGTCCGCCCATTTTGGCCTTAGGAATGCCTTTGCCGAAAATATAAATGTTGTCCGTTGCCTGTTTTCATAATAAACTAACAAAGCACGAAGGTTCAATATGGCATGAACAGACTTTCAATTTACAACATCAGTTGACAATGTAATTAAAGAAGTATTACAGACTGTTTTTTTCTTTTTCTTCTGTAATGGAACTCGGTGGAAAGGAGCGATTCCACAGTTCTGGCCTGAAAACACTGGCAGAGTAAATCTCAAGGCTAATAAGTTATGTAACTATAGACTTAAGTTGCTCTTAGGTATTGAAAGATTTTGGCTAAAACTTCACGGAGGCACCTTAAAAGTTACATAATATTATGCAAAGTAATTTAATATAACATTCGGCGGCATCTGGAAAAGCTTTTAACGAATCCTTTGCCCTAAGGGCATCGCCTGAGATCGTTTTAGAAGTTTTAAAAATAACTAAAAGCGGTAGCTCGCCGAAAACACTTTATAATGACGTAAAATGCACGCGGGCTGATAGCCAAGGGTACAACAATGAATATTTCAAAGACAAACAAACAAGGACATTCCGTGTTACAAAGGGCGGACCCTTCTATTCGCCTTTGACATACTGGCACCGACCTTGAAGTATACATCCTAATGATTATCTCTCGTAGGGCAGATAATAAAGGGCATCTATTAATACCTAAGAGCAACTTAAGTCTATAGTTATATAACTGAATAAGTTTCAAGGTAAATAAGTTTTGTAACTATAGACGTAAGTTGCTCTTAGGTATTGAAAGATTTCGGCTAAAACTTCACAGAGGCGCCTTAAAAGTTACATAATATTATGCAAGGATATATGATATAACATTCGGCGGCATCTGGAAAAGTTTTTAAGGAATCCTCTGTCCTGAGGCTTTCGCCTAAGATCGTTTTAGAAGTTTTAAAAAAAACTAACAGCGGTAGCTCGCCGAAAACACTTTAAAACGACGTAAAATGCATGCAGGTAGACAGCCAAGGGTACAACAATAAATATTTCAGAGACAACACATTCCGTGTTACAAAGAGAGGACCCCTTCCATTCGCCTTTGACATACTGGTACCGACCTCTAAGTATGGATTCAAATGATTATCTCTCGTAGGAGGGCAGATGATAAAGGGCGTCTTTTAATAACTACGAGCAACTGAAGTCCAGAGTTATATAACTTACTATCCTTGAAACTTACTCTGCCAGTTTTGCTGGACGGAACTATGGAATCGCTCGGTTCCTTCGAGTTCTATTTCGGAAGAAAAAGAAAAAAAAACAATCTGTAATACTTCTTTAATTATATTATTAACTGATGTTGTAAATTTAGAGTCTGTTTATGCCATATTGAACCTTTGTGCTTCGTTAGTTCATTGTAAGAACAGGTCACCGACAACGTTGACATTCTCAGCAAAAGCATTCCCAAGGCCAAAATGGGCGGACAGCCAAGCTTCAAAGATTACACAAACTGTCGGAAAAGGGTATCAATTTGTGTACACATTGTCTGGCGGATGAGACATTCAATTGATCATTGTCTGTTTGGCTTGTGTAATAAATTTGGCAAACCAAGGAGGTTCACAATCAGTTGGATTCAACTACAAGACACACCTCTTACGCGGTAACAGTGCTCGTTGCTCGACTTTGCGAAGCGGATTTTAAGATGTCTCATTCAAAACATGTAAGTGAATTGTAGTTTACATAGCTAATGGAATAGGCGGGTTAAGTGCCTGTCAAGAAAATCTTTTTCTTCCAATATTCAGGTTTTAGCCGATACCATGAAGATGACATGGCTTATGGAGGGCTGTGTCAATGGTCATGCGTTCACAATCGAAGGAGAAGGCACTGGCAAACCTTACGAGTAAGTTTATGTCACATAACGATCAAACTGTAAATTGTCCTTTTGCGTGGATGCATTGCTGGTCTAACGAAAGCAAATTTGAGTATTCCAGCTATGTTTCTTGCGGCCGTTTGTGTCATCTGCGTATGGCTGTCTAGGAAAAAATGGTAGATAGATCCAAGCTTCATGTAGTAACTTGTTCAGAAGTCATAGTACGCAAGTCACTTATGTGATGAAAACGCACCAAATTAAAATAGCCATATGCTACTTCAGCGATTTCGTTCGTAAAATACTACCATATCGAGAATCCTTTCCATCTGACTATTTCAGAGGCAAACAAACAGGGACATTCCGTGTTACAAAGGGCGGACCCCTTCCATTCGCCGTTGACATAGTGGCACCGACCTTGAAGTATGGATTCAAATGTTTTATGAAGTACCCTGCTGATATTCCTGACTATTTCAAGCAAGCATTTCCCGAGGGCCTGACATACGACAGGAAATTAACATTTGAAATGGAGGGTGTGCCACGACCACCGTGGAAATGAGGTGAGTAATTCCCTACTATTTAACTGATTATAAGCTTTTTAACTTGCAGATTGGACAAAGATCTTTGAGAAAAAAGGAAAGGTTTATCATCCGCCAGTTGTTAAATTCGCTGCCAGGCTTCACAGTTATATTTGTGCATGATCTAAAACGAAAGCGACGGAGAAAGGTCTTTTGCCAACTTAAACTGTGCCACATAGTAGCACTATGTAGCGTAAAAACTCTTAAGATATCTCCGCTTTTATTAAGTCATCTGATATTCTTTTTATCAACTCATTCACATTTTCTCACATATTTGCAACATAGCTCAAAGATTTGGGCTCGATGCCACCAAGTGAAAATGACCGACTGATTTTCATGTATCTGAATTACATCACCGAAGAATCAGATACACAGTAAATTGTAATAACAGGTAAAACCAAGTTTCAAAATTTTACTTTCCTAAAGGACTGAGACAAAACTCACCACTCAAAAATAAGCCTATGATTTTCACGTACGAGATTTGCAATCCTGTTTAATTTGCTTATCCTAGACCATCGTTCCTTCCGGTCCTTCTCTCGTTTACTCTGCTTTAAAGACTTTTTCCCATTTCAATCTGTCTACCACGTAAAAAGAACTAAACATTTTTTGCCACAGTCGTTTATTTTGTTTTACTCATTGGCGTTGTGAAAAGCTTTCTTCTTGGACAGCCTCAAAGGCAACACTCTGGTGCACAAGACTGATTTTCAAGGAGCCAACTTTCCCATCGATGGGCCTGTCATGAGAAGGAAGACACTTGGCTGGGAATCAACCTCGGAGAAAATGACTCCTTGTGATGGAATAATTAAGGGAGACACTATCATGTACCTTTGGTCGAAGGAGGGAAAATGCTGAAATGTCGATATGAAAACAGTTACAGGTAATTTAGTTCGCTTCGACTGCTTTGTTCAGACATGTATCTAACTCATTCTTCATGAGTGAGTCCCTTATTTGATATCTGAGGTTGAACGGAGGACAAGTCCAAAATGTATTTCAACCAGTAAGATCGAAACTGCAGAGAAAAACGGATATTACCAATCGAAATAAGAATCCCATTTACGGTACTGGGTTAATTGAAATGTATCCAAAATTGCTTGGAATGATTTAATCACGAATGGCAGCAGTCGTGTTGTGTTGCGTGTATTTTCACGCGGAAAAATAGATTGAAAAATTGAAAGATTATTGAATGAAATCACGGCAGCTGAATAAACCATGTTGTTTCCTCTGTGTTGAATTACATTAACAAAATGATTGGGTTAATCACGAAAAAAGCATGGCCAGTTTCTTTGCTGTAAGTATTTTGAAGTTGTTACCTTGCAGATCAATTCGTTCAGCGTATAGTTTTTGAACTTTTTCTTTTCTTACTGTTAACTTCTTAGTCACACATGATACATCATGGGAGGGAAATTTCATGAAAGTATTGTACTTTCTTGATATCAACCCTTTTCCCTTTGAAGTCTTGATCTGTTTTAGTTTGGTAAGTGTAGCTCTATGAGGTCGAACTGCGGCTGTTTTGATTGTCTGTTCTTCAAGAATTAAGGCATATGCGAACAAGTGGTAAAGCCGAATCCTGCATATTATTCCTATCACAAATGTAGACCTAAAACAGCCGTATTTACACTCTTCCGATACAGACAGACACCTATCAAACCGCTAATTAGCATTATCGTATACACTATCGGGCAGTTTTTAACACCCACGACACCAACTACTAAGCCCTGTCTAGCGGTGCACCCCCGCCCCCTCCCCCCTTTAAATTTTAACAGTGATCAAGTACCGTTACTAAAAACTAACATGACCTGGTGTCTTCTCAAGATATTTTCCCAATGGATTCAACTTAAAGGAATTCCTCATCCTTAGTGCTACAAGTGTTCTGTGAGTCCTTCACAACTTTTCTCTCGGTGTTCACGGCAAACGTAATTTTTTTATTATTCAAGAACCTTTAATGTAAAAAAAACTTGCTTTTAGACATGCAAATTGGGGTACCCTCAGATAAGCACACCCTTTTTTAGTAATAGATAACTTAGTTTATTTGTCATCTTTGATTACTACTGATCTTCAATTGCCATCCTCGACAATTGTTTCAGTGCTCGAATGTCTTTTTTAAAATTGCCACAATGGCTCTCCCTTCAGCCGGTTGGTTTGACTGTCACGCTTCCATTCGACCGTGACTAGCCTTTTTTCTTTCACTCTCCTTATTAAGCCAAAACAATTCCTTAGAGTTTTATTCCAGGACGTCGCGTTTGTCTTCTGACGTCACACAATCTCTCTTTCAGGAATCTGGCGTTGCTGGTACAGAAAGCGCAGAGCCTGGGAGCTGGTTTCTGACGAAAGCTGTCATGTGAAGTGGTCCTGTAATTTCTTTAATCGTAGCACCGGTGATGTTGGCCCCTCGGAGATTAGCATCTTGTAGATCGCAGCCGGTTAAATTACAGTTCTACGAATATAATGTAAGATAAACTGTCAGATTGCAAAAAAACAAACTAAACAAGCCCGAAAAGAGGAGGGGGGGGTAGGGTATGGAGAACAAATATTGCGCTCAGTGAACCTCAACAAAATATATGTAAAAAGTCGCTCGATCAACCGGAAGCAAGTAAATTGGCTTGACACGCGCGAGCGGTAAATCTCCAAAATAGGAGAAAAGTACACGGGAAGTCACGCACGCAGGAGACTCCTCGCGTGTCTTATCTCTCTCACGTTCCCGCCGACCGCTCCTTTTGACAGAATTATGCTCAATAAAAACGTTCCACGCAATAGGTTGATTTTTTTAAAATCTAATTTCTTAAGTTTTAGCCAACAAAATCTCACCTCTAGATCAGCTCCAGCCAGTACAGCTCCTCGCAATATACAATTTTGAAGGTTTGCACCTTTTAAAGTAGCAACACGAAGGTTCACATTCCCTAATTGGCTTCCTTCCAGATCAGAATTTTTTAAGTTCACACCTGGAGAAGAAAATTATTCCATCAGTGAGTTATGTTATGAAGGGCTTTGTTGCATCACGATTCCATATTTTGCTTCTTCAGCCAAAAGTGCCGGATGAATTGATAAAATGCACGAGATGTGAGGGCACCCGCGAACGAAACAGACAGAGGAAAATACTAATTTAAGCACCGGCCATCTTCATACCTTCCAGATTAGCCCTTGTCCCAGCAGGGTCTTCAAAATTGCACCCTCTGAGGGAGGCCCCTTCCATATGAGCCCTCTGAAGACGAGTACAGCTTAAAATAGCACCCTTGATAATGGAACAAAGAAAAAAAAAGATTACATTTAACTGGATAAAGCCACTGAGTGGCACACCAGTTTTCGGTCAATAACAAAATATGAAAACACCCAGCCTCCTTGAGAGAAAATTTACCGCGAATAGTGATTAAATCGCAAGTTTCTTGCTGACAAATCCTTGGCCTCCTTCAGTGATCGCCGTTCTAATTTTGCGGAATCAAATAAATATGCCAAGACTATGACCCCTTTTTAAGCGAACTTGCCCATTGCTTGCCGTAGAATTAAAACTAACATTATAACATCACTCAATCAGAGCAAAAGTACTGAAACGTCATCACGCGCCAGTGAGAGCCAAAGCCGCGATGCTAGTGGTCATTCTAAGCGCGGGAAAGCTTGAATGGCCAAGTCACGCCTGCCTCCATCTGATTGGTTGGGAAGATGGTGCAATTTTTTTTCTGGCCAATCAGAGTGCTGCCGCCCAGAGGTAAACCAAAGCAAATCCGGATTTTCTACGACACCCAATTCATAAAATATTTTCACTGTTTCATCATACCAAAATTACAACTTATATTTTCTTCTAATGAAAAGCGTAATTCTCATACCATATTTCTACGATTTAAAAGATTTCAAAAGTAAATAAACTTATCCTAATTGTGTACTCACGTCCATATGTGCCCCGGATAGATTCGCTCTCTCCAAACAGCAATTTGACAGATTGGCATTCCACAAGTCTGTTTTTCTTAGATTCGCCATTTTGAAGTTTATGAAACGTAGATCAAGCTTCGAGAGATCTGCCGAGTCTAAATTGATTCCCTACAGAGTAGAAAAGACAAGAATTCTTGGTATAATAAACAGCTCGTAAATCAGGAGAGAAAATCACTCAGTAAAAGTGGCTAACTGTATTCATACTTGCCTGACAACGAAGCTCGCAGTTTGACGGCGTTGATAAAAGTATTTTAACAAATTCACTCCGAGAAAGAGGAGCATCTTCAACGTTTTCCATAGCCTAGGGGTTGTAAACAGAAAATTCAGGTCAATAAATAACTAATTAACAGCATAGTACCAAGTACCCTACAATAGAATTGGAGTAAGAAACATATTTAGTGTCTAGTCAATTGTAAACTGTATTTTAATCCTGAACTGGTTGGAAACAGTTTACAGTATGAAGGAAAGCCAGAAATAACGCGATCCATAGAAGTTCACCACCGAATACATACCATAAGAAATGTCATGATTTATTTATAATACAGTAATTGCTTATAGATTGGAGCTATGGACTGAGAGTCACAGCCTGACAGATACGAGAGAGCTGTCATGGGTACTTTAATTTCCAATTACTTTCTTGCAATATTTTGCTGCCTTTGCCTCTCTCTTTGCTCAACATTAGTATGCTTAAATCCCTGTTCTCCATATCCTATACCCCTTTTATCTTCAGTTAGTCTTTTGCAGCTGTATTTGGCAGCCTTAGGTGATGTTATGGAGATCCGTAAATGAACAAGCTGTGAACACATATGAAATAAGACCAAAAATCTTTTCACTGTTTATACCTTTACCAACTCTTCTAACTGTTCTAAGATGCCTGAGATTCCGAAAAACTTTGCCTCTTCTAGGACACCTACATGTAGCATGAAAAAGACATAAAAATAAATGAAAGATCATTCCCTATATTTCCCTTGTATGGAGACAGAATGACTGTGTGGTGCTGAGCTTGTTGGATTTGCACAAATCTGTTTATACAGGGTATTTATTCAGATATTTATTTCAATAGTTAGAAAAACTGGCCCAGTTCAGCTGGTTTAAACAGGGGCCTGTATAAACAATGAAACTCATTATCACACTACCTTGAGGATTAACTCCCTTGTCTAGTATGAGCTGTCCATGTCGTAAATAATTGATGATTGGTTCAAAGTACACTGGACTTCTGTCAATGAGGAAAGCTCCCGAGGCATCTGAAACATTACTCCAAGCCTCTGCAAAGCAAGAGATAATTTTTTAACTGTACATACTGTACGGTCAATCCTTAAATTCCCAGAAGTGATTAATAACATGAAACTTCTCCTTAAAATTTCCATTCATAAATCCAGCAAACAGGTAATGAGAATATTCAGACTTATCAGGTGAAAGTCATTATCCAGATCTAACACCAAATTCTTGTAGCTGATTTACAAGGAAATGTGTAGCAGCTAGAGGGGAAAATTTACAATAAAATCTTGAGAGTGAAAGGGTTGAGGAGTGACTGAATGAAAAACTAGAAAATGGCTGAGGTAGATTATAGTGGTCAACCAATAACTTCTGAGGTCAGACAACTATTTACCATAGATCACTAATGCAAAGTCAGGTGATTAAGATGACTAGGGGGTGATATATGCCATCCTCAGTTTTAAAAAGGATAGGATATCGCTATCCACAGGATAAGACTCTACCCAGTGGATAGCACAGTATACTTAACAAATAGATTCCAAGTTGCCATGTGTCTCTTCAGTAATAGATCACAGATGACATCAAAATGTGGTAAGAACATTCAGTGACACACTCGGCTGCGCCTCGTGTGCCACTTTTTTGTTCTTACCACATTTTGATGTCTGACATCTGTGATCTATTACTAAACAGACGCATGGCAACTTGGAATCTATTTGCATTATATAATAAAGAATTAAAAAAAGTTTTAATGATGACGTCATCTATACGTCTGTCCTCCAATAGATCATAAGTGAGAACCAATCAGAATGCATGCATAACTGAGCTTATTATATAAAAAGGTTGAGTTAACATTTGTCTCCTTGATAGAGATGTATCTGTTGGATAGTATTATCTGCCCTTTGAATAACTGGGACCTGATCTTTAGACTAACCTGCTGGGGAAAACATTCTTGCTAACATACTATTAGGTTCATTCATCAGTGTTGCCCTTTATGGGATAAAAAAAGAAAATACATGGATGATAAAAAAATTAGAAAAAATAAGAAAAATGGTATAAAGTCAAGTAACTAATTATTTCTTAAGTCAAAGTTCTGGACTGGAAACCCAAGAGTCTGCATTTTGTGTTGTTATTTTGTTGTTCCTTTTTTGTTTTAATTTATTCATATCAGCAGATTCAATAGACTTAGCTAACCTTTACAAATTTAGAATAGTTATTGTGACTGTACACCTTCATTATTTTCCTGGACAAGAAATCTGGATCAATGTAAGTATCTGAGAAACTGCACACCTGCATGTACCCCTCCTCTCCTTCCTCTCCTCTCCTCTAACCAAACACATTGTTATCAGTTAACTGTTTTTGGGTTAGAGGAGGAGTAGGTGTACAGTTTCTCAGATGCTGACATTGATCCAAAAATCTGCACATCATGTTAATTACCTAGTTGTAGTGAATACTCTGCCTCCCACATTAAGCGTCACCCAGTCTGTGAAGGCTGAACAAAGAGCAGCACATTCAGTGAGTCTATTCACAGTTAAACATAGTTGTTATATATGTTGTGGTTCAATTTTATCCTTGGTTTAAATTTTATTTTCTTTTGTTTTTGGGTATTGTAATGTATGATAATGAGTTTGAAACAAAGGAAAATAAAATTTGAACCACAACACATACCACCAAGAGAATATCACTTTTAGGGCAAGCTGTAATTGGCTAGCTTATTAAAGATGTGCATTAGAACTATTTACACTGTACCTCTGAGCAGCCAAAATAACAAAATAATGCATCAAGAGTCATCATAATAAGGACAGTCATAATGATGATGATAATAACAAAAATAATAATACTAATACTGATACTGATAATAATAACTCATAATACTGATAATAATAATTATGATAATGAAAATGAGAATAACAATGAAGAGGTTAGTGATGGTGATCTTGATAATAATAAAATTGTTATTAATGTATGGAGTAAACTCAAGTAAGTTAGCAAAGTTGTTAATCAGAATATTAACGGCTTGTTTAAACCTTGAAAAGGGAGAATTCACTTCCACTTACATTTCTCACCCAAAGAATTTGGTTCTGGATCTTCAGATGAAATGTAAAGCACTTCATCATCTCTGAAAAGAAAATTGCTCAGTGTTATTTAAGAGTAAATAACTAGCATGATTACAAATAACCTACAGTTGTACATGTACAGCAAGTAGGTGTATCAGTCAACATGCACTGATGTCTTCACCAAATAAAGTTGAGCTGTACATACATGAGATACCATTAACGTACTAGTATTCTCTTCAAAACATTATATCTTTGGGTTGGTCTTCAAATTGACTTAGGGCTCATAAAACCTAAACTTCAAGGAACTGATAATACATTTCATAATTTTCCCTTCCAGCTGACCTAGTTATATCACATCAGAATTACACCATTGGACTATAAGTTTGCTCATTGTCTGTCTGCATGATAAAGAACTACATTTTTGAGAAGGTGTGTGATAAACACTGTTAGCAACAATTGCGGTTCCATTAATAAATATGCGAGGTCACAAGCCATTAGTGGAAGTTTTAAACAATTCCATATCATCTTGATCTATATTAAAAATTACCTTACTAAGGTAAATTAAACTTGTTTCTTTCCACACCTGATTAAATCAATGTCATCTATCACACCTCCTTTGGCAGTGTAAACTTTGGTTGCCGCAGGGAGCCCAAGCTTGCATTTTGCTATGATGATTAATTCATTGAGAGTTCGAGGAACAGCAACAACCTTTCAAAAGGGGAACAATACATTAGAAAAATGATGCATGATAAACACATTACAGTAAACGTTTTGTGGTATCTTATTAAAACCATGTAAATATTACTTACAGTTGTACATCCATTTTTTATTGGAAAGAGTGTCATTAGAGTGTTAGCCCTTCATCATTTGCTCTGACGCAGGGTGAATGCTCAAAACGTCAGCTTTAAAACTCTTTATGGTGGCCAATTTACATTATAAACTCAGTTGATAATACTTAATTATCCTATTGTACTCTTACACCGACACAGCACCACAATTTCTTTTAAGAAATTTACCCCCTTTGCACACAGTTGTGTTTGCTTAGGTGTTACTTTGAATGAAAGGATCGAAGAATTTGCAAGTGTTACAACCAGAAAACAAGCACAGTGTATCCCCAACCCTTTTTAAATAACATCTTTGATCATCTCCTTGGTATCCTTCACCGGTGTCCCTCAGGTTCCAGAACGGAAATCTTTATCAAGTTCTCTTTCCAGCTGGGAATCAAATTATCATAAATCGCGATCAACTAGAAGAAGTCCACTTGCGAGTCGTTTTAGAAAAGAAAAAGTGATGATGAAGTCAGACGGAATATTGTGAGGATCACCTGGTATCACGTACGAATTATGCTCAAATCGCGCGCGCGATAATTTTCGAATCAATTAGCGCATAGGCATAGAAACATTCATAGCCAAACCTTTCCTGAGTGAACCGTACATCCTTTGGCAAGCAATGTCACTCTTTTTTGAGCAAATTCTGGCATATTTCATCGGCTTTGAAAATAAAACCAAAATCGGAACTTTCCTCTTTACGTTTAACAACATACTATGTTCGCGAAGCATAGAACCTGCCAGGCGCCATCATTTGACTATACGAGGTGGATTGAGTGCTCCTGGACGCTAGTGCCTAATCTTCCTCGATATAACTGAGCAGACCCATTCTTCTAGAGTGCGGAAAAGAAAGCGGACAAATTAAAGAACTAAGATTTGTTGTCGTTGTGAAGATTTTTGTTAGAAACATGGGTAAACCAACTGGACATCTCTTGCGTCAACTGAGGTCTCTGATGAAGAATAAGCATCATTTACCTGAAGTGATTCAAGCTTACATCATCCCATCTGAAGATGCGCATCAGGTATAAGTACCACGGCACTAAGTACTCCAACGTACCAAATACTCTAGGTGGCTGTAAAAAAAAAAAAAAAACTATTGATAGTAATCTCTACCGGCCTGTCTCAAGAGTATGGCAAGTACACGCACGACTTTTTCCTTCCATACCAAACATACTAGCCTTTGTACGCTCGAGATCTCTTAGAGTTCCGCCATACTCTGCAGACTGTGGTCTATTGATCGCTATACTTTTGTTCTTTAATCATATGTTTAATTAATGTGCACGCCTTTTTTTTTAAGTGTCAGTAGGTTATCCTGCCAAAAGTAGATGTGGGTAAAAATACTGAGTTGTCAATAAGAACAGCTGGTTCCCTAAGGTCTGCCATCTTCAGCGAGTACAGAAGGAGGGGTAGACGCTATTCCCCACCCCACTCCCCACTGTCCAGTTCCTCTTTGGCCCTTACAAATTAGACCCTGTTCACGTGCTTATATGGCAATAATATGCATGCATGAGTTGTGATCGTATTGTAGTTGGCTTGCAGCTTAAAAAATGACTTTGTATTTCTCAATTTGAAGAGGTCTGTTACCCTTTAAATACTTGCTTTGTTTGACTATTGTTACAATTAATAATAATAATAGTAATAATAATAATGATATTAATAATAATTATGACTTTATTATAGTATTTGTACTGAAAGGTGGCTCTTCATCTGTAAAAATTTGCATTAATATTAAAAAGTGATAATAATATTAATAAAAAGCTTTCACTATGTACAATATCAGGGCTGTTACTGCCAAAAAAGAAAAAAAATAAATAAATAAAGTAATCTAGAATATATACAAATCAAGAAATCAAATGTGCATTTGCCCTATTTATAAGATACTTCCTAACTTTAGTTTTAAAATCACAAAAAACTACAGAGTTCCTTGCAGCAGAGGATAATGAAGTAAAAGATGCATTGTCCTGGAAAGTACCTGACTCAAGGGGTACTTTTAACGTTGTTTCTTTTGAGGATCTCAGCATCCGCAAATTGAATTATGAATGTCTAGCTTAAGATAGGATGGCCAGTCATTATTACAGAAGGCTTTAAAAAACTGTTAAGTAGTTAATACTCTCTATTATTATTATTATTATTATTATTATTATATATAACTATTATTATTGTCATTATTATCAGTATCATTATTTTATTATTGATGAAATCATAATGATAAATTTTATTGCAGAAAGTGGTAAACAATTGAATAAAATACATAATCTATAATTTGAAAAAACTAAAAAGAAGTAGATTTAAATAATTTAAAATATGTACCGGGCAAGTTTCTTATAAAAAAAACTCTCCAAAACACTCCCAACAAAACATCAGATAAAAAGGAAGATAACATAGTACTGTTTGATATGATTACATGAATAAATGATAGCATTTGTTCAAGTTTTCACTTGTTCGAGTCAGTTTTTTAAGGTTTGGATTCACCTGTTATTTGTTTAATTTTCTGATTTTTATAATTTGTATTGTACAGAATGAATATCTAGCATCATGTGACCTAAGAAGAGAATTTATCAGTGGCTTTAGTGGCTCAGCAGGTATGAATGTGTTTTTGTCTTCAAATGGATGAGGTAACTATTTACTATGACCATTTGTCTTCAAATGGATAAGGTAATTATTATTTTTTAATTATATTTTGATTTTGAACTTTCTGTAGGGACTGCAATTGTCACAGAAACTAAAGCAGCACTATGGACAGATGGGAGATATCATTTACAGGCAGAAAAACAACTGGATGTAAACTGGACGTTAATGAGGGATGGTGTGTAATTTTAATGAAAAAGTTCTTGGAACCCTTTGAAGAGTGCAATCTCTGACAAAATTAGCTACCATCCACCTTTCCTCTAGAATTTTTTTGAGTAAAACCATCCATGGAAAAGCAAAGGTTAAAGTTGATTTCAGATTTAAACCCTTCAACTCCCAATATCTTATTGTTAATTCTCTCCTCTTGCTGCTACAAATTTCCTTGTAAATTAGTTTTAAGAATGTGGTGTTGGATCAAGATAACAACTTCAACCTGATAATTTTGAGTATTCTCATTACCTGTTTGCTGGATGATGTATGGATATTGAAGGGAGAACTTACGTGTTAATCACTTCTGGGATTTAAATGGTTAAGACAGGTATCTGACTGTTTTGTCAAAATTGAATGAAAGTGGCTAAGCTTTAGCCAGGAGAATACTGGAAATAAACCTTGCTATGTGACAATATCTGCTACTTACACACAATGTTGTGTACACCCGATGAATTTAAAAAGAAGAAAGTGCAACCTTAATGAGGTGAAGAGAAGTCAAAGTAGGGCTAAATGGGATTAAAATTGGAACATTATTCTGGACAGAAAGTGCAATTTTGGTGGCAAAGGATTAACTGTGCAGACTAGATATAAAAAGATAGGGGACTATTTTATGCAACCATACACGATTTAGAAAAAGCTAGCATCCCTGTAAGCTGTAATATATGTTTCATTTAGTGGTACTTTTTGCCTAGCTCTGCCGACCTTCTCTAAAGGACCGGTATGTAATGTTGATGAGTGTTAACAATATAAGATGCAGCCAGCTAATTAAGTAATTTATCACTGATTTTTTCAGGGTTATCTGAAACTCCAACTCAGGAAGACTGGCTGATTCAGGTACAGAGCCATTATATTTACTTTTATGACATTATCATTGATAATTGACGAGATTATCAGGTGAGGTAATATTGCTTATTGCTTGTGTTATCTGTGCAAGTTGAAGGTTGAGGTAGATGATACTAACAAAGGCCCTAGTTTTAAGCTGATAATTTGGACAAACTTGCAAAAATCAATTCTGAAATCATCATTCTGTTATACATGATAAGAACTATTAACAGTTATCTCTATGTATGATGTCAATTATGAGTTATACGTTGGTGCAAGCTAGAGACCAATATATTCCAATGATCATTATCTGCTTTAGAGTTGAATTTGCTGGTCAGACCTAGAATTTAACTTTTAAATATATAATTACAGATTTTTTTTCTTGTCTCCCATCAGGAATTACCCAGTGGATCAAAGATTGGTGTTGATCCATGGGTTATTACACATGGTGAGTTTATTTTTGGGATGAAACATAATAATTCTAAAATACTACTAAAATATTCAAAGAGAGTCCAAAATGTGTGTTAAATATTGGCCTTGCTGAGCAGACTGGATTAAGCCCTGGTATAGTCAATGTGTTTTGTTCTTGTACAGACACCTTTCTCTGACTTCACAGTGCCTGACTATCCATCCAGAAGTAAGAGATGTTATAGACTGAGGAAATTTGATATAAACATACAGTAGCTTCAAATTATTGTTTTAACGAAGTGCATACCTTTCTTCTGTTTTATTAGGAAAATGGGCCAAAATGTCTCAGGTGAGCTTCATGGAAAGACTCCCTACCATTACACAGCAGCAATGCATGCATAATGTAGGCATGGTGCCTTTTTGTTTTTAAACAGGGAATGGTACTAAAGGTGTCAATTATTGCTTGTTGTTTGTTGTTTGTTGTTCATCTGTCGGGGTCAACGAAGACCATGTTGTCATCCAGGGGGAGGAGAGATCAACCATGGATGCCCAGGAGGCTGGCTATTCAATCCCAGCACAGAAGAGACAATAGCAGAATGGGCAGGGGATGGTGGCTGCAGATGGTGGTTTGCTTGCTCTTGTCTTCTGAGTCAGCTCCTCAGCTGTGCAACATCTCCGGAAGGTTTCTGGAGAGTCAAAATTTTTTTCTAGGGTGTAGCAAGTTTTTTTTTAATAAATATAAGTCAATTTTTTAAACTTTTGTTCATTATTTCTTGCACAGAGTCTGTCAGCAGCAGGACTGTCATTAGTATATGCAGAGAAGAATCTGGTTGATCTGGTGTGGGCAGATCACAATCGACCTGACCCACCCTTTGAGGGGCTGATGGTATTGGACATCTCATTCACTGGTTAGTCAAAGCTGATGTAAAAAATGTACAAGAACAGGAAAATTCACTCTCTTCACCATTGTCTAGATTCTATGATGATTCATCTTGAGAATTAAATCACCTGCATAGACTAAGCTCCAGTTATAGCAGAGTCTACAGCATCACTGTTCATTTAACCCCTTGACCTTAAAGAATGACTAGCATCTAATTTCTCCTTACAATATCACCCCTAAATCACACATAAAGGTCATGAAAATATAGGAAATGATCACCAACTAAGGAAGCACTTGATTGTTAAACAAATTCTCCTTGTTAGCACCTTAGGAAATGTATAAAGACAGTTTGGAGAATATGTATACTGATTTAAGCCAGAGCTAAGCAGTAAATATTTTGATGTGTACTTTAAATGGGAATTACATTATTTCTTAAATTCAGGAAAAACCTGGCAAGAAAAAGTAAAACATGTGCGAGGAACAATGAAAAAGAGGAAGGCTGATGCACTAGTGGTGACTGCCCTGGATGAAATTGCATGTTAGTAATATTGTTACTAAAAGCCCATTATATAATTTCAGTAAATGTCTCAGATATTGTAATGTTGAACAGCTATTACAAACAAGAAGTTTTGTCATGTCAAGTGCTTCTGCTTACTTTTTCTTTAGGGTTGTTTAACTTGCGAGGCTCTGATGTGACTTTTAATCCTGTGTTCTTTGCTTATGCCATAATCACTCAAGATGAAGTAAGGTGAGTTTGCCAAAGTGGCAATGAAACCTTGCTGATTGGTAGAATGTTCAAATTGTCTAAATTTCTACTAGCATTTGTCTGGGGCTACCTTGTTTGCATTAGTCAAATGAGCAATGGGGAAATGTACAATCAATCATAACTGACTGAGTGATGAAAATTATAGCCGGGTGAATAAGTCAAATATCCAGCAACTGAAGTCCTATTTAAAATTTTTATTAAAGGATGCTATGGTCTCATCAACTAAGGTTGAACTGTCTAAAAATTGTAAAAAACTTGGCTGCTTGTTTTAAGTATGAGAAAGTTGAGGAAGAGTTTCAGTATCTTGACTAAATCATCACTATTACAACTATTTTTGTCCTCAAAAAGTCCTTGAATTATGTTTGTGTCAAGTTGTTCAAACCATGACCAGTATTCAGCTGTATGACCTAATGCAAGATACATCAAGTAATGACTCTGAATAAAAAAAATCCAGAATCTTAAATTTGTGAAAAAAATTGGTGGCATTAGTGCAAAGGAACTCCAGCCTTCAGGCACTGTATGATTCCTGTAATAAGAATAAAGCTTTGCAGTTGCTCCACTGTCTTCTTAGCTCAAACAAAACATCATTTTTTCTTTTGTTTTTCTCTTAAGAAAAGAATTGCAAAGGAGATTCTGACTAAGAACTCAAAGTGTTTTATTGCTTGCAGTTTGTTTATTGATGATTCCAAACTTAACAAAGCTGTATCTAAACACCTCGGCTTGGACAGTGAAAACGACAACAATCAGACCAAAGTTACTGTGTGTCCATATGAGGGAATATCAGATGCCGTCAAAGAAGCTGCTAATAGTGGAGCTAGGATTTGGGTATGGAAAAGAGCTTTTGATTTTGTCAAGCATTTTTCAAGGGTAAACTTTGATCACATGTTCCAATTAAGGTTGCCTGAGATTTTTCAGGGCTAAACTTTGATCAATGGTTCCTATTTTTACTAGCTGCCATACCATCTCCTTGGTTTCTTCAGAGGGGGTCCAAATTATATGATGGTTTGCATATTTAACCCTTTTCACCCTAATATCAGTATGCATATTCTCCATACTGTTCTATGTACATTTACAAAGGTACTGACAAGGAGAATTTGATTAATAATCAAGATCTTTAATTGGTGATCATTTCCTTTCTTCTCATGACCTTATTGTGTGATTTACAGGTGATATTGTAAGGAGAATTTAGATGCTAATAACTCCTAGTAATTGAAGGGTCAACAATTAGGTAATGAGCTGGAGATTTCCAACGCGTAGCAGTCATAGGTATAACATTACTCTTCACCTCATGGTGTTACCTTCATGATAACGTGTTATCCTAATGCCTTGGCTGCTATGTTTTTTGTAGATTAGTTTGTCATCCAGTGTTGCATTAGTCAGGCTTGTCCCTAAGGTAACAGAATGATATAATGTGACATAATTGATGTTAGCTTAAAATTGTAACCGCCGAATCATCCGCTGTACAGTTTGAAGTAATAGCCTGCTCATGAAATTTATCAAAATACTAAAGGAAGAAATTTATGGGAGATACTTTCCGCGAGATGTTAAGGGGAGGTTTCCACCCCTCAGAGACCACAGTAGCTGAAAAAACTTTACAATCCTTTGCGGGCCGTCTCAAGGATGTCTCGCAACAATCCTTTACCCAACCCCCTTCCTTTGAGAGGAAGTTGTGAGAAATCCGAAGGAACGGGAAGTTAAAAAGCTCAAAACAAAACAACACATTGGGATTTCTTAATGGGATCATAAATCACTATCTGCCACCGACAGGCTTACCTCTGATGTCCGCTCAGAGATTGTTGATGTTATGTTATTAAAGAGAGACGTATTTTAAACCAATTTTTGGGATGATTATTCCTCTATGTAAAACCAATTTAGCAATGGTTGAGTTTATTTGCCCACCTTCCCTTAATACCCCCAGACTCAACTCATCTCTGATCCGTCGCCACTGGCTAGTAGCAAAGCAGTCAAGAATGCAGTGGAAATCGAGGGCATGCGTGAAGCTCATGTGAGTACACGACTCCATTAACTAGGGCGTGTTTTTATAGAGTCAGTTGACTGACAATGCAAGTTACGTTGTTTTGGATTAAGAAAAAAATTGGGATAGCCTCATCGAGACAGAGACCCATGTTTAGTTTTTCCCCAAGTTTACCAAAGAAGTAAACGCTAGTGTCATCGAGATTACCTTAATTTGTCCTTTTTCTAATGTTGCCCGTCTTTGTTAGGTAATGAATTAGACCATACACACTCTAAACTAAGTGGAGTTAATTCCCATCACCCGCAATGCTGGTAGGATTTAAAAGAAAACTTTAATGTACACATACCACATGCCTTCAAAGGGCGTTCAAGTGCAATTCTTACAATTTTCAATTTGGTGTTGAGAATGGTTCGGATTGGCTATGATTTTGTTTTGGTTCACAGTATTAGATGTGTGCAAGAGACTTATGACCTCTTGATGTGTGGGTACACTATAAAAACAATCCTAGAAATTCCAATTGCAATAGAGCAGTCCTCAATTGAATGTCAAAAGTTATCCGGGATTGCATCGATTTTGCTTTGTTATCGCTGTGTGATTAGTCTAGAAAACTCACGTCACTCTCTTAACCAATCAGATGTAAAACGACGCAAAAACACCACTTGGTCACCCGCGTTTTCCCGCGCTTTTGGCATTTGGTTTGTTTTTTAAACTTTGAGCTCTCATTGGCTAATTTCCTTTCTTCTGATTGGTGGTTGTGATTACTTTGGATTTGCTTTTACGATACTCAAGCGAAAATTAAATTGGCCAATTTTATCCCTTAAAATTTATTACCTTAGTCTCTTTCTTGGCTTATTACTTTCACACAGATCAGAGATGCCGTTGCCTTGTGTGAGTATTTCTGTTGGCTGGAACAAAAGGTGAGGGTATCATCAGCTGGTTTGATGTTTCTTAACATAACAATTGAAGCAAATGCTTATGCGTTACAATCTATTCTGAAATGAATATGGAAATAAGTCAAATTTCTCATAACCATGATACTTCATCGTCAAGGTCCCTAAAGACGACCTCACAGAAGTCACAGGAGCAGCCAAACTAGAAGAATTTAGAAGGTGAGATGTTCCAGCCACACTACCAAGTTACTATGTACTTGCTAATGGCCATGTTGAGACACTTAACTCCAAGCGGAACGTACAGCAGTTGTTAGGGAGACATGACAAATGGATAAATCACGTTTTACGACTGTGTTGTTACACCATAGAGGCCTTACTTTGTATTCATAGGTAAGTCAGGGAACCTATTTTTCGCAAAGGCGGACAAATTAGTTTAACTGGCTCATGCGCCCGAAGGTCGAAAAGTTCTACGTCTTTCCCAAAGGGACTTCCTGAACTAATAGATTTTAATATTTCTCTGTTTCAGAGAGCAGGAAAACTTTGTAAGCCTGAGTTTTGAGACAATCTCCGCTGTCGGTTCCAATGGAGCAATTATCCATTACAGGTATTTCCACCCGTCATTTAAATTTCGAGAGATTGCTATATTTCTTTTAAGATATAGCTAAGTATATCGAGCGTCATACCAAGTGTCATTTAAAGTATTGATAGCTTATCACTGGTTCCGTACATCTACGAGGGTCGGTACTCTTATTCGCTATCCTATCAACTCTGATCATTCTTTGATAACTTTTTGACAAAACTGAATCATGTCATTACATCGTTTTGTTTTCTTCTTTTTCAGACCAGCTGAGGAAACAGACCGTATGATTTCCAAAGAAGAGTTGTACTTATGCGACTCTGGGGCTCAGTTCAAGTAAATGTCACTTTATTCAGATTCCACTTGAGCGCAGTCTTCCTCGCAACCGTTTTTTAGGTGTCACGCTCTCTCCACTGGAACGTGTTGCATGACGAGACCAAACAACGGCTGAAAAGAAAACTAACTAAAGCGCATTTCGATTGAGTGTACTCCAGAGAGGACACTCTTAATAGTGTAGCAGAACGCGCAGTATAAATCACTTGCCAGTATCCCATAACGAAGTGGTAACGCCAGAAACGTCAGCTTTAGAATCTTTCCTTGGTGGCCAATTCGCATCATCAACTCAGCCGGTACAACCAAATGTTCTCCAAGAAATAAGTTGGATTTTATGAACAAGAGGAATACCGAAAAAAATTATCGACTATTGCGTCTCAAAATCGACGGGTTACCTTAACCTTAAGAACCATGACCTTTGTTTCTATCCTGTTTATTTGTTGTCATCACCACTTTTATTTGTTGTTTAGGGATGGCACCACCGATGTTACTCGCACGTGGCATTTTGGTGTTCCTACAAAATGGGAGCGAGTAAGTTATTTCAGTGAATTGGGAAGTAATCGGTACTATTAGTATTTTCACCATTGAACGCAGATTGAGATATGGGTCATTTGTATTACCTGTAATTCCCCCTAAAACTCGAGATACTTCTGGGAGCAAACCGCGTTTGAAAACTCGCATCAATGTCAGTATCTGAGCAACAGCGCACCTATCCCCCCCCCGACCCAACAACACTCAACTGATAACTAGTCAGAGTAATGTTGGATTAGGGGAGGGTAGGTACGCACCTGCTCATACTGACATAGATCCGAAGACACTTCCAACTATTAGGTTTGTGTATGAATGTTGTTGTTGTTGTTGTTGTTTTTTTTTTTTCAAACTATAACGGAGCCTTTCAGGTTTTATTTTTTTATTATTATTATTTTTTAATCAGAACCCTTGTTAACGAAATAAAATATAAATCTAATGCTACCACTACTAGCAATGTCAGAATACTGAAACCCAAGCCCATCTGGAATGGACAATGTTTTTGGTGTCTGATTAAACTGGAATTCTTCCGAACAAGTTTAAGATTAATCATTTGGCACAGTGATAAAATACCTCCATAATAAATACCCAACAGTTATGCTTCTTTTTATCTTAAGGAATGTTTTACTCGTGTTCTGAAGGGACACATTGCATTGGCAAGAGCCGTCTTTCCCAACAAAACTACAGGTAATGTGCTCGCAAAACAGTACCAAAGTCAATATTTCTGTAGTGTTTAGCAGACGGGCTATCTATTTTAATGCAATTTTTCTGGGAGTGTTACTCTAAAAGTTGTTGCACGCTCCTTTAACCATTTCACTGAGGAATTTGTAGATCGCTGGTTAATTTTTTTCTGCCTTGCTTATTTTAGGTCATAGACTAGATACTTTAGCCCGCATGTCCTTGTGGGACGCTGGATTGGATTACCTGCATGGTACAGGGCATGGGATTGGCTCGTTTTTAAATGTACATGAAGGTATGTTGCGCATGCGGCGCCTGTAAGCATGCGAACGTTCAAGCAGGGCGTGTGCCAATGAAGAATGTGAACTTGTGCAACAATGCAAGAAAGTAAAGAAGCGTAAGCTGGAGACGCATGTGCCTGTGTGCGTGCATGCGTGCTACTGTTGTAGCCTTAGGGAGCTCCTTGGTTCAATTTTTGCTCGGTATGTGCCGCTGGTCTTTTAGAACCCACACCCCATTATAGTCTATTTTTTGGCCAATTACAGACCCCAGCTTAGTCATTTTTGCTATTACGGTAGCAACTTTTTAACCGCGAATCTTCCTAATTTTAAATCCTTACTGGGCAGAATTTTCCACCCCCTAAATCCAGAAATTATGCAACCCCATTGTAGTAACTCTACCGTAAATGCAGCGCCGTTTTAGTCAATCCAGTTGTGATAATTCGCACATCCCCATAAGCCTATTACTAAGAGGTCTAAGCCTACAAAGGATATGATTAGACAAAGCCTAATTTAAAGTTTACCCTGCAAAACAAAGGTTCTATTTCCAGGTCGCGAAAATAATTGAATCTCCACCTGGCAGGATTAATGCATCTTTATGCTTTGATGTTACCATGTCTAGGTCCACAGGGGATAGGATTCCGGAGCAGAGAGAATGAAGCCCCTCTAGAAGCCGGCATGATGGTTACTGACGGTGGGCCTTTAATTTTTTTGCTTAAAATGTATATTCTCCTGTTCAGTCACTAAATATTTCTAAACGCAACTCATGTGAGAATTTAGGATCAGGCCGATGAATTTGATTTGGTGACATTTACCCTTCAGAGTTCTTACAGATTGTCAAAAAAAAACCTTGAAAAGCCGCATAATTTTATAGTATCAATTCCCATGCCTGAACAGTTCTTGAGTTTATGACATTGAGTGCCTTTGATCGATAATGTTGCCGTTTTTTTTTTGTTTTTTTTTTTGTATCTTTAGAGCCGGGTTACTATGAAGACGGTGCTTTTGGAATCCGTATTGAAAATGTGCTGCTTGTAAAACCGGTTGAACTGCAGGTAAAAAGTACATTAAAACTCGAAAAGCGCTCCATCGTAATATAACTGATCTGGCAACTATCACCCGATCGATAGGCGATGTTGGAAAAGGGAGGGGAAAAGTCAACCGAGTGTTAGTTCATCTAACTTTACGGCCTCGTTTAATTCCAATGGAGCGAACGAAAACCAGATTGCTGGTTGGAAATCAAATTGTTTTCTGTGAGATAACCGTAAACCTGGTCGTAAATGATACGCTCAAACACCTTAGCTACTATAGGAACGATAGAAATTGGGCGATAATTGTTTAAGTCGGGTGATCTCCCTCTTTGAAAAGTGGGATAACCTTTGCGCATTTCCATTCCTGAGGGAAAACACCTGATCTGATGGACTGATTAAAAATAAAACACAGTGGATCAGCTATCAGATCGGCGCACTCCCTAAGAAGTCGCGAAGATATCATATCTAAGCCTGTGGCTTTCGATTTACAAAGCTTAGACAAAAGTGAGAACACTTTAGAAGGATTAATACATTTTAACTCAAAACGTTTGTCAGTTCCTCAAGGTAATGTAGGTGTGATGGACCATTATTAGAATAAATCTGGCTAGCAAGCTTGGGTCCAATAGAAGAAAAGTGATTGTTGAAGGCATCGGCCATCTCAGGAGGGCCGTAAATAGAGTTACCGTTGCTTTTGATTTCTTTTATGGAACAATTATTAGTTTTTCTCGACATGAGCTCATTTACAATCCTCCATGTCTGGCGCGAGTTGCCTTCATTTTCATCTAATGCTCTTTTATAAAAGAGCTCTTTTTGCTTTTTGATTTCGTTATTAACTAGGTTGCGGCATTTTTTAAATTGTAGCCAGTCATTAGCATCCTTAGAACGCGATGCTTTCAATTTAAGAATATCTCTGTCATGCATTCGTTTCTTTAAGTAAGGTGTAATCCAAGGTGACTTTGAGACGCGCGCCCGTTTTACATGAAGTGGGGCATGCTTGTTTACACATTCCAGGAATAGTTGTTTCCATGCAGCCCACATTAAATTAGGATCAGAATAGCTTTCGATGCTACTCCAATCCTGTTGACCTATATCGTTACGAAAGTGATCAGAGTTAAAATTCTTAAATAGGAAACTAACTTTTGGTTATCTATTCACAGAATAATTTTAAAGACAGAGGATACCTAGGCTTTGAGCCAATCACTCTGGTAGGTGTTTGTTCAGAATTCTTCTTCAGCAGCAGGATGTTGCCTTCTGTAACTTTCACTCGTAGTAAACTAAAAACAGCAACGGCTAAAAACGAAAAAGGAAGCAAAACACCACCAATTCACAAGCCTTTTAAAAAAAAAAACTTTGAGCGTCTTCGTGTCTCGTTTAAAAAGCCTTTCCGAGCAATATTTCGATTTGTGACTTTGGTGGGTTGAGTCCCCTGTGATGCTTTTTTTTCGATGTTACCTGCATCTATTTCGTTCCCGTATTGTTAAATAACAACTAATTTTTTGAATCGTACAATGGCTACACGTCAGAGAATTTAAGATGCAAAATGGTAGACCATCCTTATAACAACCCTCTTCTCCTGACAACGTTAACAACCCTTCTTCTGTTGACAATAACGACCCCCCCCCCTCCTCAGTATGCTCTCATACTTTACTTTCCCAGTGTGCTCACGTTGTTGTTAGCATAGTCTTAGATGGTAATTTCCATCAAATCTGAATATATGACTTATGTTTTTCTCGTAGTTTCCAATCCAAACCAAGCTTCTGATGCCGTCTATGTTAACAGCAGAAGAGGTAGGTTGAATTTAGTTCATGGAGGTTTTATTCTTCGAATCTGCAGCTCCGGAGATAAGTTTGCACGTGCGTATTGTCATGGTCGCGCGCTCTGCCTTTGGCAATGGACTTAGAGCGTGCGCGCAGCTTTGTAGCTGCAGCGTCGCTTCAGCTACACCACGTATTTCATATAATTTACCCCTGAGAATTTTGTGTAACGAACTGGTCTCCATGGGAATATAACAACATATAAATCGCTTTGTTTTAGTCGGTTTCCCGGTGTAATGTCGGTATGTTGTTTGCGCACTCGTGTTCTACCAACGTGAATGCTAAAAGGTTTTCATACCATCAGATGATTGTATTTCCTTTTGTTCTTACAAGGTTGATTGGATCAACTGGTATCACGGCTTATGTGCAGAGAAGGTTGGATCAGCTCTGAGAGAACAGGGCCGTACAAGCGCACTGAACTGGTTAATAAAAGAGACAGTTGCTTTAGGTTGAATGTCTAGGTGACTAATTTGCATATGACAAGAGCTGACAACTGACAGCTGATCAGTGAGTTAGCAGACATTTAGTTCATGTTCGCGTTATGTCTGTTTGTCAGCAGTAAGACAAGCTTTGTCCCTTTCAACGGAAAGGCAACGTGAAGTAGTGCTACAAGAAGACAGCAACTACAACAACAACAAACATCAACAACAACAACAAAACGAACAATCTGAAAATAGTATTAAAATTTTTAGTTTCATGAAGCAGAAATGAAGTGTCTTGTCTAGCAATGGTCTCTCCAAACTTTTCTTGTATACATCGTCCACCATAGTCGCTATAAATTTTACTTTCAATTTCAACTCACCCCACTGATTACCGTCAAGCCCTATTGTAGCCAAAGCTCGATTTATAACATTTGCACTGTATTGTGGGTGATGTGGGTGTGCTTCCTACCCGCAATTCACTTTGCTGGAAAAAAAAAAAAGTAAAACGAATCAACAAAAAAACAAACCTAAAAGAAAAGAAGTAGAAATGAAAGAATTAAGATGGTATGCAGAGTACGAAGGAAATGAGACAAGGGAAAAATTTGCTTCGAACTTTTCTTCTTCCCGTGGTCTCCTGTGATTCGCGCTCGTCATCAGTCTCTCTCACTTCAAGCTCTTTTTAGAGGGCATGCAAAGGCTTAAGAAAAGTTTGTATGGGCTGGAGTGGGGCGTGAGGTGAGGGGGGGAGGGGAAGGGGGGACGTTGGATACGGAGGGACCTGTCGGCGATTCTGCAGATGTGTGTCGCTTTGTTCTTAAAGTTCTGACCCTTCCTAAGACAAAACAGATAACAAGTTCTCCTTTTCACACCCGCTTTCACACTTAGTTTCCGACAGTTGTGTTTGGGTTTTGAATCCATCACGATCTGTTATGGTGTGACGCTTCATATTGGTGCCGAATTTGAGAACTGGTACAATTAGCCCTTTGCAGGAGCCCAAAGTGATGGGCTCCTGCTCTTAGAAATCAGCTCTATTGACAAAATTAGTTAGGTGACTTCTCCACAATTCCTACTCGAAAATACAAATATGTTTCAGTCCTCCCATTGTTCACTTGAAAACACTGCTCGACTTAACACTATTATATTGCCCTTTCTGAGACCATTATTTGGAAAATTTCTCCTCTTTATCAGATCAAAACGACTCAAACACCATACCATGTCTTTGTAGCTTTTCCGAATCTAACGTACCCCTGTGGGTTCTGTTGTCCCCTTTCCATCTAGTATGTGAAGCTCTTCAGTGTTTTATTTTTTATTTTTTGTATTCGAAAGCATATACGCTTTCAAAACGTGTTGTCCAAATATTACTCTAGAGAAACGCAGTTTCAAAACGTTACGTTGGGTTGTAATCTTTCTGGCTGCTCTAATTTCGCTAGCACGCCCTGCGTGCCTATAATCAGACAGCGGTTGAGTTGTTACAGTGTATGCGCTCCATAAACACGACCACGTGCAACGGACGTTCTCTTGACAAGATGGCGTCGTTGGAGAAAGAGTATTTTTGGGGTAAGATGTCTTTCCTGAGGCATTTCGGCGTTCAGTGCAGTATGTTTATCTCAGATCTTTTGTAGGTTGTGAGTTGAGCAAAGATAAGAAGGAATATAAGTGGGATTCGGAAGATGAAGAACTTAGCAAAACAGACATCGAGCAGAAGCTTGTCGTAACCCAGGTACACATTAATTATCATAGCATGTGCACGTGTTTATTTTCAAGCTTTTAAATACCCAACTAGTCATATTTCATTCTAATTGAAAAAGAGTATTTTAGATTTGTAACTACTGTGGAAGTGGGTTCTATGTTCAGATAGCACGTAGCTTACTTTTCAGCTGTAGAGATCGACGTGAGGCGATCTGCAATAATCGAACTTAGACTTCCTGTGAGCAAGCAAACATTGAGATTTGGACAACTGTACTGTCTACACTTGGTTGATGTTCTGTGTATTTCATTAATCCTAATCAGAGCTGCCGCCTCTGTTTTTTTTTTTTTTTTTCTCAGGCATGTCTTGGTGCAAAAGCCAAACCTAACGAAAGAAATCTTGTACAAGTCACCACAACAGACAGTAGTGATAACTCAGTGAAATTCACCATTCTATCATTGGCTTCTGGAAGAAAAGACCAGGTGAATGTTAATCCTTTAACTCCAAAGATCTGATTTTCAATTCTCCCCTCTAGCTACTACACATTTCCTTGCAAATTGATTACAAGAATTAGGATGTTTAATCAAGGTAATAAATTGTACCTGATGAGTTTGAGTATTCTTACTACCTGGTTGGATACTATAGTGAGAAGTTAAAGGGTTAAGAACCTGTATTCCTCATTCTCTTTCTTCTTTGGCATTATGAATTGTAAGATCACTGCCTTAAAATTTGTCATGCATCTTGCGTCTTTGATGTCCATTAAATGAACTTATTTGATCAGTATTTAATGTGATTTAATGGAAATTGAGTACATACACTTACGATAATAATTATGGACAATCCTCATTCCCATGTTAATTAGGCATTTAAAGTCAGAAAGTTTTCTCTCTTAATTTTGATTGCCTGGGCTATAATTATGTATATTTAATTTTCTGATGTGAAGATATTCCTCTGACTTGTACTTGACACTGTTCCCTTGCCACCATATTTCTGAATAAATACCTCACTTTTGCAGCCTTCAGTTACTGAGATTCCAAAAGTTTTGATGTCAGCCTCTAGTTATTGAAATTCCAAAAGTTTTTATGTTCTTCAAAGTTTGAATATTAAACACCTAAGATTAATAACAGTTTCCTTTCAAGTTCAAAGAAGTTGGCTTGGAAAGATTGGTTAATTATTATTATTGTTTATTTTATATTCTTACTTATTTTATTTTTAGAGTAAGCTTAGTCTGGCATTTCCAGCATCAGTTGTTTTTAAGCTTATAGAAGGTAAGAATCTTTATCTAAATGTACAGGGCACTTTTCAGGGCTTTTTGGGTGCATACACATGTTCTGCGTGATATAACAGAGCTGTAACATAAATATGTTTCACTTCTCTCAAAAGTCATAGGCATACATTTAAATAACTTCATCTACATTTAAATGTAGATGAAAACTAGTTCCTTTTTTAATTTTATTAAATGTGATTTAAGTGAGTTAACAACTAAGAGCATCAGCAGTTACAGTCTGCAGTTTTGTTACATATGCATGCATCGAAGTTCCACATGCTCCTTGTTTGAGGAATTCTTGCATGTGCATCTAGTGTGAATGTGCTGCGTTGTTTGGAGTGACAGCTCATCATCCAGGCAGTTTTTCCCACCCTTTCCCTTCCTCTTTCCACTGTTAATTCAGTGTGATGGGTGCCTGTTTCCCTTTCCTGTGTGGGAGCTTGTAACTGGTTTGCCAGGATTTGCCAGTGATGGTAGCAGTCTCCATTTAAGAGCTGGCTGCCAATAATAGAAGCTCCTGGATGTCTCAGGTACCCAACCTCAACTTAGCAATGCAATTGTTAATCAGAATTTGTATCTAAAATTCTTGATAAGCACCAACTGTTCTCACTCTAAATTAAACTAAAACTTAAACATGATAGACTATTCTATCTGTCTATCCAACTTCTGTTACTCGGAACCTACAATTTATTTTACATTTTATTTGGAAGGGTATTTCAAAACCAATCTAATCATGTCCTAGCTAAAGAGAGCTTTTTTTTTCTTTAGGCTCAGGACCAATTCACTTGACTGGTTCTGTATATCAAGGTAAGACGATCTTACCATGGTACTAAGACAATTACACTATAATTTGCATTCGCATTTCCATTCTTTTTTTCTTTTTCAATCAAAGTTGCTTTGATGAATAGAATTTAGGTCAAGAAAACCCCTTCTTTCTAATTCAAAACTTATAAACATGCACACAAGTAAGGCAGTGTCATGCTTGATAAAGCCTGAGTAAATGTCATCTTCAAAATTGTTTTCTACCTTTTTAATTTTGCAGAACTATTTATGGGGGATGACGATGAAGAAGAGAGCGGTGAAGGTATTTTGCTTTTAACCCTTCAACTCCCATAAGTGACTGAGATAGAATTTCTCCTTACAATATCAATATCAATACCATCAAGCAGACTAGTGATGAGAATAGAGAAAAATATCAAATAGGGGATTATAAGTTGATCCAATACCAAATTCTCCAAACTAACATAACAAGAACTGTATGGCCAACAGAAAGGAGAATTAATAATGAGATCTTGGGAGTTAAAGGGTTAAATGTATTTTTAAACCTTGACCAAAACAGTAATGCTCTTTACTTATCATAAATTAGAAAATTAATTCATAGACACATACCCTTTCCTTTGTTAGCTGTTGTTTGTCATCCTCATGACACTTTCTGTAAGTTTGTTTGGTATCAATTAATTTTTTTGTTGTTGTTGTTCATAGATGAAGATGAGGAATCTGAAGTAGTTTTATCAGAGGCTAAGGAGTCTGCGAAGGTAAATAAGCTGGGGTGAACAAGTTTTCTAACTGTTGTGTACATATTAATAATTGAGTTTCTATCCTGTTTATTGTTATTATTATTATTATTTTTTTTTATTTTTTTTTTTGTCAGAAGAGACCACTAACAACACCTAAGGGACCACCAACAAAGATTGCTCGAGTTGAAGCTGGTTTGTGCTGCGCATTATCTAAATGTCAAGGTTAGCATATTTGACTGGGGATTCAAAGGTCTTGTTTTGAAGATTTGACCCCTAAGAGTAACAAGAATTTAATTTCTCCTTAAAATATCACCTCAGAATCACACATTAATGTTACAAGGTAAAGAAAATGATCACCAAGTAAAGAAGCTCTTGATTGTTAAACACATTCTCCTTGTCAGCACCTTAGGAAATGTATAGAGAACAGTATGGAGAATATGCATGCTGATATTAGGATGTACTGTAAGATTAAGGTCAAAAGGTCCAGCTGTTGGATAAAACACTTTACTATTACAATTTTTTCTCCACCAAAGAGTGCAGTCTGGGTTCGAATGATGTAGAGAAGTGTAGCATCCTCACTGTTTTATGCCAAGGAATTTGGGAGAAGTTCATTATCAGTTTGTTGTATGCTTCTGCATTAATGTGGTCATATCTGAATATTATCTGGTCCATTTTTTATCAGATGGCGATGAAGAAAGTGATGATGATGATGATGATGATGAGGAAGAGGACTCAAGTGAAGAATCCATGGAAATGGAAGCAGATGCTAAACAGAAAAAACCTGCAGAGACTCCAAAAACAACTGTAAGAAATATTGACTGGCTTAATTTGTGGTAGCTGTAAGCAAGTGGTATAACATTCATTTGTGCCAACTAAGTGTCTTCATTACAGATAAGCAAACCAAGATGTACAAGTAATATACATATGTTAGCCTATAGGACCTATATGCATACTAGTATTGACATATAGACATATAATTAAGTGTGCCATTAGCACAGGATATGTTTGAGCAATCCAATTAAGGAATGGGCAGTGCTACTGTAATAGATACTGATGCTCAAGGTGCACCCATTGTCTGTTGACTGTAAACTTTTCAAAGTTTTTGATGGCCAGTAAGTTGTTACTTGTGTTCACTCTCCAAGAAATTACCCAATTATGATGGAGCTATTACACTAAGGCTAAAGAGAAATGCTTTGAAACAGATTATTTTGTGCAAAGCAACACCCAGGAAGTATGAAAATTCTTTTGCAGAAAAACAAACCAGAAGGTAAAGATGCCATACCAGTGAAGAGCACAAGTGAGGAGGATGAGGAGGAGAGTGAAGAGGACAGTGACGATGATGATGATGATGATTATGAGGAAGAAGATGAATCTGGTGAGGATGATGATGACGATGATGAGGATGAAAGTGATGAAGAAGATGAGATTGCTGCCAGCTTAGCGGCAAAGAAAAAGGTTGGAGTTTTCCCTTTTTGATCCCATTGGATCTTTCAGTTTTTCTTTCCAGTGCACAATAAAGGTTATTTGTAATTCAAATTTGCACAATGTCACACTACGACCTCCAGTAACACCTCCCATCACCCTCTGTTTGGCTTACAACCAGGTTTTCATGTTTGGCATTTTGTACACCAGGGGTAGCCTCCTATGGAAATATTTATTGAAAAACTCTACATACATTCAAGTTTGTCTGAAGTTATGGCCAAAATTTAGTCTTACTATTGGTCTGACAAGTAACAGTTTCTTTTTCTTTTTTGATGATAACTGTTTCAATTGCAGATGGAAGGGAAAGCAAATAAAAAGCCACCAATGACAAATGTAAGTTAAAATACAAATTGTTCTTTTGTAATTCTTTTTAAATAAGAGAGTAGATGTAGCAGCTTCAATTACATTAATTGTGCACATCTCAAACATGTAGTCATGTGAGATGCAGGCCTTCATTTTGTTAAAAATTTTATTGATTGGTATTTGCCTTTGTAGGGAGTTGCTAAAGCAGACAAAAAGGATAAAACAGAAAAGCAAAACAAGATTCCAGCTCAACAGGTTTGTATTCAAATTTCAACTCCAGGACTTGGTCTTTCTTGGTCTGTCCAGAACATGGTGAATGTTTTTTAGATCACCTTTCAACATGATATCATGGTACCATTACACACTGCATAGCACTAGTACATATTAAGCAAGTGTGAAAAATTCTTGAAAATCCATTAAGTTACGGCCTGTGTTACTGTTGCAAAGATTTTGTTATGAGTGGTTTCATTTATATAATTATACTGTTCAACTGCAACCTCTTGCTTTGAAATTGTGTTCATTTGAAACCATTGTTATAATTTCTGTAGTCTATAGGTGTATAAAATATTTTAAGTCTTTACCTGTCTGCACAGAGGTACTTTAATCAGCTATGCTAATCTGTTCTGTCCTCTTTCAATGATAGCCCAGTACACCAAAAACTGATGGGAAAAAAGATCAGGGGAAGAAGGCTGGAGCTAAAACTCCTGAAGTGGTATGTTCCATTGTTATAAAGGCCTTAAGAAACTACCATAAACACCTGCATCTAAGGGGCACTTGAAGATAAGCCACACTTCTAGTTTGGCAAACCAAATTTTTGGAAAAATTTGTATTTGAAAAGAAAATGAAGGGATTACGAAGTGGAATATTGAGACAGTTGATTTATTTTGGTATCTTCTTCAAACATACAGTTTTACACATACATTAAATCATTAAGATTGAAAACAAAGAGTGTCTGGTTACTGATTTTTGCATAATTTATAGAAAAAAAATTTACAGGGTACCATGACTTCCCCCCACCAAAAAAAAAAGAAAAAAAATTACATAGACCACAATCTCATCTTTTTATTTAATTGGCTCAAGAAGAGACATTTTAGAGTAGGGCAAGGCCTGAAACTGGGAGAGAGAATTACTTTTCCAGTCCATCAGATAATTTTTTTGATAGGAATGAGACATTTTCAAAGGTGACTTAACATCACTTTCTGATAAAACTATTGTGCGTTTCCTTAGCTATCTATGGACAAAATTAAAGAGAAGTTACTCAAGGTAAGGAAGTGTTTTAGTGTGAAGTGCATTGTTTGTCTTTCACACAAATAAAATAGTTTTCTCTAGAACCCTTTTTTGTAACTCAACACCTCCTCAATCAAACTTGGTATTGAAAACTTTGTGCAAGTAGGTAATGAGTTAGAGATGAGTTAAGTGACCATTTTATTTTATTAACCCTTTAACATCCAAGATCTGATTGTAAATTCTCCCCTGTAGCCACTTACATATTTCCATGTAAATTAGTTAAAAGAATTTGTTGTTAGATCAAGATCATAACTTCTACCTGATGCAATAAGTTTAAGCATTCCCATTCCCTGTTCACTGGATACAGTTGGATACGATGGGAGAAGTCACAAGTTTAGAGGTTTATAAGTTTCAGAATTCTAGCAATACACATTATATTGTGTATTGTTTATTGGATTCCCTATCTTAGCAAATACCTTACATTACATTACAGTGTTTTTGAAAAGTGACGTTTTGTTTTTGTTATAACTGTCTTTTGAATTGAATTGCGTGATTATACGTTAAAGGTGTGATTTGTTTTCTGTAGACACCAAATCTTCCAAAGAAAGTGGAAAAGTTCAAGAACTATTTGAAGCACTCATACAAAATCACAGATGAGGCTGTAAGTTCTACACACTTATGGTGTACTAACAATGAGAATATGTTCAACACTCAGAGTTTCCATGACCTTTGATATTTGATTCACCATTGATACTGTGTGGAAATTAGATGCTAATCAGTGGTTTTCTGTGACAAACAAGACTCGTTTGTTTTTGTTTGTTTGTCATTTTTTAGAGGGGGGGAGATGTATTGATTTTGGTTTTTATTCTCCCCTCCCCCTCCCCCTCCCCCTCCCCCCCCAGGCTTATTATTTTCTGATGCTACAGCAGGCTTTATCCTTAAAGTATAACACTCGTGCAAAAAAAGTGCGTTATATTACTCGATTCCGTGGCATGTACCTGGAAAAAAGCAAGGCAGACCATAAGTCTGTTTATTTGTTAAATAATTTGTTCGAATGTTTGTTTTTCGCAGGAGTCAACGAAACTCTGGGACTGGTTGAAGGAGAACAAGTAGAATCAAGACCTCTTCTCTTGTATCCATCACTCTGCCTAGAGAGTAAATTAAAATCGTTTTTTACAGACGTTTGGTTCTTGTGTTTTGTGAGACGACGAGCAGTTTCCCAAATTAATTCTGTGCGAGAGTCAAAGTAATCTAACTGCGTGGACTCTTGGAGTGACGTACGCACGAAGGCGTTGATTTTAGTCTATATTACACGCGCTCTTGCAGCGCCGACTTCATTATTTTATCAGTTTTCTTTTAAATCGCACAATGGATTAACTTGGGAGAGGAAACTTTCCATCCTCTTGCACTTTGTTTATTGATTTTGAATCATAATTTCTTATTAGAGACAGTGTACATGTACCTAGTGGAAAAGAAATATATTTTCTGAAATCTGATTACCATTATGTCCGTTTCATAGTGTTCTCTCCTGACACCACTTGAGCACAAATAAACAGTATTGACATTGGATGCATTTTTCGTTTCCTCCCATGACTTGTTGCCACTAATGTCTCCTCATGCGTAGTACCGTCTAGCTGTGTTTCGCGGAAGATCGTATTCTGATCATGTGCACACGTAGTTGTGTCAAAGGTTGGAGAAGGCAGATCGGTACCCCAAGCAGTTTAAGAGTGTCCTGAAAGTAATGACTGAAAACGGCCTTGGCGATCAGATAAGAAGTCAGTGATTGAACTTGGCTATCGCAGTGCACCTGGATTTTTCATGTTTCGCAGATCAGTTAACCCTTTACACCTTAGCATCAGTATGCATATTCTCCATGCTGTTCTCGGTACATTTCCTATGGTGTTCACAACGAGAATTTGTCTAACATTTAAGAGATTCTTGGGTGGTTGATCATTTCTTGTATTCTCATAACCTTACCTAACTGATCGTTTCTTTTTTTCAAAAAGTCACTGTAGCCGACTGACTTCCATGCTGACTCGCTGATTATTGATCCTGCTGACTAACTGACTGACTGGCGTAATTACTGATCAAATTAGATCACCAATTTCCAGAACGACTGACTGACTGTCTGACTCACCGAGCGTCTTACTGACTGACTGACTGTGTGAGCAAACAAGCAGACAACCGACAGACGGATTGATATCTGTTTTTCTGACTGACTGACCAACTGATTGAATACCACTTTCTATCTCATAAGGGTCATCTTCAACAAGTAAACACACATAAACAGCACCTGAAGAGGCAATTCTCTTTAAGCAAAATGCTTCCATTTATTTTAACCCCTGCGGCCATTTTGGGTTTCACCAGAACACTGGGTGCCGAGTGGAAGATTTACTGCCATACGTGCAAACATGGTGCAGACCAAAAATTAAGCAGGAAAACACTTGAGCCCATGCCGCGCAATCGAGAGCCCGCAATACATTGTAGGACCATAGATTCATTCGCTACATGACGAAAACAAATTGATGATACTGCGAAAAATAATTCTCTGCACTAACGCAAAGAATTACTTTAAGTGCAAGTAGCGGTTAAAAATAATTCATAATTAACTGAAATATATTTCGCGGTGTGAATGAAAAATAATTAAGTGTAGCCCGTAAAAAAATAATTGAGACTTAACTCAAGTCTTTATTAAAACAATTTTTGTAAATATAATCGATTGGCTATTATATTAGTTTGTAATGCACTAAAAAGTAGCGCGTAATACCCGATGAAAGTACAAAACAATCCATCAAAAATTGAAATATGTCAGTTTGAAACACTGTCTTCAGGGTCATTTTTATCTCTAGAATTCTGACCAGAGCAGGCCTCCATATTTCCATTTTTTTGCAACCGTCGACAGTAATCTTGAAATGTAAATAAATTAAATATATCTCAAAGGAAATTATTTGCTTCCTGAGAATGTAAGAAGTCGAAAATAGTTTATTCTCGATAAATTTCCCTCGACGTGACAAAAAAACTAATATAACAATAACTTTTCACGGCGTTTAATGTTGTTTATCTGAATAATTCTAATGCCGACAATAACGCCATTAATTAAAATGAAAATACATGCGTCAATGGCGCAGAATATCGGATGAGAAATTACCAATTGCATCCTTCTCAGTTTTGTGTTGGTAAAGCCGAAGTGAGGAAGCAAACACTGCGTACAAGGTAAGCAGCAAAAAATGTTTATGACATCAAGTAGAATCTAAGCGGAAAAAAAAAGAAACAAAAGGGAAAAAAAAGTTAGTGTGAGAAAATTTTCGAGACGATGCCTTTTGGGGAATTTTAGCTAAAAGAAAAAAACCTTTGCAATGCTCCAAGTGCCTGGCTGTAGAGCTGACTACTTTATACATTTCCGACACTTCTTTTGCTCTTCTAGATATCAAAATTTCAATTGAAGGCACCGGTCTATGCAGTAGTGTTTACTACAAACCTACAGATTCACGTAGTTACTTGTTGTATTCGTCGTCGCATCCATCACTAGTCAAGGATTCCATATCTTTTTCACAGTTTCTCAGACTTCGTTTATGCAGTGACGACTCTGATTTTCCCGAAAAATCAGAGGCAATGAGCCAGTTTTTCGATATACGTGGCTACCCTGTTTCTGTCGTTCAAGTGGGCTACCACCGTGCCCAACAAATTGATCAACAGTCAGCACTACAAACGGCTAAGAAGGAAAACACTTATCGCATTTTATTCACTCTCACATTTCACCCCCGCAACCACGCAGTTAAATCTATCATTCTTAAAAACTTTCAATTACTCCACAACGATTCAGAGACTGATACTGCCTTTTCGAAACCTCCGCAAATTTCATTCAAACGTGAAAAAAACATAGGCAACCTTTTTTTTTGGTCAAAAGTTCATTTCAAACCAATGACCAACCTGGAACTTTCAAATGCGCTCGCTCACGATGCAAAACTTGTCCTTTCATTCAAAACGTAGAGAAAATATTGGGATCCAAGAGATCCATTAAGATCACTGATTACTTTACGTGCACCTCCACCAATGTCATTTACTGCATAACTTGCACTTATTACAAAAAAGTTATATATTGATGAAACAGAAAAGAGTAGATGACCGATTCCGAGAACACCTTCGCGACGTAGAAAGAAATGACAAAGACGCATTCAAACCAGTCGCTAAACACTTTAATTTCCCTAATCATTCTAAGCAGCATATTGCAGTTTGCGGCCTTTCCATACATCTAGGCAGTTTGGACAGCCACAAAACTCTGGAACAAAAATTTATCTTCCACTCGACAGTATCAACGAACGCTTTTCATTCAACTAATTTATTCTTGTTTTCTCGTCACCATATTCTCACCAATAGCGTAGCTTCATTTTCTGCATATAAACCGACACACAACCCATAGTTCCTCCAATCGCTCTGGCGAAGGACTAACGCTCGAAACTTCAGTCTTTAAAACTTTTTACGGTGGCCAATTTACGTTATAAACTCAGTTGATAGCACTACTCTGTAGCCACAGTTTCTTTAGAAACTTACCCCCTTTATATCTTATCATTTTCAAAGAAACCTTTTCGTTAAAAATACAGATTTCCAGGCGAAGAAAGCGGCTGAATGGAGAGGAAAGTTACATATCTCTTTGGAATCATTGCCTTTGCCATTTTTTTCCGGACGAGAGGTACATACCTTAATGCACTAACGTTTTTGTAAAAAGAAGCAATATTTTAGTTTTTTGGCATGTAACATAAGCATACGACATTATAGAAAACGATTTTTTTTTAAAGTTTCGGAATCGCTTTAAATTTCCAAACAACATCTGATACTCTCAGGCAGTTTAAAAGGATTTCTCAATAGAAATTATATGAAAATATCTAGGCTGCCGGGCATATATCGCGTTCAATTTGCAAGATGGATTTTTTGCAAGAGTGCAATCTGAATATCGAGGACTACTAAAAAAATTCGAGAAAAATAAAAAAATGGCAAATTTTTAAGCTACTCAGCAGTTTGTGTGACAATGACGGCGTTTTCAGCTGGTTATTTGCTTTAAGAAAATCAGTCCTAAACTTTCCGCGGGCGATATATTTATTTGTGACATTAAGTTTTGAAGCCGTAGCTAGTACTATCCTTGCTGCCATGAGGAGCTTTGGCCCCGAAAAAAATTCGCAGCAAGCATTCTACAGAGGGGCTATCATTTCTGTCATCAATTTACAGAATTACATTAACGCTTGCATTCGGTAGGTGTCTATGCGGTTACTTAAACCCTTAAACCTGGTTACTTAAGGCGCACCAACAAAGGCTGTTCGTTCAATACCGGGTAATTAAACAACATGTGAGATGTATGTCCATTTGGTCACTATGTTGGACTAATTAGACAGCAAGAATTTCCAGCAGATGGATTCGTGAGGTCTCAAAATATATTCCTGTTGTTGATGCGCTAAAATCAAATCGCTCTCGACCATTCACTTTAGGCGAGAAATGCCTCTAGTTGAATAATCATGGGAAATTGTAAAGGTGTTGGTCAAGAGTAGCCGATCGAGCTTGACAACGACATTCGGGACCTAGTAAAGGATGATGATTATATAAGTAAACTGGGGATGCCTCATCTTTTACTCAAGAGTCCAGACAAAGGGCGGTCTCCTAATATCAATTACGTAGTTTCTCGATTGTAAGGCGCACAGTTTTTTCAAGAAAATTATGTCTTCAGTTGTAAAGTTAGTGTTGAAATTGGAGTGCGTCTTATAGCCAAGTATTTTTGCGCAACAAAATCTTAAGATCGCAATTTTAGCAGAACTTACAGTTAAAAAGGAAAAAAAAGAACGCTTGTTGTTGACAGAAAAAAGGAGAAAAAGCAGAGCTTTTTGGTCTGAGGTGTAGCGAAGATTGCGTCAAATTCAATCCTTTATTCCTATGAGTTAAAAAGGAATACTGCTTTTAGAACACTTCTATTGAAAAGCAAACAAACGTACATTTGCATACGTGCTTAACAGCAAGTGCTCGGTAACATGATATCCAACGAGGGCCTTCGGATGGATGTACAATTTGTTGTCATCCGCAGCTCACCAGGAAACAGAAAATGTTGCCGGTTGCGCCTTTTTCTCACCAGGATTCTGAAATGCCGTATTCACGGGCAATTTCACGATTGTCATTGACTGCCTTGGCTTCGGCAACGGTGTTCAACTTAACGTTGAGGTCATACGTGTGACGGCGAGTGCTTAGCATATTTGCGATTGAACAAGAAGTTGAAGGTTAACTCTGACTGTTTACGATGAGAGCATATCAGTTAGTTTTGCAACGGAGTTTTAAATCATTCGGTTGATGTTATTAGAACGAGATCGGACCATTGAATATTTATTATTTAATTTTGTAAATAGAAGCATGTTTCCTAAACAGGAAGGCGGAAATAAACGAGTATGCGTTTTATGGTTCACATTACAGGTGTGAAATTTTTAGCCTTGATTTTTTCGCAGATCATTAAATGTGAGACTTTTTCACTTTTATTTACGTTAACAAAAGAGTTCGCATGCCAGTTGTGTAGCAATAATTGTTCTGAGTTCCATCAAATCCTTTTGTTAACTCTCAACCTTTTGGTACGTCTTATGACCGAATATTTTCACGTAATTTTCAGTTTGGGAACTTGGCGTGACGAAGTTGCTAAGTTTGGGGTGCGTCTCTCCCATACCCTCTTGGCTAGTGCATACTTGAGGGTTATTTTTAATCTCTTCTATACCCTCCTAAGCAGTGTATACCTGAGGGTTACTTTTGATCTCTTCTATACCCTCTTGGGTAGTTTATACCCGAGGGTTACTTTTAATCTCTTCTATACCCTCTTGAGTAGTGTATACCTGAGGGTTATTTTTAATGTGCAGCCCACTAATTTGCATAAAAATTTCTCCGGCGCAAAGCGAGTCATTCAGAGTTGTCAGCTCTCTCCTCAAAAAAAAAAGCGGTAACTACTTATTCAACAAACAACAAAAAATATCTTCATTGGACTTTCTGACTCTTAAGCAAAGATCGCGGATACAAAAATAAGGGAGCCAACTATATTCAAATTTCTCTCCGTACAAATGCTGGTGAATTAGAAAAAATATCAGTTAATTATGTGGGAATCAAAGGGAAATTTACCTAAATCATAACTTAACTTACTCTTTCATGATATAACCATCTAACACTGATCACAATGCTGCGTGAAACTAGCTATTAGCTTAAGTTTTGATAAAAAAAATAAATAAAAAAATAAAATTAAAAAAAAAACGCCTTCTCTTATCGTGGATGAATTCAGCGTGGAAACAGGTGTTTGGTCTCCGTGGTGACTGGCTCTTTTCGAAAGCATGCTCCAATTATTATTTACTCTCCCATTACGTTTATTGAAATAATGTTAATATATTTACAACTAGATAAACTTAAAGCGGATTTCTGTACAGGAAATTACTCTTCTTGTGTTTCCGCTCCCTCTTAACTCTTCTTTCGGGTGAATCCTATGCTGAATTCACAATAAGGAAAGATCTACTTTGTTTTTAGGTTTATTACAGTTCCCACCTTTCTCTTCCAAGGTGGTTGCACCTGTAAACAATGTCTGCTTTTTGTCTGCAGGACTAAATTACATAATTAGGAAATTTGTTCGAAGAGCACGTAGCTTGTTAATTTATGAAAAAGGGCAGTAGTTACGGTTAACACTTTCTTCTCCAAATTTTTTATTTATCCTCTTGTTATGCGACAGTCTTTAAACCCCATTTCTTTGCAACATTCCTAATAAGCTGAATTAGGTTCCTGACAATTTCCATATTATTAATCTTGCTTTTGCTTTCCCAGATCTTAGCTGGGACTGTATGAAAATATTTAGGTAGAAATTCATTTTGTATCTCGAAGGGGAAACGACTCGATTCAAGGAATTGCACCGCGTTCGCCCCCTATCGAGTTCGCCCCTTCGAGTTCGCCCCTACCTTATGCCGTGTTCGCCCCCACGCTTTTCGAGTTCGACCCCATCAAGTCGAGTTCGCCCCTTGATTGAGTGATATCCAGATGAGTTGATTTGTGACGAAGGCACTAGCAGAATGTGCCAAATGTCACGTCAGCGACGACCATTTTGAATTTCGGCAATTGCGTGGAACCTGCTTGGGAACTGGGTTGACGGAATCAACTAAATACTATGCGTGGGATCTGGGAATACCAGAAATAACTGTATAAACTGAACTTGTGATAAAGAGAACCACACTTAATCAAAACAACATTGCTTAACTTATTATTCAGACTGGAAAAGATGCAAACCAACCTCGGTTTATCTAACGAACACGAAATGTTCGGTAGATAACCTTGGTTCTAACTTGTTTGCAATGTTCGATAGCAACTAATTTAGACATGACTCAATCTGGGGGCGAACTCGATTTGGTGGGGGTCGAACTCGAAGAGTGTGGGGGCGAAAACGGTATAAGGTAGGGGCGAACTCGAAGGGGCGAACTCGATAGGGGGCGAAAGCGGCGGATACCGATTCAAGATCCTATTAAAGTATTTTAACAAGACTCGTTAGCTAAGTATGACTTTAAGGTGACTGGACAAGGATTTACGGCTTAGTTATTGTCATTTCTCTAAACAGATTATAAAACGCCATTTCTAATCAATCTTCGCCAGTCATCCCAAGCGTAGTTGTGTTTCAATATACTAATGAGGTAATAAACTAAGACGATGTACAGAATTCTTGGAGAAAGCTTAAATTATCTTTTAACAGTTAGAAACGGTAAAAGTTTTAACTCAAATGACCGCTTCGTTACACAAATTGGAACGTTTCTTTTTTCTGAGTTAATTTCTGTTTATTTGACTGTCATTGTCTACTTTCGCTGTTCAAACGCTTTCGAACATCCTTCTGGATGCGTTCAATCTTCAATGAACAAACGCTCTTGTTTTATGCGAGTGTTGGCCTCAAAAGGCTTCTGACTTAAAACAGTAACACTGCGATCAAAAATCTGTGCATGTGCAAACGTTGTGGTAGCTTAAGAGACGTGCTTTCAGGCAGTTACAAACAACTACATAAGTCAGTCAGTCACAGTGTTTTTACAGCCTAAAACAGTCGTTTCTAATTTGCGCGGAAATTGACGCGCGGCTAACCGCATATTGGACCCCTTTAACTTGCGTATGCTTGACGTTTCAACATTGCGTTCTTTACAGCACTGTATCACTGTATTCCCTGTCTTGTTAAATAATTACTGTTTCCCTTCTTTATCGGTTCTTAGCAAAATATCGATGGTTAAGAATTGAGCGGTCATTGATGAATATATTACCTAAACCCGAAGCTTCAGCGTAGCAACAGTGAAACTTGTGAAAATTAGATTGTCTGCCCATGAATGGTCTTTAGCTTTGGGATTTTTTTTATGATAACTAACAGACTGAATGGTACTCAATTCGGGGTTATGGTTCATAGGGCTTACGTTATTTTTCTTTCTACATCTCACAGCCTCTTCACGATCCTGTCAGCGAAATAACGATGGATGGTTAGAAAACCCCACACGATTTTGCAACTGCAGCAGCAATAATTCAGTAACGTGTTTCAAACTAAACGAACCAGTATGCATGGATATGAAGGGAATTTTACGAAGCAATTCTGAAATTTGGATGAACAATTCCTGTGTAACATGTTCTTGTAGCAATGGCAATATTAGCTGCACTGTAAATAATATCAGTACCGCATATGGAATGTTTACTGTCAAGACATCTTCGACCTGTGAACGATGCAGCACTTTGTCCATCACACAAAAGGCCCTTACCGCTTGTGAAGGTACGAAAATGTTTAGATGAAGTCCCCTTTATAATCTATTAACGACGACTGGTCTCACCCCAGCTCCGTTTCTCCTGAAAATTGATCCTCCCAAAAGGCTCCAAAACTCCCCCCACCACCACCATCCATAGGCGATAAATCACTGGCTGCCGTAAGACCTTGAAATATCAAAACAGTAACTTAACGATTTAGTCACTTCTTTTATGGGTCACATCGTTCCAAATGCATACTCTCCTTGTCTTAATCGGTCGGGCGTATCTAAATCATCTCGGTTTAAAAGTACAGCTATAGGACCTACAACATCGAACTCTACTCACTTTGGAGTGAAGTAAGGGGTTATTTATTGTGATTCGCACCGCAAGAGGGACCGCACGGCTATTAATTCTAGAGGCACGGAAGGCCATGACCGAACAACACGAGAACGAGGAGGAGTGGGTAGAGGCTCGCGAGAGAGAAAACTCTGCAAAGCAGTAGAGAACTAATCATGCGTTACTACATGTATTGAGAAACCAAACAATCCCAGTGCAACATAAGTCTTCAGATGATGGAGCTTAAGCAGTGTACTATTTTCCTCGATTGAACGGTTAAACGCCGCGATCCTTCACGGGGCAAAGGACACACACACACACACACACCTATCCCATTTGTTCTGTGGATAATTGTTTTTATTTCGGTCAAAACAGATAGCGATACTACTCTAATCTTTTTTTCTGTGTTCACATTCAGCCTATCAGAGAGGGAATTTGTTCAAGTGTAAAGAAGGAAACATTTTTATTCGTGATACTCATCGCTGCAATGGAGTACATGAATGCCCAGATGCATCAGATGAAACTGGCTGTGACAATGGTATTGAGCTTTACAGGCCTTAAACTGACATTTTGCATAACTCTTTAAAGAGTTAACCACTTACTGGGCAAAAATTACATTTTGTTTTCATTGTATTTTGGAAACAAAGAGAAAACATCAGAGTTGATTAGCAAACTCTCTACAGATCATAACAATGATTGAATTTGGATGACACAAGAAATATAAAAAGAGTCTGAAACGGGTGTGTAGTAAAAACAAAAAAATTACAAAAAGTCTAAAATTTTGTTCGTCAGAAATTCTCGATGCGTTTCAGCAGAATATCGTTTTTGGAGTTCATACGCTCTTTCTTTTAGAATGGTATTATCTGAGGGTCCCAGGCAAGGTATGAAGAGGAGGGGGGGAGTACCTACCCTGTATGAGCCATACAGGCGAGAACAACCCCGAAGGGTAAGGTTTTGAGCTGTTTTGGTCTGGAAACAGGTATAGACGGTTTTTAATGGAACTGCGAGAAAAATAGAGAAAGGGAAATAACATAAGTGTATCTCTTTTTTTTTTTTTAAGTGTCGATGAGTTTTAGTGATTTTTGACCGGTTAAAAAGTGAACGTAATTGATGTGGAAACTAGTACAACTTTGAGAAAGCAGGTCTGAGAACGGGTGTGGCGTGTTTTGGTCCGAAATGAGGCCAGTAAAACCGGACGATCGGCACTGATCAAGAATTCCAAGTAGTTTTCTCCCATCCCCTCTTCCCCGAGTCTCGTGTTTATCTTACTCTGCCTAGACTAACTATGATAGCAGAGACAATCTCTGGTAGGGGAGGGGTGGGGAACCAATCTGCATCGTTTGAAAGTAATTTGATTTTCGTTTTGGTCTTTTTCAGTCCTTTGCAAAGACGAAGAAGGAGATACGTACCTTATAAAAAGTAATGAAGGTTGGCGAGCGTCGAGTTGTCTTCTCTGCCAATGCAGGAAAGGAATGCTTGAGTGTCGAAAGAGATTAGAAATTAACTTTCCTGGCTACTTTATTCATTTGTCTGTCCACGAAGAGATTTGCACACAGCCTTCATGCAATATTAAGAAGTTCTTAAGCAAAAAAGACGAATGCAAAGGTAAACATATTCAACCGTACATCTTTAATCTTACGCAATGATCTCAGGTACCTCTTGAAAAATGCAGCCTTACAGTCGTAAGTTTCCCATTCACAATCTGTGTCCATCCTGTCCATTCGTAACCACGCTTGTTCTAATTAGGTAATTTTTTTGGCTTTGTTTCCCGCTGTTTTTCTCATCAGGTGTTGAACTGATAGAGAACGCTGGAATAGCGTTCAAAGGTCGAAGTTGGCGACATGGTAATTGTTCCTTCTACTTCCCTGGGGTTATGGACACGCGAGATGTATGTCCACCAATGAGCAGACCCATCTGTTATGTTTACAATGGAAACATCTGCTGTGCTAAGCACTGTCCAGGTAATTTATCGCACTTTGATGTCAAAGCCTGGAATACGACGTTAAGGAGACTCTAACCCAGACTGCGATTCATTTGTGAATTCATTTATACCAAGAATTAATTTATACACGAACGAATTTCATCAGTTTACAACCTCTCGGTAGTGGTATAATGATTTAAATCAATTACGTAAACTTTGTTAACACAGAGACAAAAAAAAACAAAGACTTACCGTCTGTTAAATACAAATTAATGAGCCTAGTGCCAACTTCAAAAAGCGGAAGGACATTTCCAAAGGTTGTGATTTTTTTTGGTATAGTTCTTCTTGAAAATCAAACTCCCTTAAAACGATCGAATGCAGCAAATGAGCACTTTTTTTAGCTTTAAAAAACGTGAGTTCATCTTCGTCTCGATATTCAGGTTATTTTTCCTTTATTTTCATTTCTTTCTCAAGATTTGAAAAACTACCTCACAAATTTCCGCACTTTTAGGAAAATTCAAGATTCTGTTATAAAGGTGTATCTATAAAGTTGAATCTGTGATTGTATTTTCTTTAGGTCTTCAAGAAATTGCAAATCACATCAGAGGGAATCCTACTCTATGTCCCAATGGTCGCCAGCTAACATCAGCTGACAGTTTTTGTAGAGACCCAAATAATTGTTCACGAAATTTTGACCTCAAAAATTGTTCATCAGGTAAACACTTTTCTTATGTTGTAGGTTCGTTTTGTATTATTACTTGACTCAAGAAAACGATATTCCTCCACATATTTTTAGCAGTTGTAACTGGCCTGTGCCTTTCACTTAGGAGAGCTTCACCTCTTAGTTTTCATCTCAAGTATGCTTTTGATTTTTTTACCGCAAAAAGCCGCCAGGAACTTTTTGCCTTTTGACATCAAACCTCCAAGAAGCTATAGAGTCGTTATAAATTCAACAGTACTGCATTGAAGTCCTTGCGGCCTCTAGGACTCAAATGCAAATAAAACACGGTTAGCCGCAAGAAGTTCTGCTTGCAGGGGGAAAAAGAAGTTCTTGTACGTGCTATGATTTTGGAGGAGAACCCTTAAGGAAACATGTAAAACCGCTAAAGTTACAACAAAAATGTCATAGGGAGGGGAAAAACAGGCCTTGCATCTTTATTTCCATTTTCTCAGTTAAGAAATTATGATTAATTCAGCGCAAAACCTGAATTTGTGGTCTCTCTTTCTGTATCAGATGTTACTTGTCGGGATGAAGACTTCAACCATTACTTTGAAGGCTCAACATGGCGTGTCGGTGACTGCATGCAGTGCGCGTGCAATCAAGGGAAAATTCATTGCTCAAGAAAACTACGGCTGGCACCTTTTTCGAAATTTGGATACGAAGATGTTCTAAAATACATAGAAACCGACAACTGCAACCAAACAGAGTGCAATGTGGCGAAATTTATGAAAAAGAAGCACAGAGTGTGCTCAGGTGAGTTCACGAAGGAAACCATGGTTATTCTTATGAAATATATTTAATATATACGTGTCAAGTGTACAAATGCATTCCATCAATGTCAAGAGCTCGTCAGGAGTCATTTGTTTTGTCTTATAACGTTAGGAAGAACTAAGTGCACTTGCTTAATTTTTCAACTCAAAAAAATAATAATAATCATAGTAATGATAATAATAAACTGGGGCTTATATTGCGCAAACTAACGTGTGTATCACTGTGATCAAATGAACATTACATTTCAGACCAATTGGATATAAATTTGTCAAAGGTTAAAGAGAACTAATACCTCATAACGTTTTATAAATTTCTGTACGGATCTAACTTCATCTTGTTTCCCTTTGCGGAGAGACTGATGTATTTTAAAACTTGATAGAGATTAAACTGAGTTCTTTGATTCGAAGACACGGCGTGTACAAATATCGCTCACTATATCGAAACTAATATCATTTGGAGTGGCAAAAAAAGAAGCTTTTGAATAGGAGGTCAATAAATAATTTTATTTCTGTGTGCAACAACCAAAAAAATTTATAATTCTACTAGAGCATTTTCTTTTACACGCAATGCGTGTGGTGATTCGCAGTTTGCGTGTTGCGCGCGTGCAGTGCATGGGTTTTGCATGCGCGTCAAGCGCGTCTAATGTGCGGTTCACGTGAAAGGTGCTGTACTTCAAGTCATACTCATTCCCGAACTATAACTAATTTAAATAATTCATTTATTTATTTATCTCAAAAATGAAACCATTTTAAATATATTTAAAGCTTGTACCTGGAATGGTAAGCTCTATTACGATGGTGATCGCTGGAAAGAAAACGGCGTGGATTTTTATTGTAGCTCTGCATCTCAAAAAGGGAGACCTGGATGCTATGTGGAAGCCGGTCGAGTTAACTGCACTGGTGCTATATCAGGTTGGTGTCCGTCGAGTCCATGTGGTACAGAGGAAGAACGCTATAAACAAACTAATCGTGTCCTTTCCTGTTTGAACTTCTAAAGTATATTTTAACAGGAAGTCTTTCTCTGAGAAATATCATGTCTCTCCAGAATTAAGGAATCTGTCCTCAATATCTAAAGACAAGCTCTTCTTGTGTGCAAGTGGTGACGAGATCAGACCGTTTGGTGACAGATGCAATATAGAGGCTAATTGTGATGACCAATCAGACGAGTGGAATTGTGATCATTGTGAGTAGCATACCGAGAGAGGGATTTAGAAAGGTAGAAACTCGTACAGGTATTGACTGATAAACAATCGACTAACTAATTAGTAACAACATCACAGAGAAACAAGCAGTTGAGCAGATCTACAGATGGTTTGGAAAATGAAGAGAAAGACAACCTTGCTACCACAGTCTTTCCTCCATACCATCAGGAGTACCGGGGGGTGGGAAAAGAGAAAGAGCTTAGGAACGAAGTCGACGGAAGAAGACAGAGAGAAACAGACAAACAGACAGACAGACAGACAAAACTACCTGGTAAAAAACAGACAGATATTTGGACATAGTTAACGACAGATAGGCAGACAGACACATAGACCTGCTGTCCGTCAGACGGACAGAAAGACATGCAAACCAATTGACCCACAGATAGACAGACAGACAGACACAAACAATTAAACAAACACCAACCCCGTCAAGACCCTTCCCGCAGTTATACCACTTTCCTGCATAGGATTATCTTACTTAGTTATCAATTTCTTTGTTTACCCATTCTTTTAAACATAGTCTCTGATCTTTATATTCTGATCATGTTTAACGCAGATTATTGCCCCTCTCAGATGTTACATGGTGTGATGTTTACGAGATCACCACTGTATACGGAGATTGTTAAGCAGTGCTCCTCGGTTAACCTTGAGTGGACAGGTATTTTGAACTGAGAGTGTCAGGGTTCATATTACCTTGTAATGCTTTGTAATTTACCTCCCTCAATTCTGTGTGCTATAAACTTATGAACTGAACACTGGGTGAAAACATACAGGTAATTAAAAAATTTATATTAAAGACGGTGACGTCACTGTTCACTAAAAGCCACAGCAAGGAGAGAAGGGGAGGAGGGTGAGGAGGGGGACGGAGAGGAGGGAGAGGGGGTAAGTAAAGGAAGAAACCTCCTCTTATACCACTTAACCAAACTGCATAAACCACATTTCTTCAAATTATGCACAGATGATAAATGGCAATTACCTTTAACTTATCATACAGTTATTGTTAGTATTCTCATGGAAAATCTTTTTCTCATGGAAATTGCACGGCTCAAAAGAGACAAATGCCTGAAAACTGTAATTAAGTACGAAATAACTGCAGATCATTCTGGTCATAAGTCAAACCTATCTGGTTTCAGGTTCTTTCAGCCAAAAATGTTTAAGAGATTCATATGTGATCAATTGGATATGGACAAGTTGCCAATGTGAGAAGAAAGCTTTAGCGGAGGTCTTACAGCACAAGGTGAGTTTGATAAATCCACACCTATAAATTCTTCTATAGTTTCGACGTCAGAGCTCTTTCTGGCTACTCACTAAATGTATAAGGCGCCAAGGAGTGAGAGAAGTCTTGTTATTCATAAAATCCACTCTGCATCCTAAAAAATACATGGCTACAAATTATATTTCCCAATCGAGGCTTCAAATGGGTGGACAAGGAATTCTGCCTTTGTTCAAAATTATGTTTGATTGTACCTTAAGACACCTTCTTTAAATAAATATAGAGACCATCGGCATGATTCCCGACGTAAATACATGTTGACCATGTATCATAGTCAACCAAATTTTTGAGAAGCAAAGCGTAGCTCCAGTCATATCTTGAAGAATATATCATGAGGGGAACTTGGATGATAAAAGTTAGTCCTCCTCTAAACCAATTCATTTTTTAACCGCCCTATGTTTTGACAATCCTGTGACCTTCCTTAAGCGCAAAACTTCTTGAAAGGCCTTTATTAATGGCCCAGGCCGGGCCCGTTCCTTGAATATCCCGGTAACTAAACGGGCCCGAAGCCATATTTTGAAATAAAATTTAAAAGAATAGAGAAGCAGGTTCTAGCACCCTAACCAGCCCAATTTGTTTCTTTAGCTGATAGTTTTATTGTATAATTCGCAAAACTTTTGAGACTCCAATCTTGAATGAAAACAGAACAGTTTTACAGGCCCGTTAAGTAACTGGGACTTCGAAAAACCAAGACACGGATCCAATATGGTACAACCTCGAGTTCATCCAATCGAGGCTGACTGGTAAATTGCCTGCATACAGCGAGCAAAATATACCGAAAAAAAGTTTCCATCTTTGACTTACTCTTGACCGGATTTTTATAATTAGTTACTAAGGAAGACGAGGTTCTCGTTTGTTTTGCATCATTTTTTCGCGAAATTTAATGTGCAGCCATCGAATTCTTCTACTGTAACCATTTTCCTGGCTTGAAATAGACAACTGGAGTAACGACTAATAATCCAACAGAGATTCAGATAAGTTATCTTTAATTGTGCATGTTGCTCTTTTGTTGTGTATTTCTGTTAATCAGGCGCTATTCCTGTCCTCATTTTAGATGTCTAGTGCCAACGAAACCAATTTTACAGCAGTTTTAAAAGAGGTGGTCCAGTTTGCAGAAGAAGGAAATTACACAAACCCTAAAGTTTTCCATGATCACCTCAAAGACTTATTCCACAGTACAACAAAATTACTTACGCCACTCACCCAAGAAAATGCTGATTTAGCCCTCCAGTATTGCCAGGTAAAAATGCAAACGGTTAAAACTTTGACAATCTACAATACACAGCGGCGTGTTACAGTGACATAAATGGAGACGAAACCAGTTCAAATGAAGATCACTGAACTTTGAATTTGATGCAACATCGCCAAAATATTTCTTTATTTTCTTTACCCGAGTCATTGAAAAGACCCGAAATGTATTTTTGACAGCAGGTAATGTAACTTTTTTTCTGAGAGGGGAGGTATTGAGGAAGTTCGACTCTTAAGCTCTCTTGTTGTTTGTATTAAACCAAAGTAGTCACAGCAGCCAATCAGAGGGAAGGAAAATATCACAAGGAGCCCACGGGAAACGCGGGAAAACGCGAGTGACTAAGCCGCGCTTGGTCTTAGTTTTGAATCTGATTGGTTGAAATAACATAGCGAATTAAGGCAAAACCAATGCAACCATGCATTACTTTCAAAGCTTAATTAACACTTGCTCGACACAAGTAGTAGGTGCTTTTGCTTCCGACTGATGAGAAATATTCTAAGAGATCTTCTCAGCTCGCTATTGAATATTCGTGCCGCTTTGTTACTGTCAGTCTTCAAATCAGTGTATTTTTGACAACTGAGGCTTTTGATAAATAATAGCGTTTAAATTTAAGATATTTTAAAAATGACAACATACAATAAATCATTCACCTTTTTAAGCCTCATTCACAGGCGTTGTTTGGTCCTGTCACACAACGTGTCATTCCAGATCAACTAGTGGTAACGAGGGAAGAATGCGTTGCGTGACCTGATTAAACAACAGCTACTGGGGAAGCCCAACAACTTTCTTTTTTGTCCCTATGGTTACAGCTCATTATCAACGCTGTTTTATACTCTCCTGTTTACGATCAAGATCCAGTATTTTGTCGGCTTGTAAAGGTAAGCTGGTAATAATTTCTTTACTACCATCCGGTATACAAGATGTGGTAAATGGTACGTATATATATAAGAAAAACAAACAAATATGAAAGAAAAGGGGCAGGAAGAAAACGATAAAATAGGAACAGAGACTGAGAAAAGGACAAAAAAAGAACTTATAATTAAAAATTAAGTGGCTCCTTGAAGTAAAAAGGACTCCAGGAGGTTATTTTTAAGGTTTCTCTCGTGATTGCAGTACAAAGCCATTTCTCCCTATTATTTTTGATCCAGCAGTTTTAGGGGCAAAGAGAAGCGTGTGGGGAATTGAGTGGAGTCTACCACTATAGCCTAGGCTGAGGCGGTAACAAAAGATGCGAAAAGATAAAACTCTACTAAAGCACTCTTTTTAATTTTTTTTCCCTTTTAGAACAATGAACGAGACAGACTGATAATGAAGGCATTTGAGTTTCTAAGTCAGGCACCGCAAAATACCACAGCGTATCAGTTTGGATTAAGAGGGCTATTTTCTCTTTTTAGAGTAAGTCAAATCATTCTGTTAAACTGATTATTCAGGTTCCTTCTTGCTCTGTCTGTTCCGTGGACGTAAGTTCCATTGAGGTAAAATTAAAGTAGGAGAGGCTATATTATCATATGACCCGCACAGCCGTTTGTGTAAGACAAAAGAAGACCGTCCTGCGCTCGGTCCAGTTCATGACCTCGAGCAAAATATTTTCCCGTAAGGCCCTTCCACTCAGTTAATAAGTGAATAGTCCGGGATACCTCATGACGGGGTCAGTAGTAGGGTTTTTACATGTTATGAGCCTGTAATCAGAAAGTCGCATTAGTGGAGATGGGAGAGGTATTAAAACAGGTATAGATTTGCTTAAATTATATGATAAGTTCAATTTTACACGCATATTGATATTTTTTTCCCCTTACTGGAGGACAGACGCATAGATGACGTCATCGTTAGCAATATCTTGCTTTTTATATCATATAGAATAGATTGATTCCATGGTGCCGTGCGTCTGTACAGTAATAGATCAATGTGCTATCAATGTGCTATTTTTTTTGTAATTACTATATATTGTCGTCGTCTGAGTCTATACAGTAAACAGACGAATAACAACATAGAATTCATTTGGTTAAATAGATTGCCCTTTTGATAAGTTCCAGAATGACTCAAAATGATTGTTCATGTGTTTCAGAAAAATTACTTAAGCATTGGAAATTGTACCAATTTTTTTCTTTTTTTCTTTCATATTTTTCAGTTTTTCGGCGTTATCAAATTTTGACCCATCCTCCCCAGTCATCCGGAGACTAAAAACGGATCTTAAGGTGAAAGTGTCATCAATACCACAAGCTGGCACGAACGTTGATAATCCTGTTCAGACAAAAACTGGTAACATTAACAACAACACCAAACAAGAAAATGCCGCGAGTTCAGATACATCAAACATAACGAACACGCCTGGGGTAAGTAATCTAGATGGAGGGTCCCCGGAATAGCTCGAGCCGATTGAACTCAAGCTTCACAAATTCTAGAAACGTTTTCGTCAATCCAATATAAAACGTGCAAGGCAGATGGGAAGAAATCTATCCGGAACGTTTTCAATTCTTAATCAAAGATTTGTGGTGGTCCCGAGTTAGCTGATGGTGTCAACATCCTAGGCACGAAATTCAATATACTACGTAATAAAAAAACAAAAACTAGTACTGTTCTAAATGTGAGAGCAAGACCGCAGGGCGGGGGAGTTTGCTCAGCATATTTTAAATCAAGAAGGTGTGGAGCTTGCCAATCACGCGGAAATTAATAGAGAACTGCAAATAGACTGTTGTCCTTGAAAGTTTACTTTTCTTTCGTTTGCTGTTTTGCAAAGACGAGCAAATTGGTTACACAAAGTATCAACTGTTAATGTTAGTGAGCTCAAATTATCTTCCTGGTCCTCCAAAAAGAGGACTGGGAATGGCGTTTTAAATCATTTTCTTGAATACTTTGCAGGGATGAGGAGAGGAGTTGCTCCCTTATCCTCTCCACTAGCTAAGGCCTTTAAGGTTGAAAGGCCACGGCTGCAGAGAAACGCCAACTGACGCATCAACTGTTCCGTTTTCCAGTGTATAAAATAAGTTGTGGGTCCTTTGAAATTGTAGGTGTACAATTTTAGACTCGATGGGCGAGCTTTACATTGCCAACCACTCTTAACTCCGTTCAACTGAGTTCATTGAACAAGAAGTTGACAAACAATTCAGATATAAATCACATGTCAACTTGGCATTGTTACTTCAAATTTTGCCTTACCCTTCAGAATAGTGACGTAACGGGCCAAGCAAGGGAGGAAACGGGGATAGAAAATTGCTCTGCAGTGACATTTCATGAGGTAACACGAAGAAAATGTTCAACTCAGAGGAGAATTTAATTAAGGATTGAAATGATTTTCCTTTATATTACTCCTTGAATTGTCTAGAAAACGTGTGCTCTCCTCTCTGTAATCAATTACGAGCAAAATTCAAAACTATCTGAAATGTGGATAATTTAGAGATAGTAGTGCTCTGACGAAGGGCTAACGCTCGAAACGTCAGCTTTGAAACTCTTCACGGCGGCCAATTTACGTTATCAACTCAGATGATAATACTAAATTACCCTGTTATACTCTCCCACCGACGCAGCACCATAGTTTCTTTAGAAACTTACCCCTTTATTTATCTGAAGTCTGATTGGCTACTTTACTCCGTATCTATTCTGTCAAAGACGGCGAGGAAAGTGAGTATCATAACATTGTGTGACTGGAGAAATAAAGAGAAGAAAACACTATAAACAGAAGCCTTTCCTGTGGTTAATTTTTTAAAAAGACAGTAGAATGATATTTAGATAAATAGTTTATTTCATCTAGCCTTTTATTGCCTTCTCTCAATTTCGGCTGAGCCCTCATCAACTACCAGGAGATATGAACCCGAGTTCTTAAATTGGATTTTTTAGGGTTCTGTTCTGCAATCACTTGAGTTGTGGTCCACCTGCGAGGATCATATCTTTGCTTGATTTCCATGATCATCTGCTGGTCAAAAAAATTATTTTTCATCAAAAGTTGGTAACAAGATCTTTTTCTAGAACCTTAAGTTTATTCGTCTCCTTTGCCGTCGTTTTATGGGATGTCCTTCTATGAAATACTAACCCAAGTAATAGAATTGATCCAGTTTTTTGTCTATTATTTACCCAATTACTTCTAGGAAAAGATGATTTTTACCTATACTCCACCCACTTCAAAAGAAATCATAAAGCACTACGAAATTCAAAGTCGCATGGAGTTAGTGCTTATGTGCATTTCTATGGCAGCGGTGGTTCTTGCACTCGTACTTCTTACATATCTGAGGTAAGTTCCAAATGAAACTTCGACATTTTTTTCAGTTGACCTTTTAAAACAGAGTGGCCACAACTCCAACCACAATTCACAATTTCACTGATGCTTTCTTCTTTAATAGGATAAGGACCACTGAGAAAATTTTCATCCACAAAAATCTCCTCCTTTCACTTGGGCTTGGAAATCTTGTTTTTGTTCTGGACAAAACTCTATTTGTTACACGAAACGAACACTCGGTAAGTACAATACATCGCAGTCATCACAAGTATAACATCCTTTGTAGACAGGAACACTTTGTTGAACATCAACGAGGGATTGTCAAAGATTTGCTGTCTTTCTGCATTTTTCTCATATGTAAAACTATGGATCGGTTATTGATTCCAGATCAAAACAATGAGCAAGTTTAAAGGATAAGTTAAGTGCTACTTATTTCCATGTCGGGAATGGTTTTTGCCCAGTTCCTTTGGAATGGGGACTGAAGTTTCTAGAAACCTTTCTTTTATACAGACATGAAATTCCCCTCGAAGAGGGAAAAACACCTATAAATATATATGTATATATATATATATATATATATATATATATATATATATAATTGTGGGAAATTGTAGCAAATGCTGTTGGAAAGTGCTCAATACACATGAGTGTAGAGCGAAATACAGTTCAAAATGACTAAAATGAAACACTCATGATTCTCTGTAACTCTGAATTTCGTGCTTATGCACTCATCAGACAGATTCTGACGAGTGCGTAAGCACGAAACTCAGAGTTACAGGGAATCATGAGTGTTTCATTTCAGTCATTTTGAACTGTATGTATGTATGTATATATATATATATATATATATACACATATATGTGGTTTTTTTAGGCTCTATGTTCGACAGTGGCGGTCGTTCAGTTTTTTTTACACATTGCGCTGTTCACGTGGATGCTTGTTGAAGGGATGAATCTTTACAGCAAGCTTATCGTGGTTTTCAATACTCCCAGACGATATGTCACCTACTTGGCAATAGGATGGGGTAAATATACCAGTTATGCAATTATTATATCTATTATTCCATAAGTGCGCGTCTGATGTGAGATGATAAACAGTCAACGAGGCTGATAGGACTGAGTCGTCTATGATCATGTCATATCGAACAAGCGCGAGTGGAATAGTTGTCTCATTAAAAACGCCCCAAAATGTAGATAAATCTTACCAACTTTATTTTGTTACAATAAACGGAATGTCACGATGTACAAAAACACTTTTGTGAGAACCCATGATTGCCAAATGAAACCTCTTGAATTACGACATGCACCAGCATTTTCTACCACGAGAAAGTATTGCATCATTATAATATTTCATGTTTGCAAGTGAGGTGAGACATGCCACGGCATAATGCCAAATGCGCACATACTTCATCTTCAATGAATGTCGAACGCACAAATGCTTTCCTAAATTCTGATTGACTGTGTTCTTTTGCTGCAAGGAAAAAAAATTGAAATTATTCTAAATTTCGTCTAATAAGATATTAAGCATTAAAAATTCAGCGTGCTAAAGCTCAAACTTAGGCTCCAACCTAACGAAAACATAAACATAAACGTTTATATCCAGACTCTCTTTGTTGTATTCCTCAAGGAATCCCAGCAGTCCTTGTGGGATTGATAGCAGCTGTCAGACCCAGTACCTTTGACATGGGTAGCGCTCTGTATGTGGACATACAGTGTGGCTCACTAAGCCTTCAAGCTGAGATCGAACGAACAAGGTAAGTTAGATATCTTAAAGTGCACAGATCAAAAAAAATAAACCGTTTAAGCTTAGACATATGGCCATAAAATCGAGACAAACAGACTATGATATTTTGGCAGGTGTTGGCTAAACGGAAGTCTCTGGATATACAAAGGACCAGTCTTGGCCATACTTGTGGTATGTATTTTTTCCCTCTTAAAATGTATTTCCTTAGTAATACGGCTAAAATACATTATTAATCAGAGAAAGTTTTAATATGGTCTTACTTCGATATGAACATATTTTCTTTCAGTTTCGTTTTTATCTTCATTAATATTTTCGTCACCGTCGTTGTCCCCTAACTTTTATAGCCTGGATATTACTTAGATGATCAATTTTAAATCTAAACCTACAGAGGATGATTAATAAAATGCCGGAAACATTTGCAATGCTTGTGCAAAGTGATACTAATTTTACATTTGGAGGGAGATGGCCGGATGTCGTCACAGTAATCGATGACCCTTTACGCCTTAACTTTAGTATGCATATTCGCTGCACTATTATCTTAAAATTTCTTGTGGAACTAAAAGGGAGAGTTTGTTTAACAACCAAGATCTTCTTTAGTAGGCGCTGGATCATTTCCTTTATTCTTATATCCGTAGTGTTGTTATTCAGGAGTGTTACTGTAAGGAGAAACTTGATGCTAAACACTCTTAAGGAGTAAAGGGTTAAATGCATGTGATGTTTTTGCTTAAGTCTAACTGATCTTTTTCTCGAGTGAACATCTGAGGAAAGAAAACAGTAACTGATAAACTGATACATAAGCAAAGGCGTTTTCCCCGTCCGCCCCTCAAAAAGTTCAAGTTCCTTAAACTTTCCTTATGAAATACAAGGAAAAAAGAGGGGGTGTTGGGCCCTAAAACTCCCTTTACTTAACCTTCCGTGTACGTCATGTAAAAGTTCTGTACGTACCTAACGCCGAACGAGTATTGCTCCCAGGCTCCTCGGTGACTTATTGCGGTTTCGCTGACGTTGCTGAACCTTCAGGCTTAGCATGTGACTTTCCAACGGCTTTTTGGCCCTTTTTTTAGTTTGATATTAACTGTTAGCTGAGGATGAGAATTAAAGCTATTCTGAGAGTTTTATTACGCCGATATTCAAAAAGAAATGGCAATTTGAGAATTTTTAATGAGCTAAATTCTTTTCCAGTTTTGCCATGTGCAAAAACATCATATGTATTCTTACAGTTTTTCCATATGAAACCTCTCTTCATCTCCTCACCTGTACTCACCAGTTGCAGTAGAGGATATAGTAGCTACTCTTTCCAGCTGTTATTCTTTCGCGCATTTTGAACTTTCAATAACAAAATCCCGTTTGAACTTGCAGATAAACTTGATAATGTTTGTGATTCTTGTGCGTGTGATTTTTGGGAAAATTTCCACAAGATTTGGCAAGGACCGTCTCAATGTCGCAAAGTAAGTTTGAATCTACAGAGATCACTTCTGACTAAGTTGATCGTGAGAACGATCAATGTATCTTTGATTTTCCTTTAGCTTTTTTTAGTTTGGTTTCATTGGTTTGGATTCCTATTGATTTTACAGGCGAAGTGCCAAAAGCATTTTTGTTCTCCTTCCGTTACTCGGTGTGACTTGGATAGTGGGATTTTGTGTGGAGTTCCACTATGTTCTTGGATACGTGTTTCTATGTCTCAACTCCACACAGGTATTCACATAGTGAAAGGTTTAGTATCATATCAGTGGTAACACGTGGAAAATCTAGAGTGTGCTATATTCACGTTACGTATGGCACATCGCGCGCAAAATAACGTAGCGCATTACATTATTATAACAACCATACTTAGTGCAAACTCAAAGAATATTTGTCTGAACCTTTGACTCCCGTGAGTGACCAAGACAGAATTTCTCCTTACAATATCAATACAGTATCAAGCAGACAAGTGATGAGAATAAAGAAAAATATCGATTAGGGGATTATTAGTTGATCCAAAACCAAATTCTCCGAGCTAACATCGTAAGAGTTGTATGGCAGACAGTAGGGAGAATTGCAAATGAGACCCTGGGAGTAAAAGGGTTAAGAGGCCTACTGGTCTACCAGGTCTGCTATTTGTTCATTCGTGATCCAGGAGAACAGAAACTTTTCTCTGGCTGGGAGCATTGCGAAGGATCATTTCCCCTTAAAATGAAAAACTAATATCCCAGTCCCACGGTTACCTTCTGGCAAATCATTTCCTCGTCCTTTTACCAAGTGCCTACCACGCAGGTTAGTCTTATTTACGTTTTTAGACTGAGGTTTTGATTTCCCACAGGGTATCATGTTTTTCATCTTTCACTGTGTGTGCGATGACCAGGTACGCTATTTATTTACTTATTTATTCATTAATTTACCTTCCTAACTTTTTCATAACAAAACATATGCATATGTCAAAACTGGAAAAAAATTTAACTTCTTGAAAATTGTCACACTCCCATTTCTTTTTTAATATCGACGTAACAAATCTCTCGGTATAGGTTCTAGTCTCATCCCCAGATTACAGTCAATATCAAACTCTTAGGTCCAACAAGCCATAAAAAAGTTATATACCAAGCCTGAAGGTTCAGCAACGTCAGAGAAACCGCAACAAGTCACCAAGGAGACTGGGAGCAATACTCGTTCGGCGTTAGGTATGTACAAATCTTTTACATGACGTACAGGAAAGTTTTAGGGAGGGGAGTGTGAAAGCCCGGCCCCTCTTTTTTTTTCCCTTGTATTTCATAAAGAAATTTTAGGGAATCTGAACTTTTTGAGGCGGGGGAAAGAAAAACGCTTGTGCTTACGTAACAGTTAATTTCTTACGGTCTTCTTGGATGTTTTGGATTACCCGTAACCTGTTTATTTATCGTATTTATTAGTCTCCTATCTCCCTTTCACATTATTATCATCATAAAAGCCTCTCTGGAGGTTTCTGTATCGTGCCTACACCCTTTCACGACGGGGTACAATACTCTCGGTTCCTTCATGCTGCATAAACAAGGATAACCGCCCTGCCTGAAGGACTTTAACCATGGCGATTACATAGACTGCAAAACCAGATGAAAGCTTTTACCAAGTTGTTTTCTTAAAGCATTGCTAATTTGAGTTTGTCATTTTCGTTAAATTTTCCAAAAAATTCTATGTAAAATTTTCGCACTAATGCAATGGTACAAAACTAAGATAATTTATCCTTTGGAAATTTAGAAAAACTACATGACTCCTCTGATCTGTTGTGATCATTTTGCCTAAACAAACTCTATTGACCAACTATTGAGTATTGAGTATTGAGTATTGTGTATTGTTTCCCTTAGGATTGCTTTAGATGCAAGGAGACATAAGGACAATCACATCACAGGGAGCCTGAGTTTGAAGCTGAATTAAAGCCCTATCAGCAATATAGCTTAAACATGTAAAGCATAATGTAGTGGGTTAACATCAAAATAGCAAACGCTTAGCTGGCGCCGAGATTATATAGGAGAAAACCAAAGCTGTATATTTAAGAATGTAGCAAATAGAAATCCCATTTTGTTCTTTTACGTAAAGTAAGATCGACATATACCTCATATAAATACAATTTGATTTCAGTCTCTCCTAGAATTAATTCATATGTAGCATCTTTTTATATATCTCTGTGGAACGTTGTTTACATTCCATCATTCTGATTTTCTCAAAGCCTCAAACATACTGGGAGGGTGATATAAGCGGTTTAACAAATGAGGACAAGACTAACAAGATTGTTTTAATGCAAAATTCTCCAAATAAGAATCTATATATTTATCGTAGTAATTGAACTTTTGGTAGATTGAGAAGGAAACAGCATGATAAAAAAGTTCCTGCAACTTTAAATAAAAAATTTCTAATATTAAAATAACAATTTGACATGCGGATGAAACTGGAGTAAAGAAAGAAGTGATCCTATCAGGTGGGTTGCAATTTCAGCGATTGCAAAAAAAGAAGCCCGAAAAATGGAGGCTTTGACGGACATTTGCCTGGCTCCCGACATGTGGCATCGTAGCTCTCGCGGTTGTAGAGGAATGTTATGCAAGTTAATAAAGTTACATGTATAAATAAACCTTAGTTTCTATAAAGTATATGTTTGACGGACACTACGTAATTTTTGATCATTTACGATATGTTGGACTGGTTTCACCCCGACAAGCTTTGCTACTAAACATTAACTGCCCAGATGTCGTTTAGAACGCTAAACTTCCTGATCTTTTTCAAAGTTAACAAATAAAATGTGTGCAGAACCACTGTTTGGTTTCTTAGATATAAAATCAATTGTTCTTATAAATAGCAACTGTTCACCGAAGTGGAGGTGGCTAGTAATGGATATCGAATCTACCCTTTAGCCACCGAAACTGTGGTAAATTATTGTCTTAGTAAAAAACTGAGACAGTGAAAACAGTGAATAAGGTGATTGCACGGGCAAGCGTGCGATGAAACGGCACGCTAAGCGTGTTACCAATCTCGTGGATGTGCCTTGTATATTTAATGGGCAGAAAAAAGACTGAAACGGCAGTTTTTTCGTGGCATGCTCAAACCTTTGTCTCAACAAGTGTGCTAAATGTCACGCTTAACGTGCGATATGACACGCGTGCGAAAAGACGCGCGTGCGATATGCCTCGCATGTCCTATGAATAATAGCCGACCTAGAGGAAGTTTACAACGAGGAAAAACACTTTAATTCTTAAAGGAATGGCACAGCGCTGCTATAAAAATAGGACGCAGATACATTTGCGGGTTAGGATCGACACAAAAAGGGCGGCATTCGCTCGAAAGTTTTTGTGTTTAAAGTCAAGTTCACGACGTATCAAACAACAACGTTCACTTTTATGTTCAGGACTATAAGTTTCACTGCAGTCTCTAATGACCCGTGGGTAAATTCTTATTACATATAGTGTATTTAGAAGTCTTCACATAACATCCGAAATCAACGATGTTTTCTATCTTCGATACAAGCGTTATAAGCCGGAGTACCGCTGAAATGAGAGATGGACACGCACGCTGGACTATTTAGGTTTTCCGTCAACATGCATGTGATCGCTGTTCGTTTATTTCATGAAGCAGACTCAAAAAAATGGTCAATTCGAAGGGCATACTATTAATGAAAATTTGCAAACGGATGTTGATTTGTTCCAAACTCTGCTTTAAGGTTTGCGGCTAGATGGTAGGGCGAGAGACGTATGTAGGCGTCGTAAATGTAACGAAAATGTTGGACGAGGTTACCGTGTCATTTTGCCCGCTTAAACTGCGTGCTTTATCACTCGCAAGCGTGCCATTTCACGCACTGCCGAGCTCGACACACGTCTTCGTTCCACGTAACACGTGCGTTTGTTTTTATTGTGCGACGCGGACAATAGAAAAAATTTAATTGGGTGTACAAATCCGACACGACGCTCCGAAGCCGGCGTGTTATTTCACTCACTGTCTTTAGTTTTGCGTGTCATTTTAGCATATCCGTGCGTTCACCTCCTTTCATGTTTTCCCGTGGAGGGTCACCCATAAAAATGAAAAAAAAAAAAAAAGATTTTTCACTCAGTTATCTTCAAAACGAGGAGTGGGAAACTCGCGCGTTGCGCGGAGGTGAATTGGAAAGAGTATTCGGAGTTTGAGTAGCCAGTCAGAGCGCGCCTTCAACGTTATCCACTGCCTTAGTATATACTAACAGGTCTCTTTTTGGGCTGTGGCATTAGTCTGCATCTCTTTCTTTTCTTTTTCTTTTCTTTTTTTTTCCCAAGATGAAATGAAGGAACAGGCTGGCCCAGTTCAGTTGCAAGGTGGTTTAAATAGCTGCTTGTCTGTCAGTTTTACACACCTGTGGCGACGACAAGTAAATTTTTTCCTATTTTTGCCTTAGGACAGGAAAAACCCTTTCTGCCGAGGAAAATTCTCGCACATCTGGAAACAAGAATACAGTTAGGTCACATGCTCTATATAATTCATTAATTCTCTGCTTTTGGATGCGTCGCACATTTTTGTCTCGTTCTGATCGTCACGGACGAACTGCAGACGGACCGAGTTATGAAAATTATGAAAGCTAATTACGAAGTCTTTCTTTGTCTGGGCACCACAATGCATGATTCCGACAGAGATGAATATGCCAAACTGCAGCATATTTTAGGACAAAATATGCTGCAGTTTAGATGAAAATTGAAATGAACACTGATTACAGCTGGAACATATTTGAGTGTGCCATTTAAATGCGTTATACATTTTTGTTTCGGACAACCCATAGCGTTCTTACCGTCACAGATGAAATGAGAAATCTTTCATTGTTTGGACACCACAATGGTTGTTTTGACTGGGGGTTATCTATTTTAGGATAAAATATGTCGCAGCTTTTTATGAAAATTAAAATCGATAGTGATTACAAATGGTAAAGTTGAGTGTACCATCACTTTCAGGCAGCAATCAATCGAGCCTTTGCAAGTTGATGAGTTGTTGTGTCACTCTGTTTACTGTATTATTTTCGATCTCGTTCTATTCGCAATTTTATTTTGTCTCAATAAAGGCTTAATGCTCTCTTGCAATATTGTCTGCTTAAGTAATTGACGTTAGGATTCAGCCAAGAAATTGTGTACGTGCTACACTCTTTTTAAGCTCCTCTCCCAGCCAGAGAGAGCAACATCTTGTGAGCATCAATCTTGTGTCTGTATGTGTGTTTTTTCTTTCTCCCTCTTCCTTGCGAATCGTGTAACGAATACGCGGCACATTATTACGTAATAGAAATTCGAATACACCAAACTTGACTCTCTTCCTTCAAGACGAGAGTGACGCTTATAAGTTCTTGTGTAGTATCTCTTCTTCACGAGTCACTATTCAATTTATGGTTTCCCTTACCAAAAAGGGCAAACTTCCGCGGTGTTATGAAGATCTATCAACACAAACCTTTTTCATTTCTCTGTGCTGTTTGCTTTAAATCCAAAGCTGTCATTCCTAGTTCCATCTATCCCATTGGTACATAATTTCACAGGTCTTGTAATTTTGCGTTCATCGCAATTGTAAAAAATTCACGAGAATCAAAATCCTCGCGAAATTCAATCCCTTACAGAAAGTTCAAATTACAGAAAAAAACTCTCAACAATTAATAACAAAAACATTCACAGGATATGTATCGAAAAACACACAAACTATTAACTAGTCTTATTGGTAAGTTCTATTTCGTATCTTTATATCTGTTGTTAATTTGAAAATATTTCCATAGGAGTAGAGAATTAAGCCATCGTCTTCATCTGAATCACCACATTTGAACAAACACCTTAGAATGTCTTTCTTGTTCTCGTCAAAATTTAACACGTTTTACAAAAATAAAATGAAGTTGAGAACGTTTAAGTCAAGAAAAGTAATGCCCCTTTTTCCACATTCGCTTACTGAAATATTTTTCGTTATCTAAACATCACAGATAGGAATAACATGCGTAGTCAAGACGGGAATTTTAATAACAGAGATCTTTGATGAATTGTTCGGTCTGTTGGACACTGGGATTTTCTAGATTGATAGAAAGAGCTATGAGCGACAACTTTGGATTGTAAGAAAACAGCAAAGAGGAATGAATAAAGTTCATCACAACACCGTGGCAGCGAGAAAAAAAAAATTGTGCAGACAACTTTTAAAGGAAGGAGTTTATAATCGACATCAAGGCGGCTTAGGGCTACGATGGCATGCTTTCCCTTTTTGACAAGTGAAACTATGAGCTGAAACGTGACTCACAAACATTTTTACTCGGCTAAACGTGGCTCTCGTCTAGATGAGACTTATGTTTGGCGTATTGGATTTTCTATTACGTAATTATCAGGGTTTTCATTTGAGGCCGGAGGCCGGACGTTTCGTCCGGTCGTTTGCCATTCCACGTCCGGTACTTTCAGATCAATATTGGCGATTTTTTTTTACTACGGCGCTCGCGAGGCGCCTTTCGGCGCCAAGAAAACATTCACGTCCGGTGCTTTCAGAAGTATGTCCGCTACTTTACAAAACAGTTGAAAACCCTGAATTATGCGCCGCCGGCATATTCCTTACAAGTTTCGCAGGGAAAGAGTGAGAAAATAAAGGAAACAATGGAGAATTATGATAAGCCACCCACGTTTATATACCTTACTCCCTCTTCGGTGTCAAGCGTGTTTTTCTTGCGAAAGCTATGACCCAATTACACTTAGATCAAGGAGCTACTTAAAAAGATGGAATCTTTGTTGGGGGTTTCGGTGGCCAGGGGAGGAGCTCAAAAAAATGCAGCACGCAATTAATTTCTTTGGTTAATACTTTTGCTAATTGCTGAAGCAGACATATTGTTAGGGAGCATTAAGTATTAATTGAGAAAAATGAAAAAGTTGACCATCAATATCTAAAATCCATCGGCAAGAAGCAAACAAAGCGACGCAACAATTCATAAAACTCGCAGAAACTTGGTTGATTGCTACGTGAAAGTGACGGTACACTCAATTTTCCAGCTGTAATCACTGTTAGTTTAACCCTCAAATAAAGCTGTGGCAAATTTTATCCTAAAAATAGATCACTCTCGGTCAGAATCAACCCTTTGTGATGCTCAGACAAAGAGAGATTTCTTAAATTGTATTTCTGCATAACTTGCAATTCCGCAATTCCGCCGCAATTCATCTGTCACGATAAGAACGCTACGGGTCGTCTAAAACAGAAATATACAACCCATACAAAAACAGGAGAGCTCCTGTCTTGACTGTTTTCTATTTCCTAGATGTGCGAAAATTAGCCTCAGAAGAAAGTGTTATTCACGAAAAGACATCTTTCTCTATTTCATAACCGAACTCAATATCAATTATTTGCACGTGACACTATCTAAATTGCTAATTATCATTATGCAGCGCGAGTGTCGGCTAAGAAGCTTAAAATCGTCTCTTTCACTAAAAAGAGTCTCTGTGGCTTGGTGGTAGAGCACCGGGTCATAGAATCCGAAGATTTGGGGTTCTATTCCTCATAAGCACTTGAGATTTTTACCTCGTCCTACGTCTAATGACATGACGACGAATCAACTCTCGAAGCAAGAACCATCCATCACGCGTGTCTGTTATGCAATTGATTTATTCGCGTGCTCATTTGGATTTAGAGCATGTGACTTATCGCTTAATTTATTCAACTATGAGCACAATAAATAGCGCAGAAAAGTCTGAGGAGTTCAATAAAACGAAATTAAGTCATCGACGAAGAGGTTCGTATCGTGTTTATAACAAGAAGATTACCTTAGCCTGCAAACCTTGTAGTATCTGCCCCATTTACTTGAGGAATGCAGCTCTTGGTATTTGTGCTATTTGCACTCAGACAGTTTTCCATTCCTGAAGCTCTTATACTTCCGAATCTTTATCCTTTTGGGCCAAGCGAGGGAGATATTGCCCTTCCTCACTTGGACGACGGAAGCTCTGGTGAAATACCAATATTGGTGCCATTCCTTTTCTTTGGTCAGAGCTATGATTCTCTATTTGTAAGTAAGATATCAATCTTAGTTTCGCCGTTAGATAACTTTGAATAAGAAAATTGTTACGCGCACAGGAATTGGAAGAAGAAATTCGCGACCATTTACCTTTATCAATGTAAATGACAACGTCTTTATAAGCTGCTTTTGACTATGATTTAAGGCTCACTGCTATGCAGGAATAAGCATTAAAGCAAGGAAAAGAGCATTAGAATTTAGTTTCATAAAGTTCGATATCCAATGCTATCTGAATGTTTCTATCCAGATTGTTATGAACATTATTCAAACAAGATGACTCACCAAGTCTGTAAAATAGTTGCAGTCTTCCATCAGAATCAGAAGTAATCAGTATGAGCTTCCACAATCCACATTTGAAAACATGAAGTGATTTTGTTTGGCGAGTTCTTTTCGTTCACGAAAATAGATTCATAAAATGGAACCGAAATTTCTCAGTCAAAAATTCCAGACATTTGTCATATAAGAGTTATGCACATTCACCAAGGCGTCTGCCACGCCTTAGCACGTAAAAGGGTTGATGCCTTCAAAGACTCATTCATTAGACATGTTTAAAAGATGCCGCACATCGGGTAAACAAGTTACCATGGAATCAAAAAGACCTTGTGATGGTGGTAGAATTGTATGCTTAACCTTCAATTTTTTTTAAAAGCCCTTATGGTACTTTGGTTCTTTTTTTTTTTTTTATCCAGTTATTTTTATTGCAGAATTGGACATAGCGGACACAACTTGCGCACGAATAAAAGTTCTCAAGTTTTCTAAAGTTCTCACATTTCAGAAAAAAAGTAGATCTTGTTGGCTATTTAAAAACATCCGAAAATAGTCTCGGTTGAGCGGGAACGCTTCATCTGGTTTATGCCATTTAATTAAACTTCTTGTTCTTTGAACAAGTTGTCATTGCTAAATGCGCTTCTTTGAATTAATTAAGGAAAATGTCAATAAACAGAGCCAAAATACTTAAGTTTTAGTAGAAATCTTAGCTTTGTAAAAGTCGAAAGCCAAAATTGGAATTTCTTCGCTATTTTGCAACTTATTTCTTCTACTGCTTGTCGCAAAGCTTGTTGCAAAATGCTCTCGTCAAGTTATTTATACATGGCTGCGCGCACATAGAGATTTGAACCATAATGGTTGGTGTGTTTGATCCGAAGCCTAAAGAGTGATTCAGTGCGGGGAATCGCGTAGATGAGATGGCGTGCAATTAGCAACGAAGTTAATATGGAACCAAAAAGGGCTCATGATACTAAAATTCTCTTTTAAACACCATTTGATTCTCTTAATTATGTTAACAAATTTTTGTTCCGCTCTTGCAGATGTAGATTATGTCTGTTGTTACTGTTGACTTTCGTAGTATTTTTAAGGTTTAAGTCATTAATAGTTCAATTTGCGAGTGAATGAAAGAATAACATGAAAACAGACACATGGAGCTTCACTACCCTGTTATCTGAGATGGTCATTCATATGTATCTCAAGATGTTTGTCAACTAATAAAAATTTCAACTGGTTAGTTATTGCTTTTTTTTAGATGGTATTTGACCCTTTTCTAAGGTGAAAAATCGATCCATTAATTTATAATAAAAGCAGGCACGAGTGTACTTTTACAAATCTTTATTTGGTGTGCTGCATTATTTGATTCCTTTGGCATTTTCCCTCATAGTTATGAATTAGCAAATCAAGAACGAAAAATGGCAAATTTTCTGTTGAAACTTTCCGTTGATTTTAGGCTAGATTGAAGCTAAATTTTTGGGGGAAAAAATCTTTTCCCTTTCGCGTTAACTGGTAATGTTAAAACCTTCGCAGAAATCAGTGGATCGTAACCAAATATGGTCACTGGGTAATAGAACCAGGTAGGAATTATTGTAACGAAAGCAGATTGCCGAAGTAAGCATGTTACATTTTAGAAGAGATTCACGGAAAGAAACTGTGGAGTAGAAGGTTGATATAACAACGCCCCCACAATTATCATAACGGACACGAAATACTATATTTCTTTTTTAACATAGCTTCTTGTTGAACCTAGATACAATGATGGACTGGCGCCATCTCTCACTCCCCTGGTTCTCTCTTCAAACTTAAAACAGTCGTCTTCAAAATGTTCAGAACACACTGTATTTACTTGGATCTCTTTTGATCCTGAAAGTTTATATATGTTTTAGAAGAAATTGAAAAACAACCACTGACACCTTTAAAAACCAAGTCGAGACAATATTTTTTAAGTGAAAATTTAATCATTATATTTAAAACACAAATTATTGTTGGAGAATTACAAACTCACTGAATTACTCAACTTCTGACTTAGGATCTTCTGGGAATTTATGAAAAGACAAATCCGAATTTATGAAGTTATTGAAGCATCTATAAACACACCAATAGGAACGAAAAGCCTAGAAGAATGGATACCGTTGCATCACCGATTTCCTTGAGTAAACTAGATACTATTGTTACTGCTGTACGGAGAATATACATTTTTTTCTGAGTAGGGAAAGGCAAAGTTCTTCAAAAAGTTCCGTCTAAAAAATATGTTTTACATAGGCTAAGGATTAGCTCTTCTTCCCGATTTTAGAGTTGTTCTGGACGGATAACTATCTCACTTACTCAATTTCTTACCCTTAGGTAAACACCAATGGGTTAATTTCTTTTCTGGTGGAAAGTGTTTCATATACACCAGACCGTTTGCCGCTGGATGATGACGATTACATAGTTATAGCGCCATTTTGGGCTGATGTTAATATAGAGATTGGCGGAGAAATATACTATCGAGAGAGCACAGATCCTCAGCTGCTTCAACGAGCTACCAGAGACGTCTGGAGCGTCTATTTTGACATGAAGGCTAAAGGTTTTCAGGCCAAATGGGTATTAGTTGCAACGTGGTACGAGGTGCCTTTTTGGGGAGCTTATTCAACTGGCAAAGATATAGTAAGAGACATTTTATTTAAGTAAGAGCTCTTTAAATGACTGCGAATATATGAAAAATCCCATATGTGAAGTGCGTATAAAAAAATGAATGAAAGGGATCAGGCCTTATTTTTATATTTTCATTGTGTTGTGTGACGAGTTCTTCAATGAAATACTAGTAAGTAGTGAGTGACAATAGACTCTATTACCATGGATTGCCTTTATTGCCTAGTTTTAATTTTTGTTATCCTTGTAAATTAATGCCAATGTCATTTAATATTTGCCAGAGAAACACCTACCAAGCAGTTCTTGTCACCAATGAGAAAGAGTCTTTTGCAATTTTCAATTACAACGATATTTCTTGGACCACGGCTTCTTTAAACGGTGGAGATTTTTGGGGACTTGGAGGAAGTCCAGCGCAGGTATATTGGCTTAAGTGATAAAAATGTTACTCGAGGGTGGACTCAAATTTGAGCTGATCTCATTTATATCTATTGTTAAAACATTTGTTATAGTATAAACCCTGACTATAAATAAGCAGCTCACCTAAAAATCAGTGGGCTCTTAAAATGGGCACTTATTTCGGGTTTCATACAGGCCGGATAATCATACTTTCAATCTGAAAGTACGTTCTCTCCCAATAAACCACCAATATTTATAATATTACCCTACAAAAATCGTAATCAATTTATAGGGTTGTATTCGTTAAACACGGAAGAATCTCGATGAAATTAGTTTTTCTCTAATCAGGTGAATCCAGTTATGTTATCACCTTTCAGTTCTTTCTCGTAATAATTCTTGCAATTTGTTTCGGAAAATAGCAAAAAGAACAAAACTGCTCAAGATGTAGAAAATTAGATAACCGACTGAACTGAATCTAATTATCCAAACTGAAAGCTTATCAACGCTAGCTTCGATTGAAAACTATTTCTCACCATCCTATTAAGAGTCAGAGACAAGATCCTTCTTATTTTGCATACGAAGGAAACGAATAGTATGAGCAGGGAGCTCGCGTATTTTTCTTAATGATAAAACACTTTCACTGGGAGCACAGGTCCATTAAGTTATTTCAATAAAGGCCCAACAAGCGGAATGTTACAACGGTTAGGATCTGTTTTGATTAATATGTGACGAAATGTTGTTAAGCGTAATTTCTGCACGTTTCATAGTTGCGATCATTTTACCAGGCAGGCTTCAACGCTGGCGACGGCATAAAATATTTCATCATACCGGGATCAGCCACAGATGCGATTATCAATGTTACTTCCACTTCTAATATGGGACAGCCGGGAAGATGGATGTTCCGTTTGGACCTGGAGAAAATTCAGGGAACCACCTGCAACACTAATGGTGAAACAATCCGCCTTCATGACATCTAAAAGTGGCTGTATAAATTTAAAACGTGCTCAGCTGATGAGTGGAGTCCGGTTTTCTCTAAATTTCCCAATTTCTACATCTACCATGATCCATCCCCGCATCATTGAAATTCCATAACGATCGTAAACTCTTTAGAGAGAACTCTACCGTGGGTGCTGAGGGTAGCAAGAAATGACGCCGAAGGGGAAAAAAATAATATTATTATGTTATGTGTGACAATAATGTAAACTATGCTGAAATTGCACTTTCCATAGGATCTTCCACTCTTGGGATATTTCCATCATCTGTTATGATGCTTGGTGGTGATAATATTTTTATCGCTGGACCCTGCTTTGAACCATCGAATGTCATTGTTTGTGAATTTCCTGGAGGGAAAATGATGAATGGAAGCTATATCAGCGGCATACGAGCATCTTGCCCCGTTCCCATGCTGAATATGACTGGTAGACTGACTGTTAGAATGTCAGTGGATGGTGGAAGAAGTTTCGATTATCAAGGAATTGTAACATCAGGTAAGTAACCTTTCGATATCTGAAGTCTGGTTTCACTTTTGTGTATATTTCAGTTCTGCATAGCTTTTGTAAGGTAAAACATTAATTATTACCATTAATCGGTTTGGTTTGACCTTTGATTCTTAAATCTACTTTTCATGCAGTGAATTTGAATAGAGCTACGCCTGCAGTTGTTCGGCTGAATCCGGAAAAGTGGAGTGAAGACGTTCCTGTCAGTATCACGTGGGACCCAAGCCATCTTGGAGATGAAACCTTTACCGTGGCCGTTCTTTTAGCACGTTTTTCCATGAGGGATGACAATGTCTATTTTCATAGCATGTTTTCTTTACAAGAAGAACAAAGAAATACAGGAGAAAGTCAATTTATTGTGCCAAAAGGAGAGGGACGAGGGTGAGTTGAAAAGTAACTTGAGTTAAAATTATTACTTCGTGTTTCAATTACTCACTTTTTCAGCACTTACAATGCCTCTATTAAAGAAAAAAATCGTAGAGATCATTAACAATGTCTAGAATTCTGTATGGCTGACTTAAAAAGGCACAGCATACAAACTGTTACAACTTTCATGATTTTGTCTTCCCATTCTGGTCGAAAAAGCGTCTTTTTTAAAGATTCAGGTTCCAGCCCTTTCTAGTTTAATGAGCCGTATTCTCAGGAAAGAGATGCTTCCTTATCCACTCATGAGTATAATGAGTCACCAAAAAATATTCAGAAAAACTTGCCAACTAAACGACACCTTGCTATGAAGAGTGTATTGTCACGGCGGAAGGGAGCATGACTAGTCGTGGCTGCATTATTGTAATGAAACCAGGATAAGCTCTGACATAAGAGGTCATTCCGGCTGACTTTACTTTTTCCCTTCTTGTAATGTTGGACCAATGTCTCTACTGTTGAGAATGATATATTTGGTACAACAGATTTTATGATCTCCCAATTTCTTAGAACTGAGGATGATCAATTTATTACACTGGTGCAAGTAAAAAAGATTTCTGGTAACTTAGAAAAAGGCACGGCCCAGTGGATCTGGAGCGATCTGTTTTACTGGTCAAACTCTGAGCTGGCTGAGCAGAGATGCATGTACTGGTACAGTAAGCAGCCTGATCCAAAAATATTTTTAGGTAAAACCTTCAGTTCTTTAACGAAAAGCAGATTTAACTGGGTAAAATAGGCCGTCTTATCGAATTAAGTCATGTTTTAGGAAATGATTGTATCGAGGTCAATCCACAACCTTCGACTCTTTGGGTCGTTTTTATAAATGACTCCGAAATAGATACTGGCTACCCTTTCCCTCTCTCCAGCAAAGTACTGTCTACCGAATAATACTCTATGAAAAAAATAGAATTTCAATGACAGAAGTGAGATTCGATGGGATCGTTGCTTGAAATAATAACAGCATGAAGGTGAACTAAGTTTCCATTTTTGAATACAGTTAAATCAAGCACAAACGTCACTTGGATTACCACCCAATTTATGTAGCCTCACTGCATGAAAGGCCTTAATAAATGCCCAAGCTCATCTGTGACAAATGAACACTCTCATTATATTGTTTGTTTATGACAGAGGATGCCTCCCTCCTTCCTTGTCCAAAATCGTCATTTCAAGCTCAAGCGGACCGCGGTCGATTTATAATAGACGAATATCGCAATTCAGCTAACCATAGTAGTGTCAATCATGTTGATGCCAATCTCTGCTTCACGACGACTATACCTAGGTATGTGCCATTATTATCATCAAACCTTTCAAAATTATACTTTGCTCAACCCAAAAACTTACTGGTGTTTTTTCATCGCTACATTATTTCCCAATCATACTTAGTTTTTTTTCTCAGTGCGCAAGGTGCTGGACGACAATGCTGTTACACTGAACGAGGAAACCTGAAGTTAGGCCCACCCACAGGAGGATCCCTAAATCGGTTCAATACCGAGGCTGGAATGCCAACGTTTTCTCATTTCTTTCAAGACCACGTTCCTTTTGTGGATTGCTGTCTCTCCTCTGACAAATGTGAGCGTTACTTTGAGAAAAGACCTTCAGATGACAGCTCTCGCTACAAACCCCCGAGACCAGGTGAGGAAACTACACAAAAAATATCCCCTCGTTGAGGATAATTTGCAAGGAGACCATCCTAGTTTAACAAAGGCTCTTCAAAGCCACGTGAGGTACCCGCTTTGGGTACAGCTTGTCAAGGATCAGACAAAACATTTTCAGTTCACGCAATTATTGTTAACTTATTAAATTTAATTGAACCGGTGGCAATGTGCAGTGTTCGACAACTTTTCTTGCCCCCCTCCCCACCCCCCCGAGTATATTCACTTTATACTCAAATGTGGGTCACATTGATCTGTAACGTTAATCCCCTCTTCTCCTTCAGCGATTCAAATAAGCTAAAAGGGGACAAAAAGATGAATCTCTTAAGATTGATGAGATATTTTTTTGCTTTTCTGCTATTCAATAAAGCAACTCTGTGGTAACTCTTACAAAACTAAAGATTGGAAAGCGATCAGTTTTACGTCTCCAACCACTTTTTTATCATTTTTTAAATATTTCGTTTTGTTTTTTTTTTTTATTATTATTTTTGTTTGTTTTGATTTTTTGTTATTTTAATAGCCCTAGGGGTCGGTTCAACTCACATGGTTTCGTTAGACGGTACTAAATACACTTTCGGTGGTTATGGCGAGTATCATGTCCTCCAGATTCCTTCCATTGCCTTTGAGCTTCAAGGTCGAATGCAGCCTTTTAACGATGACAGCAGTATTCTTGGCACTGTTTTTACAGCGTTTGCAGTGAAAGAACGAGGCTCGGATGTTGTACAGGTAATATAACAATGTTATATTATGACTATTTAAGCTGTTTCATTTTGCATTTTAAGAGACCCTTCAGTCGTTAAGCAGTTTGGAAATTAATAAGAGAATCAACATCAGAAGGATTGGTCACCCATAACCAGCAGCTTATAAAGCTGATAACGTAGATTGCATTTTCTTGACACTATCTGGCTCTGCAGATAATTCTGATTTTCCAAACCATAATGATATAAAGATGGTAATAAAGGTAAGAAAAAAAATTTGAAGAAGGAGATTCGAATAACTGAAGATTTGATGGCGTAGTTAGATCGCAAGGGCTAAAGTTGTCCTGAAAATGACTCCTGTCGATGATATTGACTGACAATACAACAACCTGAGCGGAAGTCATCCTCGGAGTCAAAAATATTGCACTCCGATCGTGACCTCCGCTGAGATTATCGAAACGTCACGCACTTCTACTAAGCTGTTTCTTCCTTTCTTCAAACTATTTACTGAAAATTTTACCTTCGCTGAACAGTAGTGTACCAGGGAAGCAAAAAAGGACGATCACAGTGATTTTTCAGGAGCCAACGTAACTTAGCATTAGCATTTATCATAATTATTTTCTTCAGGTCCACATCACTGGCAGCCCTAGGATTGTCCAAATTTTAGTGAATGGAGATCTGGTAGAATTAGTTGAACAGTTTTCCAAGATGGATTTTAAAAGCGTCACAGTATCAAAGGACAGCAACGCATCCACATACTCAGTCGTATTTACCTCTGGAGTAACAGTGACAATTCAGAAAGTGGAGGACATCTTGAACTTGATGCTGCTGATACCACCAACATTTAAAGGTGTTCTTGCATTCTTTTTAATCAAAGACTTTCAAGTGAAATCTTTGAAAAGAGTGAGGTTGTCTGATGGCATTTATAGAGACAAAAAAATAATATTTTTAGCTCGACTATTAAAAAATCGATCACTTTTTTCAAAAACGACTTTAATTTATGTAGAAGTAAGAACCTTTAAACGAAGGATTATGAGCTGCTTTCTGAGTAAGTACGTTTTTGTTACACAATAAGCGATTAGTGGATGAGGTCGCGCATGATATCATGAATTACCAATGACGAGGTCCGAGTTATCTTTAACAATTCATATCATGTGAAAACCGAATCCAAAACTTTATTTGTCATGCATTTGATAAAATCTCCAAAGAACACACTTCTCTCTGGGTTTTTAAGAGTTTGAGAACAGTTCACGGAAGAGGGGCTTGGAAACTAAGCAGACCTTGAACACGACATGATAACCCAATATCTGCTGCAGATATTGGGTTATCACGTCAGCTTCACACGCTATTGCATATTGACTGCATGCTCTCGACCAATTAGGGTTTTTCTAGTAAGTCCAATGTATATTATCATTATTTAGGAGCTACAAGAGGTCTTCTAGGGTTATGGGACGGGAATCAAGAGAACGATTTCTTCCTTCCCGATGGATCCACCTTGAGCCATAACTCTGATCAGTCTACCATTCATAACAAGTTTGGTCAGCAATGTAAGTACCGTGCACACCATTAAATTTCTCAGTCACCATAGTTACTGAAATGCAGAAAGTTGAAATTGATTTTACAGTGTTTTTGAGGCTTAAAATAATTTTTTGGTCAATTGACATTGAGAGCATCAAACGAACAGTATAAATCCTAACTAAAGGCCATATTTTCAATTCAACATTTTTTTAGCACTCTCGTTTTCACAGAGCGAACGAGGCTTCATAAATAGTCAACATTGTCTTGAATATTTTTCTCATGTGGAAATTCAAACAAAACTGCGAGGTAGATGAAATCCTTTTTCCAAATACCGAAGTGCGTTTGAATATTGTCTTGAATATTTTTCTCATGTGGAAATTCAAACAAAACTGCGAGGTAGATGAAATTCTTTTTCCAAATACCGAAGTGCGTTTGAAAATAATTAGAAATAATGTTCAAAGGGGCCACTTTTGGAACGAGGCCCATGAGAGTTGGTCACTCTCTCAATTTAACTCCCTTTGACAGGAAAACCTATTATTTTCGACTGAAAGTACCACACTAAATGTGTTGCCATTTTTGGGGTCGATTTACTCCTGAAACAAGAAATAATTCCAGGCATGTTAGAGCTGCGACTTGCAATCAGCGAGGAAAGGAAACATAGTGTCCTAGGCCAGTCCAGTTGAACATGACTTTGTAGTGAAGTTCTTTTTTAAGGTTGTAGACAATTAGAGTAACGATTTCACTGTTTTGCTTGTAGGGGCCACTTCATCGAGTGATTCTATATTCACATACGATGAAGGGAAGAAACATTCTTCTTATTTTAATGCGGAATACGTTCCGATGTTCTTGGATAAAGCCAACTTTACAATAGAGAACGCAACATTAGGTCAGCAGGCTAAAGATGTGTGTGGTGATAGCATACTATGTCTTTTTGATGTCCACACCACTGGAAAAATCAGCATTGGAAAGGCAACCAAACAGGCCATAGAAGTGCTCGCTGCAAATATAAATGACACCCAAACACCAGGTAAGGTGTGTGTAATCATGCGTGCAAAAGAAAGTTGTCGTTGTGAAAAATTTGTGGTTAATTGTGTGTTGCCATGTAAATTGAGACACCATTAGTTCCTTGGGAAAAAGCGATGTTACTCTTCTAAAAAAGCAAAAAGACACGTAAGATGTTGAATAGAACTCTTAGAGACGGTGCATACCACCTTCTTTCTTGTTCACGACCATTCTCCCCTAAAAATTAGATGGTATCAGTCCAAGTGAAACCTTTGATCGCGTGGTCTGATCGTCTGGGTGAGGGTGTTCTTAGGAAAGGACCATTGTTGAAAGCGACCACTGACATTTCGACAACTTTAGTGGAAGTCATCGTCAGAGTCAAGTGAACAGTTTAACTCAGTCGAAGGTTAAAAGTACGGTTCGTGTAAACTGTTTCGTCTGCCGTTATGTCATTGGCCATAGGACTCAAATGATTGTCGTGAAGTCGTGATTTGGTCAGTTTCGATCCATCGTTAATTTTTGGTTGTTCCGTTTGGGTCGTTTGTGATGTAAATGAAATTGTGCTGAGTCCCATTTAATAGTGTGTTTCGTAAGTCGATGGTGTTTGGCAAGGTAATCTCTCGTCGCTCGCTTGTGTTCACTCTGTCTTGCGTTCAAGTTTCTGCTGTTTGTCCCAAGTAGGAAACTTGGTAGTTAGTAACTGACGTCTCCTGATGGGTTTAATTTGCGGGCGACGCGAGTAATGACGGTCAGACAAGCCCTTTATGACATTCTTTCATGTGGTTTTCGGATTTGACAGTAGGAATAGAGGGCAATAAACTCCTCATTCCTTTTCGCTATGTTTCTGCTGCTCTAGTTCCTTCTTTAGTGTCATATACAATTGTTTTTCCATTTCGGTTGATTTAATGGCATGTCTTCGAGTGACTCATAAGTGTTTTCTTTTATATTGTTATATATAACTTTCTCTCTTTCTATTCTTTTCAGGATGCCCTCTGTTAAAAAACGAAATTGAAAATGGCACCACGCTGAGGAATGAAACTCAAGATGGCGAAGTAATCTACCGATTCCATTGCAACTCTTATTTCTACTTGAACGGCTCGTCTGTCATATCATGTTTGCGGGGACAATGGAATGGTTCAACACCAAGCTGTCTGCATGGTAAAGATATGTTCTCTATGATAAGATAGAGGGGTTAATTATTACATTTTGATTATGAGGGAGAGTTGGGGAAAATATTTATTTGGTTTGATGCTACGACGTGCGGACCGAGTGGAGCGAGGTCTGTGCATCATATGATGACCATAGTGAACTAAAACCATAGCTGCACCAGCTTGACGAACATTACGGTATACATGACTGAACCTTCCATGACACATTCCTCACGTTAGAAAGGTAATGACTTCTTAATTGCTGCGATTTTAACCCTCCTCTTTCAAAACATGTGAGTTTTAATAGTCTGTCCATGCTGTCCTTCAAAAGCATTGTGAATAAAAATAATGGTATTCGAATGACCCCTATTACTGCCAAGCTGGGATTTTAAACGTATTCATATTCCTTCTGATTCTCTCACGTCGCTTCTCAGTGTTTTCTTGATCAAATGTCCAATACAGTTCCATCATCGACGTCTCATCTAATCGTTTTCTCCATCATTAGTGTAATGTTTTGGATCTGATGGTGAAAGATAGTTAAACGCTACCTTAATTTCATGAATTTGAGATAAAAAACGTTCAGCTTCTTTTCTTTTCTCCTTCTGTTTCAATCTTATTCGGGATGTTGAACACCTTCTACTAAATCCGCTGTGGCCATCATCATCTTCCCCATGTTCGTTGATTTAATAGTATTTCCAAATTCGACGGGTAAATAACTTTCCTTTTAAACCTTATTTTCGTTACTTACTTTCTTGTTCAGGATGCCTTCCATTGAAAAAAATTAGCAATGGTACCGTACAGAGATATGAAACTAAAGATGATACGGTAATTGTAACTGTGGTTTCTTCCTGAACGGCTCATCTGCCATATCTTGTTTTCGAGGTCAGCGAAATGGCTCAACACCGAGCTGTCTGCAAGGGAAAGAAATCTTTATATGATATGACAAAGCGATTTATTATATTCATTATTTATTACATTTCAAGGATCAAGGGTGATCCTTGAAATCTTATTGGCTCTCAGCAGTGCCATCTATTCCCAAATCCCACTATTTTCTAAAATGCATCCCTTCCCCTACGAAAAATCAAGTAACACTAAAAACAAAATAACCACTCAGTTTTTAAGGCTTGTTTAAAGTAATCCATCAGCTTGTGGAAAAATGAATGGCAAAATAGCCAATGTCATTGTTATTTTCTTTAAAAATGTAGCGGCCAGAAGCGACCTTCGCTTCGGGGTATTGCTCATAGAATAGCATTATTTCAAACCAATTTACATTCCATTTTTCCTAGAAGTTGGTGGCTGGAAACTTAAAAAATGTATAAACCGCCAAAAAATCCAATGAATAACTTTTGAGTTGCCCCTATGAAAAATAGCGACCGCACCGCAAATGTTATTTTACATCTAAAGCAAATAGAAAATTCATAAAAAAGATGACTTTTTTATCCCTCGGCCAAATTGGCCGAGACTGATCTGGATAATTCATCGACAACAGTCATCTTCAATCTCGTCAACAAATAGATGACTTCAAAATGTAGTAAGTAGATCACCGTTCACAAAATCCGCTGTAGCCATCGTCATCTTTTCTATGATTATTGAATTAATGGTATTTTCACATTCGGCGAGTAAATATGTTTGAATCTGTCCTTTTCAATCTTATTTTTGTTTACTTACTTTCTTGATCTTTTGTTAAGGATGCCTTCCATTGAAAAATATAAGCAATGGCATCGTACAGACCTATAAAACTCAAGATGACAAAGTAATCTACAAATTCCGTTGTAACTCCGGTTTCTTCCTGAATGGCTCAACTGCCATATCGTGTTTTCGAGGTCAGCGAAATGACTCAACACCGAGCTGTCTACAAGTTAAAGAGATCTTTATATGATAAGATAAAGTAATTTAATACATCAACTATGAACCCACGCGTGATCCTTAAAATCTGATTGGCTCTCAGCAGTGCCATTTATTCCCAAATCGCACTATTTTCTTCTCTAAATTGCATCCCTTTCCCCACCAATGATCAAGCAACGCTAAAACAAAATAACCACTCAGTTTTTAAGGCTTGTTTAAAGTAATCCATCAAATTGTGGGGAAATGAATTGCAAAATAGCCAATGTCATTGTGGCCAAAAGTGGTGATTTAACTTCGTTTCGTGCACTCTTGGTCTAAAATCATACATACGATGCAAGCTTGTTCTCTTTTGAAATCAGAGAAAAAAAATACACTGTATCCAGGTCAATTGCCATTATTTTTCTTCGATAACTGGCTTAATTTTTTTTTTTTTTTGCGTCTTTTAAGTTGTCTTGTTACCCTGATTTCTCCTTAATCGGTTCAACTTTTGAGTTGCCCCTATGAAAAATAGCGCAAAGATTTTTACTTCTTTAGCTAATGGAAGATTCACAAAGAAAATTATTGTTTTATCCTACAGCCAACTCGGCTGAGAGTGATCTGGATAATTCATTGACAACTGTTATTTTCAATCTCGTTAACAAACAGAAGACGTCAAAATGTAGCAAAAACAAACCGAGTTCGTCACGTAGCCGAGTTTGTCACGATTGTTTTTAATATTCGAGTCTTCACCGAACATCCCAAGGGGGCTATTACATCCGTAAACCGATGAAAATTGTGGTCTCTATGGATTAAATAAGTTTAAAAAGCAAGGCTTTGTAAATGGTGACGTCATCTTTATTATCCTTCAATAGGTCATAACATGAAGAACCAATCAAAATGCATGTATGATTCAGCTTATTACCTGATATCTTTTTATCGCAGGTAAAGTTCAGGATAAAGCTCAAGGTAAAGCTGGCAAAGCATCGCGGGGTAGACCCTGGTATTTCATCGCTGCTGCTGCCGCTGGCCTGGTTCTTTTTGTTCTCATACTGATCGCTTGGATCGTTTACTGTACTAGAGGAAGACGTTCTGTAGCAATAGAGAGGGTTGAGGAAGACTTTACTATTAACAATCCGGCCTTTGTCTCGGGAAATACCAAACACCCTGACCCTGACATGAACGCATAAGTACAAAGTTAAAGAACTTTTCCACAGTTCCATGATTGCCAACGGGCAATCCATATAAATAGAACAATGACAAGGGTCCCATGGTTGTCCGCTTGCCTCAGATTTCGCTGAACTTCTTTACCTAGTGAGTGCAAAAGCAACCTACGCACGCTTCCTCTTTTATTCTTTCAACAAGTAAAACTGCGGAGGCAAGGACCGATCATGAACAATCTTCTCTATTTAATCATTAGTTTTCATGTACACGCCTTGGAGTGAAGCTTTAAATTGTGTGTTAATTGCGAGTATTGTAAAGGAAGGATTAGTGAATTAATTTTTAGGTATTAATTGTTCGGATAGGATTAATTTTTTAACCCCAAGGTTATTTGGGTCTCGGCAATCATCTGTTGTCAGTAGAGCACTTTTATCTAGCTATTTGGTAGTTTTAGTGTGAATGCGTGCAGTTTTTACTTTGTATTTTAGCCTTACCTTGGACCTACGCCTGATAGTTTTTTTCGGACGCATTGAGTATGTTGCTTAAGTTTCTCGTGAGAATGTTTGTTTAAATACGATAATAATCGTGTAAGGTCGCGGCCAGCATATCCGCTCGTTGTATCCGATAGTGAATAGTTATAGAAGCGTGCACTCTTAGTTACGAGAAAGAAGATAAAGTGAATTTGTTGTCACAGTAATAGAATAGCAGAAATTGCCGTAGTAGTTGTTGCAATAAAGGTATTAAAAAAGACTGAAAGAACCCGGCGTAGGTTATTTAGTGTCTTGCCTCAGCGTGGGTTATATTCCGCCTTTAGCTTTCCCACACTATCCACCTGTCAACGTCCCAAAACTTTAACTATCGAGTCCACGAGCAACCCGAGTAGATTCTTTAATTCCCGTATCTATAATGTGCCGACAAAGCTTGTATCGACCAGAATCCTTCCACCTGTCAATGTCCCAAAACTTTGACTATCGAGTCCACGAGCGACTCTATAAAAGTAATAAAGAAGACTGAAAGAAACCGGCATAGGTTCTTTAGTGTCTTGCCTCAGCGTGGGTTACACTCCACCGCTAGCTTTCCCACCCTATCCACCTGTCAACGTCCCAAAACTTTAACTATTGAGTTCACGAGCAACGCGACTACATTCTTTAATTCGCGTATCTATAATGGAGCCGACAAAGCATGTACCGACCAGAATCCTTCCCTGATCAACAGTTCCCCACTTTCCGGAATTTTCCCTTCAGTGATATAACAAGGAAAGGTTCAATGATATAACAAGGAAGGGTGAATAATGAAATTTTTAACCTAGAATCTAGTTGTCAATTCGCACCTCCAGCACCAAATTGTCTATGAGAATTTGTTGTTAGATTAAGACAACAACTTCTATCAAATAAGTCTGAGCATTGTCATTACCTGTTTGCTGAATACTGTATGAATATGGTGGAGAGAAGTTACAAGTGAACCCCTACTTTGGTCAGAGAGGGCGAGCCGCTAGTTCGTACAAATGACGTCGGGAGCTCTGGTAAGTTGCTGATATTGATTTAATTTCACATTTTGTTCTCTGTAGGTTTAACAATTATGCAACTGAACAAAACAGCTAATTAATAAGAACCTTACTGGTGTGATGGCCTTCACTACTAACGGTCAAAATTTTGGCCAATTTACGGCTAACAATAGATTCTATCCATGACGCTTAAAAGAAAAATTTTAACGGTTTATTCTTTTTACGACTAGCGGTTGAAATTTTTCAATTTTGATGCTTAACCTTTGTACATCTAACAATTAATCCTATTGAGACTCTCTTTTAATATTTTCCTTCCTAAGCCAGCCATCTTTGTTCCTTCTCGATTTATTGTAATTACGTCTTTTGAGATTTTCTATCTTACCCAACAAACATTTTGTAGATATTTATAATACAAGTTCATCTTCACATCCTTCTACCTTCTTGGTTTATCATTGCCTCCTTCCGATATTCCATCTCACCGAAAAAAATTGAACAAAATATACAATGAGAACGAAAAACGCGAATAATACAATATTGTATCTAAACATACATTTTATCTTAAGTGCGTGTCCACGAGAGCACCAGGCAGTTGTGCTACATGCTATCTCACCGATTTCAATGAAACTTTGTCAGTTCAAAGGGTCTATCAAAAAACTTAAAATGGCAAAGGTGGTTTCTGTTTTGGTTATTTCCGGGGGGAGATAGACCACCCCCCGGTTTTCTCGGGTTTTCACCAAGAAATCGCTTCAAAATAGGTAAAATGTATGAAGCTCTCACTGCAACTGTATTTAACTTATTACCCTGACAGTCTGCAGACATATTGGTACATCCTTAAGGAACGCATGAGACATGTTTCAATTTATTTGATTGACGGTTTGTCAATCAACAGTGCCGAATAAATTATTGTTTTTCTGATCTTTCTGATTCACTCGAATATTTACTAACTTGCTAGTGTCTCTCCCCTTGCTAGAAAGCTACAACACTAATTTTAATGCCCCTTTCTAATCCATCATTTCATCTCTGAAACCATTAAAAAAAAATTTGGGGCGCTGTCATATTTTTGTCTTGGTTGCCTTTTGAAATCTGCGACTGTGACAAGCTTCTCAACTACGATTGTCACACAATCCTAGCTGTAAGCGGTCATTTAAGCAAATAAACCGACATTTTGTAGCTCGTTATACAAGATAATTGATCTAGGAAGCTAAGAAATATAAACAAGTTTCGAGATTTTTTGTAGTAATGGAAATTTCACATTTATAGAGAAACATGTAAGCGAAATATTGATGAGAAAATCGTAGTTTTCTCTTCTGCCGTTTATTTTGGAGATTTTATGAATATTCATTAGTCTTTGATTTGATCGTTTATTATCGCAGTTTACAATCAAGACATTGTAATAGGAAAGGAGATTTCAAAGACACATACCGCCTACTTGTTGACATGCAAGCTTCCATGACGTGTGCAATACAGACAAGAAGCTTAGCCTTCTCACTTGAAACAAAATATTAGTAGTTATATTAAATTTATAAACTGCGCTATTATTCCAGAAAAATAAAACTATACTGGTTTTTTCGTAGTCTCTTACTACCATCAACCATTTCCATGCAGAACTTTGCCAACTAATGTCTGTGGCGTGACTCGAAAACGTTTTCATAGCAATAGGAATTATTCAAGCACGTTACTCACGCCGTCTACCAGATAAGAAGTTCATTATATTCTGCAGATCTCTTTGCTATTTTCTTCCTTCTTGGTCGTAAAAATATATATTTTGTAAACTCATGCTGTAACTACATGTAGAAAATCTGCATCTCTCTCGATCGAGAGTTGGCGTTAAATTGCGTGACTTAAAGCATGAGCCCGCAATATTTTGATCTGTGGGCTTCGCGCAAGTTTCCACTCAGATTAGGTTATATCAGGAAAAATGCGAATCATATCCAGTTGTTTGAGACAATTTCTCTTGCCTTATCATCTTGAAGGCCTGTATTAAGAGGAACACATTGGTTATAAACGCCTGTGTGCCCTTAACAGCATGACTTTGTGCAACCCATGAGACGTCGATGATTAGAAATAAAAGGGCAAGTTTCAAGGAGGCCATCTAGAGGACCACATCGAGAAGGACACTTATAAGAGCAATGGTTCCTATCTTAAAACTGACCTGAATTTCAACAATCCCTAGCGCTGATTATGCGGGCACACAAATGAAAACGGTTGTAGCTTTTAAGCATATGCAGGTTTTGAATGAATCGGGCGTTAGAATATAAAGATGGCTTCATAGTCAGAGAGGGTGAGACTTCTCTAAACTTTCTCTCAACCTTAACATCCTCAAATTCTCCCTTCCATGATGAGCCCGGACTACCTCCCCTCAGAAAATAATGTCAACAAGCCACAAATATAGATACATCGTCATCATTCTCACCTATTTTCTTCAGAAAATCAATTATCTCCTTTAGGGAGGCGACTGCATTGACACCATTCGTCTGCGTTCTGTCCAGACCCGCCAATGACTTTTTCTGCGAGGCGGCGCACATCTGAAGCTCAAAACATTTCTGATTTAGTATTTATTTTGAGTGTGATAGTAACAGCCTATCACCAAAGGAAACAAAACCCGCAACTAACGCTGATCTTCATTTCACATACACTTTGCTCCCGACAGAGCGCAATCACCAGCATGTAAAAACCAAAGAATAAAACAGGGCTTTACCTTAAGGATATTAAAAAGCGTTCATCTCCCAAGTGGTTTGAAGTTCGTCTCCATACAATAGGTGTGATACAGATGTATGAGACGGGAAGAGATAACCGTTCTCACGACATTAGGAATGTCCATTTTCTCGCCATTTGATAGCTTTAGCGTTTTAGTTCTATATGCCACGTCTGGAAGATATGATGGACTTGATGTGAAGTCCAGGAAATGGTCAACCTTAACGGGATCTAACCTCGATCTAGTTATGGATGGTGTTTCTATGAGTTGTCCAGGTTTAGTCCTATACGCATGTTTTCTCGCCTCATCAATCCTGAACCTGGTCAGTCCCGGAACCAGCTGTAGAAGTTCCGTTTTACTGTAGTCGCCGGCGAAGAGGGAGAAAATTTGTTGCTGGGTGTATTAAGAGTTAGCTTCATTGTAGAGGGTCACTAGTCTGCTCACTAAGAGGTCCTCTTCGGAAGTAACAGGGACAGCTCGTGCGCTATGGTACTTTTCGAAAGTTTTCGGAAGCAGCATTTCATTAGATAGCTGTTGAGGTACCGCAGCTGATGCTCAACCTGCGGAGTAGGCTGCCACTCGCGAGACGTCTCTACCCCCACCGACGACTCCTGTGACGACGACGAGAGAACTTTACGAACATTTAACGGTCACATTTTACGAACATTTAACAGTCGTATTTTACGAACATTTAATGGTCGCATTTTACGAACATTTAACGGTCGCATTTTACGAACATTTAACGGTCGCATTTTACGAACATTTAACGGTCGCATTTTACGAACATTTAACGGTCACATTTTACGAACATTTAACAGTCGTATTTTATGAACATTTAATGGTCGCATTTTACGAACATTTAACGGTCGCGTTTTACGAACATTTAGCACTTGCGTTTTATGAACATCTAACAGTCGCGTTTTACGAACATTTAACGGTCGCATTTTAAGAACATTTAACACTCACGTTTTACCATAGCTTTAAAGCCGTACATTTTAAAAACATTTATTACTGGTTCAATTAATCTCATCCTAAAGCTTAAAGTGTTATCTTGAATCCCTGCATGAATGCTAAATGACCTAGTCAATTCTTATCTTACACATAAGAGTTAACTTCAAGATTTACATTCACTATTCATCTCCATAACTTTCACGATTTTTGCGAGAAGGAAAGAGATCAAAGACTTAGCTATTTCTCTCGCTTATCTCGTTTTCAGCAATCTGCTCTTCGTCCGTAAAAAGAGCAGTTCTTGGGAGGTACTTCTGATTCTTCATATCTGAACCTATTTCCTCGTTATCTTAATATAAACATTTTGCCTCCTTTCTTTGTCCCCTTTCTTTCTACCTTTTTTTTCCGTCGCAAGATGCAAATCAGCAAAGAAGAGATTTGTTAAACACTCAGGGGATTAACAAAACCACACATAACAAGGCACTACATTGTTCTTAAAAGTAAAGGGAAATTGATGCCAATATTTAAATGAAGACGGACAAGAAACAATCAGGCAATTTGTGCAATTTTTTAATTGAAAAAGGAAGTGAAGTCATTATTTTATTTCTTACTTTTTGCAAGGTAAAGAAACTTTAACAGAGGTGTACCGTTCGTCACGTTGAAGGTGTGTGTGAAGGAAGACATGATTGTACAATTCCTTTTAACCTTCTGTTAGTTTGTTTCGTTCACAAACGGCGACAATCGAATGTTAACACCAAAATTTAAAGCTCTTAACTTTGCCAGAGAAATAAGAGGAAGACACCTCAATGGAAGCGTTTTTAAAGAAAAAGAAGTTACTTCAGAGAGTCCTTGTCGACTGCACTTTGTGGAAGAAAGGTCATGCCTGTCATGCAACTTTGGCCCCAGTAAAAAGAGGATGAGATATGAATGTCAACTGAGCTACTCTAGTCGGTTTGTTGGACTCAAAAGTTTTACCGAAGACGACGAATACCTGTACCGAGGACTAAAGGTGATGAAATGATGGTAAATCGATCTAACATATCGTGGTACGATTATGGACTTACGGGTGAGCAATTTCCTGAAAAAAGGAATGATTCTAAAGTCATAACGTCCCATCGTAACGTATTTGATAAAAGAAACTTTTTGTACACCAACTATAACTAATCGAGCTGATGTGAGAAAATGAAAAGCTGTTGAGCTAAAAGGCTAGGTAACTTAAAGTATTGACTTGTAGCTGGTATTTAGTTGGGAAAGGTTTTCATATAACCCTATACTCCTGTAAACAAAGCCGTAATCCCTAAGGTAATCTATCGTTTTCAGTAATGTTTTCTTTATCCATGAACTGTGTGTACAATGAAGTATGGGGCTGTGCAGAAATCTTTCCTTTCCTCGCATCGTTGACCAATTTTAGCTAGATTTTTTTACGGAATTCATGGAAAGGTGAAAGAAGCCGATAGCTTCCAAACAAAAATGAAATTTAAATAAAAATAACCACGTACAATTCAAGAGCACGCTTTTTTATCAAAATAATCCTCATAAATGTGCGAATAAAAATTTCTTCAGTCAGATAGCGATTCCTTATCGTTGCGCAGTGCTCAAACTTGTCCCTAGAAATTAATTCTAATTATTCAGAAGTGTGATAAGATCGATCGATATGAAGAACAGTAACGATAATAACTCTAACGGTATTTTCTTTCTTCCAACAGAGCGTTTGTAAGATGAGTGACTCGTTTTCTGGTAGCAATGGGTTGTGAATTTCCAACTATCAGGAAAACACTGCACAGTGCAGATGTCGTGAAGGATATTATGGACAGCCTTGCAGTAAGTACATTTTAATATAAAATTGCCCAGTGTTTTGACTAGTGTGATATGTATATATATATGGAGAGAGACAGACAGACAGACAGACGGACAAAGACAGAGAGACAGAGAGACAGAGAGACAGAGAGACAGAGAGACAGAGAGACAGAGAGACAGAGAGACAGAGAGACAGAGATACAGAGAGACAGAGAGACAGAGAGACAGAGAGAGAGAGAGACAGAGACAGAGCAGAGAGAGAAAGAGAGAGAGAGAGAGAGAGAGTAATAATACACGGGCGCGCGTAGATATGGAATTTCTCTTCGAGTATTTAACTCGATAGCTCACAAGTGAGCGCAGCAAACGAGTGAGATATCGAGTTGAACACGAGAAGAGAAATTCCATATCTACAAGCAACCATGTATTATTTTGTTTATCATATAAACACAATAGCCCTTTACTGAGAAGAAAAACCGACTTTATTAATGAGTGAAAATAAATTAATCGACAATCTCCGAATAACAATCGTAGAGTACGTTGGCGCTAACTCTTAAGATGGAAAAATGCGTTGAATCATGATTACAAAACCAACAGTGGTTGTAATTTTCAATTTACAAAATTCTCATTCATTGACAATCTTCCAGTTGTCCTTTTTTCATTCTCAGCCGAGAGAAATGCTAACACTAAAGCCACTGAAAACGTAACTTTCGGTTTGAACCTTACTGTCTGTCAGCAATACAGAGTTTTTAGTGTTTTAGTCGCCATATAGTTCGAGGAAGCTCTGATACACAACTTCTATTGAGAATCGTGAAGGCTTTGCCGTTCATTCGTCAACCTGACCGAGTGTCATTTTTCCCAGAAGCTAGTGGCTGGAAACTTAAAAATGTATACATCGCCGAGATATCCGATGAATAATTTTTGAGTTGCCCCTATGAAAAAAAACGACCCCCCCCCGCAAAGATTTTTTTACATCTAAAGAAAATAGAAAATTCATAAAAAAGATGACTTTTTTATCCCACGGCCAAATTCGCCGAGACTGATCTGGATAATTCATCGACAACTGTCATTTTCGATCTGGTCAACAAATAGATGACGTCAAAATGTACTAAAAACAAGCCTACCCAGTCATGTAGCCGAGTTTAGTAGATCATCGTTTGCAAAATCCTCTGTGGCCATCACCATCTTTTCTACGATCGTTGATTTAATGGTATTCTCACATTCGGCAGGTAAATATGTTTGAATCTGCCCTTTTCAATCCTATTTTTGTTTCCTTACTTTCTTGATCTTTTATTCAGGATGCCTTCCATTGAAAAATATCAGCAATGGCATCGCACAGACATATAAAACTCGAGATGACAAAGTAATCTACAAATTCCGTTGTAACTCCGGTTTCTTCCTGAACGACTCAACTGCCATATCGTGTTTTCGAGGTCAGCGGAATGGCTCGACACCGAGCTGTCTGCAAGGTAAAGAGATCTTTGTGTGATAAGATAAAGTGATTTATTATATCAACTATGAGCCCACGCGAGTTCCTTGAAATTTGATTGGCTCTCAATAGTGCCATCTATTCCCAAATCGCACTATTTTCTTCTCTAAATTGCATCCCTTTCCCCACCAATGAGCAAGCAAAACCAAAACAAAATAACCACTTAGTTTTTAAGGCTTGTTTTAAGCAATCCATCAAATTGTGGGAAAATCAATGGCAAAATAGCCAATGTCATTGTAGCCAATTTTGCTTCTTGCTCCTAAAGTATCCTTTTCGTTCAAAAAAAAAAAAACAAAACAAAACAAATGGATAAGATAAAGTGGTGATTTAACTTCGTTTCACGCACTCTTGGACTAAAATTGTATATACGATGCAAGCTTGACATCGGAAAAAAAATACTCTCTATCCAGATCAATTGCCATTTTTTTTCTACGATACCTGGCTTAGTTTTTTTTTTTTTTTTTTTTTTTTTTTCTTTTAACTTGTTTTGTGACCCTGGTTTCTCTTTAATCAGTTAAGCTTTTGAGTTTTCCGTATGACAAATAGTGCAAAGATTTTTACATCTTTAGCTAATAAAAAATTCACGAAGAGAATTATTGTTTTATCCTACGGCCAACTTGGATGAGACTGATCTAGATAATTCATTGATAACTGGTATTTTCAATCTCGTTAACAAATGGATGACGTCAAAATGTAGGAAAAACAAACCGAGTTCGTCACGTGGCCGGGTTTGTAACGATTGTTTTTAATATTCGAGTCTTCACCGAACATCCCAAGGGGTTATTACATCCGTAAACCATTGAAAAGTTGTTACGGGAAAATTTACTGATTTTCCCGTGCGTGTTATTCGGAACATATTTATTCGTAAACTTTCACATTTAACCATTTCAAGTCCTTTCATTTTAATAAATCAAAAAATGTATAAAAACCACAGTAGCTTTTAGAATAGATTTTGCTTGTTACTCGCTTTCATTATGCACCTGCATGGCGGCACTTTTGTTATTTATTACATGGTTTTTTAGGTAAATATAAGTGTTAATGGTCTTTCTGGAAAAATTGGTTTTCATGGTAGTTAGCAGCTGAGTTTATACTCGTAACTTTAATTTCTTTTCATACGATAGTTTCCACACCAACCTTGCATAGATAAGCAGAAACTTTTCATTGCTTTTCCGTTTTTATTTCCTAAGCTGCGCTACTGCAGTTAAGATAGGTGTTGTTTTTTATATCAGAGCTGTGAATTCGCATCTAAGTTTCCTACTTTAATGGCCTCGAGTTTATGGCATCCGTCTTTTTAACTCGTGAATTGCGCGCATGCGCAAGAGCGAGTTATAAATACGATGTGGGGAATGGAATTCGCTCGCTCGCTCGATTGGTCGATTCCTGTAAACTTTTTTTAGATTTTAGGCTTTTGAGTGCATTTTATAGTTTTTGGCGAGCAATAAACAGACGAAATGGCGACCTTTGTTGCTAAGAATAGTGGTGGGGTGAAAAAGAAGCCAATGATAATCTTAAAAGAGTTTTTTTTTTTCGTTTTAGTTTCAACAAGCGGCGCCAGCGATTGGCAGGCATGCAAGGATTCACACTGAAATAACAGAACAACCTTCGTTTTTCATAAAATTGTAATTTACAATCCTTGAACTTGAAAACAATCCGAAGATTCATTCAAAATATCACTTACTGCTAAGCGCTCGGAGTGTCCAGATGTTCAAAAGCTTTTTTCTGTTATAGCGTGAGATTGAGGACAAAATTGATCATTACGTTTCGTCACGTGTGTTTTTCCTGTGTGAAGCAACAAAAGATGCCGGCGACTGACGAAATAACAAGTTAACACGAAAATCAAATCACTTAAACAAACAATTTTAGCTACCGATTTTCAGTGAATTTTTAAAGAACAATTTTCTTTTAAGTTTCAAGACAATTTCAACATACATACAACGTACTAAAATGCGAAAGTTACACACCACAAAATTGATAAATAGGCCTGAAATGAAGTTCTATCTTGTTATTGATTATACGTTGCCTAGCACGTGACTTAAATCTACCCAGGCGGAGATCCAAAATGTGGGTGGCAGGCTTGGCTTAGTTATATCACTCAAAACTCGTTCCCGTTTGTCTCATTTGATAAAGAGGGAATCGTTAATGTTTTCATTAAGACAGTATTGCCTTGATTTTCTAATATTTACAACGAAAGACAGTAAATTTCACTTTTCACCCACATTTACTTCAGCCTTTTCTTTTGAACCAGAAAAAAAAATGATAGACGTTTAAAACACATGACATCATCCACCTTGTCAAATGTAATAGCATGATCATTTCAATTGTAATGCCTTCTTATCCCAACGTTACTTTGTTTCTTTGCTACATCAGCGAACACTGAACTACTGCTCGTACTCTAGATATGACAATCAACCACAAAATTCCCTAAACCAGATAACATTCAACATAATCTAAAAAATCATGTGTCAATTCACGAGTTTGCTCACAGAGCACTTTGATTAATTTTGAGATTCTTTTCGTCGTAGAAACAGGTGGAATATTTAAGTAGTTTTTGTTTAACGTCAAAGAGATCTTTTTCCGCTCCTTTGTGTCCCTATTCAAATATTGCGATCTGTGTAACAATAGCACCTCACACCAGTTAGTTCTTAAGCAAGTACTTGTACAGTTTTGATGATTACAAACTTGAGTACGCTAGAGGTCATGTCGCTTGTTGGCCTGACCTAGAATAATAACCTACTGTGGACCCAAAACGCTGTCTCTTCCTTGACATCCGTACAAGTTCACTCGAAGCAGATCTCCGTGTGCCAGGAAACCGTGACAAGTTTCCGTTCTCGCAAGCCGAGGGGCCTCTACCGAGCTAATTCCCCCCTCGTTTGTACGTTTTCCGAAAACTCCAGTGTAGCGAGCGAAAACTTATCGTCACAAAGTGTGGTCTATATGGATTAAATATGTTTAAAAAGCAAGGCTTTTTAAATGGTTAAGTCATCTTTATTATCCTTCAATAGATCCTAACATGAAGAACCAATCAAAATGCATGTATGATTCAGCTTATTACCTGATATCTTTTATTGCCGGTAAAGTTCAGGATAAAGTTCAAGGTAAAGCTGGCAAAGCATCGCGGGGTAGACCCCGGTATTTCATCGCTGCTGCTGCCGCTGGCCTGGTTCTTTGTGTCCTCATACTGGTTGCTTGGATCGTTTACTGTGCTAGAGGAAGACGTTCTGCAGCAAAAGAGAGGGTTAAGGAAGACTTTACTTTTAACAATCCGGCCTTTATCTCGGCAAATGCCAAACACCCTGACCCTGACATGAACGCATAAGTCCTAAGTTAAAGAACTTTTCCACAGTACCACGATTGCCAACGGGCAATCCATATTAATAGAGCAACAACAAGGGTCCCATGGTTGTCCGCTTGCCTCAGATCTTGCTGAACTTCTTTACCTAATGAGTACAAGAGCAACCTACTCACCCTTCCTCTTTTATTCTTTCAAAAAGTAAAACTGGGAAGGCAAGGATTGATCGTGAACAATCATCTCTATTTAATCATTAGTTTTCATGCACACGGCCCTGCTCTGTCATTCGCCTTGGAGTGAGGCTTTAACTTGTGTGTTCATTGCGAGTATTGTAAAGTAGGGATTAGTAATTCCTTTTAGGTATTCATCGTTTGGATAGGATTGATCTTTTAATTCCAAGGTTGTTTGGGTTTCGGCAATCATATATTGTTAGTAGAGCATTTTTATCTGGTTATTTTGTAATTTTAGTGCGAGTGCGTGCAGTTTTTACTTTGAATTTTGGCCTTACCTTAGACCTACGCCTGATGGGTTTTTTCGAACGCATTGAGTATGTTGCTTGAGGTTTTCGTGAAAGTGTTTGTTTAAATACAGATAATAATCGTGTGAGGTCGCGGCCAGCATATCCGCTCGTGATATTCGATAGTGAATAGTTATAGAAGCGTGCACTCTTAAGTTACTGAAAGAGGAGAAGTGAATTTGTTGTCACGGTGTAGAGAATAACAGAAACTGTAGCAGTGGTTGTTGCGATAAAGCTAATAAAAAAGACTAAAAGAAGCCGGCATAGGTCCTTTGGTGTCTTGCCTCAGCGTGGGTTACTCTCCGCCGCTAGTCTTCCCACCCTATCCACCTATCAACGTCCCAAAACTATAACTATCGAGTCCACGAGCAACGCTATAAAGGTAATAAAGAAGACTGAAAGGAACCGGCACAGATCCTTTGGTGTCTTGCCTCAGCGTGGGTAACACTCCGCCGTTAGCTTTCCCCCCCTTTCCACCTGTCAACGTCCCAAAACTTTAATTATCGAGTCCACGAGCAACGCGAGTACACTCTTTAATTCGCGTATCTACAATTGAGCCAACAAAGCTTGTACTGACCAGAATCCTTCCCTGATCAACAGTTCCTTACTTTCCGGGATTTTTCCTTCAATGATATAACAAGGAAAGGTGAATAATGAAATTTTTAACCGAGAATCTAATTGTCAATTCGCACCTCTAGTACTAAATTCTCTATGAGAATTTGGCGTTAGATTAAGACAACAACTTCTATCTAATAAGTCTGAATATCGTCATTACCTGTTTGCTGAATACAGTATGAATATGATGGAGAGAAGTTAAAAGTGAACCCCCACTTTGATCAGAGAGAGGGTGAGCAGCCAGTTCTTACAAATGACGAGGCAGCTCTGGTACGATGCTGATATTGATTTTATTTCACATTTTGTTCTCTGTAGGTTTAACAATTATGCAACTGAACACAACAGCTAATGAATCAGAATCTTACTGGGGTAATGGCCTTCACGGCTAACGGTCAAAATTTTGGTTATTTTACAACTAACAATAGATTCTATCCATGACGCTTAAAAAAAATTAACGGTTTATTCTTTTTACGACTAGCAGTTGAAATTTGTCAATTTTGATTCTTAACCGTTGTACATCTAAAAGTTAATTCCATTGAGATTCTCTTTTAATATTTTCTTTCCTCAGCCAGCCATCTTTGTTCCTTCTCGATTTATTGTAATTACGTCTTTTGAGATTTTCTATCTTACCCAACAAACATTTTGTAGATATTTATAATACAAGCTCATCTTCACATCCTTCTACCTTCTTGGTTTATCATTGCCTCCTTCGGATATTCCATTTCACCGAACAAAATTGAATATAAAAGGAGAACGAAAAACGCGAATAATACAATAATAATAATAATAATAATAATAATAATATAATACAATATTGTATCTAAACATACATTTTATGCTAATTGTAAATGTTGAAATGACCTTCGCTGGATCTTTAACAATTAATTCTAATATCAGTTTAATTCTTACTAAGTATTCTTATCTATAAGTAACTTTCGTTATTCTTCTTTTCCGTGTTCATCATGCCGTGAACTCCATCTATTTTCCCCGCTGAAAAACGAAATTGTAGAGCAAACATTGTACAATGTCTTGCAATTTTTGTCATCACTTGACTCTCTTAGTACACTCATTTTCCCTCACTCATTCGCCCTGCACGACTGCGACAGAAAAGCAGACGAAAAAATGCAGCTTTTTGATATTCGATTTTATAGTTTCCTTTTCCCCCCATAAATGATTGAAGTAAATGGCTGAATTAATTAATTAATTAATGAACGAATGGGTGGACAAAGGAATGAAGGTGTATGGAAGGTGAAAGGGCTGGTAGGTGAGTGTTAGATAGCGAGGTGAAGTGAGAAAGGGAGGTAAGGTAATTAAGTTGGGGTGACGGTAGGATAGGACGAAGGTACGGATAAATAAACTAACGATTAATTGAATGAATGAATTAACGAACGAAGAGACGTGTGTATAAATAATTGAACACTATGGAAAGCAAATCAATCAAATTTACTGCAATTAATTTGAGATATACTTCAAACGTACAGGATTCCTGCAAGAGGTTCACCACCGAGTGTCTCTCCATCTCAGATGTATTATTATGGTTCAAAACTGGTGTTGATCTCGTCTTTGGTAGCTCACCAGACTTCCGGCCAAATAACTTTCGGATTGCGTCTTGAACCTAGACATAATAAATCCATAATAAATGTGTTTTTTCATTTCTTTCCTTTTTTTTCCGAGGGAAAATTGGAGGACAAAGAGGAAGGCTCATGTTATTGGTATGTACTTATCCTACAAAAACTACTCAGATCCGTAAATTACTGACAAACCTTGATAAAACTATTGAAATATGAAAGGAATTATCAAAGGCAGACAAGATAGTAACGAATTTAATTATGCAATTAAATTCCTCTGATCGCAAGAATCTTCCTCTAATTGAGAATTATAAAAAAATTGTGCTTTGATTTTCCCTACCTCTTCGTCAAGAACACAATGAAAGATGAAAAACACGATTCCCTATGACCATAACAGAAAAAATCAAAATGAAACAGTCATATTCATAGTTTTCGTTGACCAACTCGGAGTTGTATGTTTGCATGGTACAAGAACAAGTATTTTCAGCGGGAAGCCTTGGTATTTCGTTCACGGGTTTATCACGAACCGACATAATGACAGGCTCCAAATTGGCTTTTTAGTTCAGTTGGTAGAGCACTGCACCAGTATCGCAGAGGTCATGGATTTAAATACTGCACAGGCCTGATTTTTTGTCAGGTCTTATTTTCACTACTGTCAAAGTAGTTACTACGAAGATTGCTGTCATATTCATTTCTATTTACATTTTTCTATATTTTAAAAATCTTAGGGATCAGTCATAATCAATTTATCTCGGAGGGGGGGGGAGGAGGGATTATGTAGGAGATCACGGGATAGAAGGGGGATTAGAATTCGTCGTCAACAAAGTATGAAAAGGGGTATATGGAAATGAGACTCCCAATGAGGTGGCATCAAGTAAATTTTATCATGACACAGTCAAAATCCTCCGACCCTCCTCCCCGAGCGATGAAAATTGACCAGTCCCTTAGGGAGTCAACCATTGAAGCATTTTTAAAACTTGAATTACATACTTGTGTAGAGTTTAGCAGAATAAAGATATATACTACAGCATGATGGAGCTCTACGAAAAAACCCAGCAGCCACGTGACTCCGAGCAACGGAAGCAATGCCACGATACTTCTGATACCCTTCCTAATGAGAAACAATTGGAAGAGATAGTTCATCCATGCTTAAATTACGAAGTAAATGTTTGCGAAATGGAGGAACATAGTTCTTAGTTCATGCAAATAGTTTTCCTTACTTTGTAGCTTGCATATGATCATTGCCGTATCTAGTAGATATTTTTCCAAATATGACGCGAAGCAGGATTGCAAATAACACAGTATTTGCCTGCAAGAAAAACCAAGATACATAAATGGTCTTCTCCGATAGTCACTGGAAATAAAGATCAATTGAATTAAAAAGACATCAAACCATTAGAATCCCTAATATGGGTCCTTTATAAATCCAAACACTTCCGTTGATCCAACATCTGTGGGAGAAAAAATTGTCTATTAGAGTGGATGCAATCAAGTTTCTCTGGTTTAAAACGTTGTGCGTCATAACCAAATGATCTTCATCGAATAAGCTGCGTTGGGCATAGAGTGAAAGAGTTTGCTATTATTCCCCGGTGTTTCACTAGAAGTTCTTATTTTACTCAAATCAAATTATGAAGATTAATTCCTTGAACCAAGAATATAGATACAACGGTAGTTCACGGAATTAATCTAAGGCTAAACTTTCAACCTACCTTAGGGTATTTTGACGGCCTATTTTTGTACCCAGAAAACGAAAATGGAGCTTGTGTTGGAAAGTAGAAACTTTTCAACAAAAATACCTGCGTCGTTCATTTTTAGCTGTGAGTTGAAGAGCTCCACATGATACATCTGTATACGAAGCCTTCCCCATGTCAAATGTGGACGGACTGATAGCAGCCACGAACCCCATGAGAACAATAGGAATTCCTTAAAAAGAGGAGGACAGGATATAATGACAATTGAGGCTTGTATATTTCTCCTTCTCCTCAGTACACTCAGTAAAGTAATTAAGGTTTCTTGTCTTGTTTAGGCTGACAAAAAAAAGGGTCGAACGAGCTTCTGCAACTGTGCCTCAGAAATAGTTCAAATTACTGGACTAGATTGGAAATGAACTGGATATTTACCCCATCCCATGGCCACATATGCCACATATTGCTTCTTCACTGAAAACACTTTAACCAGCTTGATATAAAGATTTATTCCTTCCACAAGCATCCATGTAAATATTGCAGTGTGGAAAAAATATTGAATGACCGTGAGCGCGGAACACAAAGCCTAAATAAACCAAAAATTGAAAAAATTCGTAGTTAGGTAGAAAATATCATTTCATTCTGAACCATTTTACATCCAGTACAAGTTTAAAATGCTATACTTTTTCTCTAAAGATTTGCTCACCGCATGTTTTTCTCTTGTATCAAACAAAGTCTTATCCATAATATACACAAGATGTCCAAGTGCCAGAGACAATAGGAGACTCTTGTGTATAAACAACCTCTCAGAACTCTTTAACCTAAAGAATGAACTTAAACATTTTAGATTTGAAAGTAATGTCCTAGCTATAAATTTAAGAATATTATGCTCTCGTCCGCATATAATTCCTTTATCATTTCTATAATCCCCATAAATTGATGCATTGTAAGTTCATGTACATGTAACATTATTCCCGAGAATGTTAACCAATCAGACGTATTTCGATTGAGAATCATAAAAGAAGAACCACAGTAATCACAATGGCCAATCTAGACAATCGGAAATATCATAAGGAGCTGATGCTTAGGGCCAGGGTTAGAATTCAAACTGATAAGATGCAAACCGTCGGAAACTGGAAATACATGGATAACTGAGACGTAACTGGTTTTAGTTTTGACTCTGATTAGTTGAGAAAATGGCACGATTTTCTGAACCAAACTCTGAGCAAAGTAAAGTTAAACCAAAGCAATCCGGATTTCTCTAAAAACCAACAATGGCAGAAGTGCTAAGAATAATAATTGATGAGAGTACTAATTTATACAATAATCCCTCAGAAGTCAAAGAAAAAACTTACTTTAACGCTGTCAATAGTATTACGGCCAAAAGCACTGCTGCCGTAGAAATACACATTAGCACTAGTTCCATGTTAGTTTGGATTTCTATGTGCCTTTGATATTCATTAGATATCCGTTTGTTATAAACGACGGCCCCGATCTCCTAAGATAAAATAAGAATATAAGAAAATGATCAATTTTTCACTATACCAGAAATAAAGACAAAGAGTTACTTAAATTAACCCCCCTCCTAGTCACTTCGCACCTTCTTTCTCTAAAAAAAATCCATGCAAGGCGCAACAATTTTTCTTCTCTTACATAAACTAAGTTTTAAACCAGCTGACACGAGAAAAATCACATTACCTCATCAAACTTTAGATTCGTGCAGTTGTTAGCCAGCAGCAGATGGCGTATTTCCTCATCTGTAAGCTCGTTATTCTCACGAAAAAGAAAGACAACAATGATAAAAGACAGGATCAACTGGCAAATTGTTACTTTTTTTACCTCCTAAGCGATAAAATCGTTTAAGCTATAAAGATTTATACACTTGTGGAGCCGTATATTCTGGAGTTTCCCCTATGCAAACATCTACAAAGTTAGGAATCTGAGCATTTTTGAGACTGTCTCTTATAGTAAGTAACCAACATTAAGCTAGATTTTCAAGATCCATTAGGCTAATAAGGCTTAAAGTTAAACACTTTTGAATGACCTACCACATTTTCAATGGAAGCGCCGGTGGTATTAGCTCTTGTTCCATTTGCTATTGTCACGTTACCAGTGGTGTTGCTTTTATCGACAGGTACGGAGATAGGTTTTTCTACCTCTCTTGGTAAGAGCTTAGCGGTGTTTAACTGAAGAGATAGCTCTTGTCTCATTATAATGGGGTGAAATTGTGGCGCGATTGGCCGGAAGTTATCCACGATATGCGGCTCGCTACTGTAAAATTACGATTAAGATACAATGACTAAGAGACTGGCCAGAAATGCCCTCCAGAAAAAGTAAACTTCTTAAGTTTACTGCCACGTATGCGCCTCACTGTTACTTTAATTTCTGAACGTGTGAACGATCACACGCTGAATGCAATGTCCGCTGAGCAAAATTAGTGACGCAAAATTTATAAGCTCCAGATTACAGGTTGTCCGTAAGAGGAAATGATCTGAACATAAGTTTTGAGGTATCACCTTAAGAATAAAGTTCATATAAGGAAGTCAGTCTCTCAGCTTGATATCACCCTTCTACGTTAGAAAAAACTTCATAGTGTTAGCTGCTTTGTCTCAACTTAAGTTTAATTTAAATCATTTCAAGGCTACTGTTAGAGGTAAAGAACTGGAAATATTACCCACTTTCTCAACTTTGAAAATATTGAAGTTTGACTTATATGTTTGACATTAAAACCGGCCTAAATTTTTTTAGATTACTTTCATTGTTCATTTACTCAAGGCGAGAATTCAACCCAGGTCAGTCAACCAAATTTGACTTCATTTGGGACCATCCTAAGTAAAGAGGAAGAGCTCAGGAAAATTGCTTTATCTTTGGACACTTTCAGAACCACATCTCGTTGCCAATCGACGCATTGAGCACAAAATCTACGGTTGTATGTCTCAGCGAAGAATATGCAGTTAGAGAATACGACTTGTGCTCATACGTCGGATACTTTCAAAAATAACGGTATTTTCATAAAGAAAGACGTTTTACCGTCTTGTCACGAGCGTGGGACAAGAAAAATCCAAAGGAATCGAGTGTCAGGCCTTCGGTTTCTGCGCCTTGTCGCTCAACCTCTGAGCCAGTATTATCAACTCAGTTGATAATACTAAACTACATATGTTCATATGTGACACGCATCCCGTATTCTGCTGAAATCAGCAATTTCGAAAGAGGCATGGGCACTTACTCAATATCCCTGACTGGATGAAATCCCATCTGGCCATACTTGAAGGCGTCGGTATTGTTAGGAGCCTGACGTAGAAACTCTAATGCTCTATTGATATGAAAGTTTCGATCATGAGCCTATGGGAAACAAATAGACATTACACTTAAACAAACAAAATTTACATTTGTGCAATAGAACCAAATTTTGTACTTTAAATGAATTGAAATTTTGATCAATAAATTAAGGAAAGTTATTTATCACTACGTTTGATAACCTGCAAAGCAGGCATTATTTTTGCGAGCGAGCGCCATCATTGATTTTAATGCCTTAATATACTGTACTGTAGGCTATACGCTTGGTGATTGGCTCGGAAAACTCACATCACCCTCTAAGCCAATCAGATTTAATACTGAAACCGATCATGTTTTTCCAAAGTGTACTTCATTCGTTAGCATTGATATTTTTTTGGATGTGGTTTCACGATGTGTTATCGAAAACGCTTTGAATGTTAGTCAAGAATAAAAAACAAGCATATGTTTTCATTGGCTTCTCGCATTGCTGAAAACAAAAATGCTTTGAATTAATCGGAACCTGCCTTCAACCTACGAAAAAATAAACAACAACAGCAATTTCAATCACGAGTTTCCTCTCTATCGCTCAATCTTTCCTCTGATCCAATGTCACAGTAACTGTTGCTTACCAATTTCGGTTTACGGCAAAATGACGACTTTCGCCCGTAGATCGGAGATGATAGCAGAGTTTGGATGAAATTCTGAAATCAGAACCAAATGATTAATATCTCCACATACTCCTACGTAAAATTATATTGAAAGTATGATTTCATATGACGTCACGGCGACAATATTCATTTACCAAAACAATCAAATGGCGGCCGTATTAGTTGGATTTAAATTTTCAACTTGTGCTGACACACTCCTTTGTACCAAACTTTTTAACTCAATTTATCTAATAACTGCGAGATTCTGAGATTTTTTAAATCTTTATATTCCCCTTGATGACAATTAAAATAACTCATAATACCACTCAACTTTTGAGCTATTTTGGATTTTAAACTTTTAAACTTGCTCCTGAGTACAATAATTTCTCGTAATTTCGTATCCTCTCTTAGTTCGTACCTTACAGTATTGCAGTGCTTTATCAGCATTTTGCAGTGAAACTGGAGTAAGTAACCGCGTTACATTGTAAAACAAATCTTTGAATAGATCATGAAACAACCGGATATTCATGAAATCCCCGTTCTCTGCGGCGGTAGCCAGATCGTTTGACACATTCAGGAAGTTAGTATCGTTGAGATTTGCGAACTAAAGTGGAAAAGCAGTGTACATGTTAGTCTAAGAGCTCGTAGGAAATGAGCATTTGAAAAGATAATTTATAAAAATTCACATCATCGTCTTTGAACTGCAATATCTCATTCACATGACGATTTTTCCTCTTTGAAACCAATCTCAGTTTCTTTCTCAGTCATAAAGATTCCGCATGCAACTATCCCCCCCTGAACCTAGGGATGTTGCAATTATCCTGTAGTAGGTCAAGTTCGCTCTTCCGCTCCCATTTTGTTAAGCTTCACTGCCAGTTGCAGTCATGGATATTCCTGTTACACTGAACGAGTAAAATTTCTTGATTATTAACGCAATTGCTCTCGGATCCTTTGATCTGGAGCCTATATTTTAAATAGTTAAGGCTCGTGTTTTTACATAGATATAAAACTAGATAGGAACCTTTAAAGAAGCATGGATACAATCGTTTCGTGACTAGCCCTTGTTGCATGTTGGCATAATGGAACTTACTTTTTTCCTAAAAGTCTCCAACGTGGATTTTCTTTCACAAGTACATGTGCTCAAGTGTTGCCATTTGGTGGCAAATAAAGGCCAATAAACACATTTGCTTCCAAAAATCCCTAGTTAATGAAAATACAGATTGAATAGTCATATAAATAAGTTATTTACCGGGCAGGAGATCCATATGGGAGAAAACTGTGCCCGAGGTCTTGAGTACAACCTAAAGCCGAAGGGCACAGTTTTCTCCATACGGGCTAATGTAGACTGGTAAATAACTTTTTATTCTTTTCTGCCGATTTCACTTTTTAACGCTTTGTGACGAATGACCCGGAAAAACGTCTGGACCGCGGTCCGGACTGTATAAAACTAGACCAGTTTCGAGCACACGATTAGCCAATCAGATTCAAGAATTTAGGATTCCGACCCGTTGAATTGCCTTAGAGAACAACTGACATATTGCAAAAGAAAAGTGTAATCGTTTGTCCCACGATGTGGTCACTTCGGATGTGGATTGCGACATTTCGACAACATAGTGCTAGTCCTCTTTAGGCGACGAGGTCGATTGAGTAGGCGTCAACTATATACTAGTGTCGTTTTTTAGGCACTAGTATTGCCTGCAAGAAGAGATGATTATGATGAAACTGGTAGTACCTGTCCAAGATGAATTTGCGGCGGCACACGATTTAAGAGTTTCACTCCCGACTTGAGCTCTCAGCCAAACAAAACCATGTGACTCTTCAGCAGCGCAATAGTCTGAAAATAGGTCGTAGGTAACATTATAAAAAAAGGGAGGAAGAATTGTACTTGTTCATAAATAATTTAAATACACTTTCGTGTGCAAATAGTACGCAGGGAAATTTTTTAAACCACGTTTTTTTACGAATCCCTTTAGCCTCGCTGCAATTTAGTTCACGTGACGCTACCGTCTGTTTTCTGTTAAATTCTTCACCGACCATCTATTTTTCGATCGAGTTTCTGGTCATTTTACTTTTGAGTACATAATTTCTATTTCTATTCAATATCACAATGTTTATAGACGTAATTCCTTCTTTCGTGTCTCCTTTGTTTTACGCTGCTTTCACTTAAGATCCTCTCACACAAAATTTAGCAGCATCTCACAAAAATACCAAAGTGGATTTCAGATACTTACACTGACTGCAGTTTCGTTCGTCTGAGTGATCGTTACAATCTTTCTTGACATCACACCTGTCCCCAAGGGATCTTATCTCGTCACCACTCTCACACAGGAAAAGGTCGTCTTTTGATATTAAGGACAGCTCACGTAGTCCTGTAAGCAGATGACATACGAAAAAAAAAATTAAGAAACCATTCGTTAGGTCGAGAGAACAGGAGAGTGGAGGAAATTTTTGACCTAGGCGCCCGTAAAAGGCCTGAGTCTAGGTCGTGAAGACTTCTTTAATAGGCCGCTAAGCACTCAAGGTTTTCTTTCAGTGGATCAAGGCTGATAACAAGTTTGAATCTAATGAATTAAACCCACACCTGATATCGCTCCAGTACATGTCGTTTTACCGTTGGAAACATAACAGCCAGGCCTGACTTGCAAAGTAGAGCTGCTGCAGTAAAAGTCAACGCCATTTTCCTTCCAATGATCACCATCGTAATACAATTGGCCGTTCCACCTGCAAGCTGAGGGAGAAAACAAACAAATAAACAAACAAATAAACAAACAAGAAATCAAAACGGAAACAAAATCTAAACAATTGAAGGGGGAATGACGTTGACATCAAAGAGCCGAAGGATGATTAAAAATTTCGCCAAAATCAGGAGACGAACCTGGTCCAAAGGGGTGACCGAAATTCAAATCATATCAAAAGGAAACATTACCCTGTCCTTGAGAACAGATCAGTTAAGTGTTGTTGAAAAGTACACTTTAAGATAACTCGTATCCTCGAGGAAACGTATTCGGAAAGAATAGGGATACACTGTATTACCAATTGTAAAAAACTAACCTTTACATACTCCGTTGTTTTTCTTCATAAAATTCGCCACGTTACATTCAAACTGATCACAGTTCTCACTGAAATTTGGTTCGTTCAGGATCACGGCTGGTTTTTGTCCCCCAAGCTGGAGAAATGAGACCAGAAAGAGCTCCCTTTTGCAGCGAATCTTGCCCTGAGTACAGCTGCACTGAATACAACTGCCAACAGACCACGTGGCACCCTCGAAATACTGGATGGAGTCCTCATCGCGACAGGTGACCTCTGAAAGAAAGAATTCACAAATGTTATTTGAAAGAATGAAAGATATAGATAATTTTCAATAGGCGTCTTGAATAAGGGAGTAACAACCACCTGTTGCCTGTCACGTGACCACCTACTTCAAATGCGCATGACAAAAACAAAATCTTAAAAAGACAGATATAAAACAATTAAGCTTGAAAAAGCGTCAACACAGAAAAGTTATGAAATATTAAAGATGTTTTATGGTCAACAAGTATAATTCTAGGGAAGAGGAACAATGAAACTTAAAACTGTGATCATAAAAATGCTTTTTATGATCGGTTGTCGGACAGTACATAGTGATGGAAAAGTGATTTCAATGCGATTTATTTCCACAACGAGAGTAACTCAGAAATGCGTATGTTTATTTTGAATGTCAGTTTCGTTACCTGACGAACAATTCTGGACGTGAAAGTTCTTCAGGCAGTGACCAGCGTCGTTACAGTTCAAGCCATCTGACACAAGCTGACGGCCACCGCGACACAAAGTAAGGTTCGCTCTCAGTTGGTGTGCAATCTGCGGCAAGACTTTTATAAGGATAACAAAAGGGTCACCAAAATATACTAGATAGCGGGAAAAATTCGATCATTAGATATATATACACGTTTATGTTGTTTAACATTAAAATTGTCTAGAAGAAGAGATGTTGAATAAGGTTGTTAGAGAGATCAGAGAGTAAAATATTGATAGAAAAGTTCCCTAGCGAACACAAAACAGACCTGACAAGAACCGACAAAAAAGGAACGAAAAAGGAGGGTTTACGATGGCAAATTTTAGTGATGGTCAGAGAGGACAAAATTGAAAAATCCAGGCCAGATTTTTTTTCCAAAGAGCGTTTGGGAGGGGACCCAAAAAGCTAGCCCTTAACAAGGTCGTGTCGATAATTTTTCTTTTAAATCTTTCTTTTTCGCTCCCTAGGAACCAGTCATAATATTTACCTGACCCAACCCCCAATAAGGCTGTGTAATATCCTTATGCCCCCCCCCCACCCTCTTATTGACACTCAATTTTCTAAAGTCCTCCTCTTTACTATGCTGATGACGACCAATCTCCCCTTCGCTCAGTACCCCTGAAAATTATGTGATCCCCCAAAATCTCCTTCCCCTCCTCCAAAGTCATAAGAAATTACTGTTCACCCATGAATTTTTAATTTTTCTCCACAACGAAAGGACTCACATGTACCTCGGCAACACCCACCACCTTTAGTTGTACACTTGACCGAAGTGCTTACCTGGACACTCAGATGCACAGCACACAGCTCCATTGTAGACATAACATTCAGGTCTGGTCATAGCTGGACAAATGTTTAGCGGGTCAGCGTTGGCGCCAGGAAAGTAAAACTGACATCCGTCAGATTTCCATGTTTGGCCTTCTAGATAAACACCTTTATTCTGGATAAATTCCAAGCCTAATTGTAAGGAGCACAATTAAGATAAGTTACTTTAATTTCAAAAGCGAATGATTATGAAGGACCTGTCATGTAATGGTCTATTACAACAAAAAAAGAGGACAATTTCAAATCGCTAAAAGTAATAAAAATTATGGGAAAAACATATATAATCAAGTTTCGGGAGGGGAACTTGCAAGTAACTTATCAGAGATGAGCAACAAGATTTCTGTTTATTATGGTGAGTGGAGGGATTGCCGACCACCGAGTGAAGGGAGGCGTGCCAACTACTTTTGTCACTTATTTTAGCTCCCTAATACCTTCGCAATCATTTCCATTTTCTCGTATAAACTTGGCGACGTTGCATAAAGGTTGATTGCAGTCTTCATACTGCGTATAGATACCACTGAGATAGCCCGGGAAGTTTATTTTGAAGTGTCTGCTGCATGTCAGCAGCCCTCCTTTGCAGTAACACTTCATACATTGAGAAACTGGCCAACCGTTTTTATCTTTTATGAGATAGACACCGCCCTCATTGTCTCTACAAACGGCTGAAATAAAATATTAGAACATCAGGCATGTTCATTGTTGACTTCTTATGGTGATTTCAATTGTAAAATACTGAAAAAAAAAACATCAGAAAGGTAATGAGTATAGCTTTTAGAATAAGTGTTTTTACGCGTCCCTTAGGTGAAAAGATGCAGCAGTCAGACAAGGGCAATCGCAAAAGCTTATTAAAGTACGAAAAAAAGATTCGTGAAAAATCTCCTCCTAATCCCAAGAAAAAAACAAACAAACAAATAATATGGCAAATAAAAATGGATAGATTTAGGCATCCCCTGCAAATTATCATGATTACAGCAAAATACCATTTTCGCACTCGTTTTCGTCTGACTTATCCGGGCATTCATAAATCCTGTTGCACTGGTGACTTTTGTGAATAAAGGATCCCCGACTTGCACATTGGAACAGCCTTTCCTTTGTAGAGAGGTCATGATATGCTAACAATAGATAGAATAAGTAGATAATTATCGACCGACCAAGACGGCGGAGGGAAAAATATGTCGCAGTTTCACAGTTTCATTCATGTTCTTGGAAAATACAAAATAATCGTGTCAATACTGAGCCGGATGACTTCACTCCGACCGGCTTTCACAATGGTTTATATGGAATTGCATGCGCGGGGCCGTACGGTCATCTTATGAGAGATTCATTCTACTGTAATAATGTTCAGATACATTTGTGAAAAGGAAAACAAAAGATCAAGAGAGAGACACAAAGTAGACGTACATAACATCTCTCTCTTTCATTCTTTTGAAAAAGGCTTAGATATGTCGGAAAATATGATAATCCTTTTTTACTTGCTAAACATGACCATGGAAACGCATAAAACTATCGCACCAATCATAAATCATTATTACGCAAGTTAAATAACTCTATTTTTTTTAACTCACCTCTGCATGAACTTAGGGCACCCTCCGTTCTAGACATGACTTCACACCCTTCACAGGTTGGATATGAATTGACACTGTACAACCCATGAGTTATATTGACATGGTAACCAGTGCAGTTTATGCTACCAAGAATGCACGTGCAGTGCACGCAAGAACCGTTAGTCCACATTTCTTTATCCTTCCTAAAGTTTCCATTGCCATCCATGCAAACGGGCTGTTTTAAAGTAGTGCATGCTACCAAATTTCCTTGCTTACAGGTACAACTGATTGTTGGGCTCTGTAACCACTGGTCACCAGGATTTTTTGTGTTTCCATGGTTATCAGCGCACCTAAAAATCAACGTGCACTGGATGGAAAGTGGTGCGACGCATCGGCATAAATTAGAAGGAGTGGGCATCCATTCGTCACCGACGTTATAAGTGGTGCCGTCTGACGCCGTACAGGTTTGAGCTGACGTAAGTAACGAGTGACACGAAAAAAGTTCAGATGAGAAATTGCTATAAAATACCTTTTGTTATGGATTACAACAGTAAAATAAGTGTCTACATTTCTAGAATGCCAAGTCAAGCTGACATGCAAACCATGGAATTTCCTAGAAAATTCTATTAGGTCACGTAGTTATGATGTGATACCAATAAGACAGATGTATTTTAAGCTTCCAGAATGTTCTAGGATACCGTTTAAATGTGTGTAAAGACTCAGTCGTGTATTAGTTGTGAGCTGTTGTTGTCGGGAGTAACGGACTGTCTGGAAAGCTATATCGAGAGTGAGCTGATGTGGAAGATTGTCCATTTCGAAGGGATATGGGGACAACTGCCGGTGGGATTGTGTCAGTGATGGGCTTAGATATAGACTGTAGTAGACTTAAGTAAGTTTTTAAAGGAAAATTACGGTACTGCCTTTGGGAATCGCTCCTTATTAAGAACAGTTCACGTTGTTTGATAAAGAAGTTTAGTTTGTTGGATTGTAGTGTTATTTCTGTCGGTTAAATTCTACCGTAACACTAAACAAACAACACAGTCACAGCTTACAAGTTTGGTTTTAGTGATGTTCATAGTGTAAGTGAGTATCTTATAGCATTTTACCCACTGTACCCATTGTGCCCAATCTCTTTAATTTCAGTCGAATTTTTATAAGTATTAGTAGTGTGACTATGTGACAAAAAATTTTTAAGATAATACATTCGCTTTCATTGGTCGATTGGTAGGTTTAGAGGAGAGTATGTAAACGTGGTTGATGAATACAGACCAAGGAAATTACGTGTAATATCTCAATCAATGATTTTTATAACAACGACTTTCAGTGGGTAATATACAGTAATGCAAGTATTTTATGCGTTGCGTTGTTTGGTTAAAGCATAATTATAATTGTGTCAAAGAGAAAGAAAATTTCGCTGAAGACCCACCAAAGCTGATGGTTGGGAGCAATGAGAGATTTTGAGCTGTGAAAGAAAACAAAAATGAATCAATGAATAGATAAATTATCAAAAAGTTAATGATGATATTTGACTCTGTATGTTAATAACAACCCACACTCGGTTAAGAGTTAAGGAAGTTCTGCATTTGACTTGGGTAAAGTATGGAAGTATCGCCCCCAAAACAACGTCTTTGTGCAATGTAACTCAATTGTACATCATCCAATTACAAAATTATTGGGGAGAATTATTGGGGAGGGGGGGGGGTCGGGAGACTTAGGGGACCCCATGGTTTTCAGGGCGAAAAGAGGGGGAATCAGGCATCGCCGGCTGAGTATAAAGAGGAAAATATAGAAAAAGTGACTGCTAATTAGCTACCAATAAGGGTTATCATAAGAATCTTAGAATCTACAAATAATGAGCGTTCAAGTAGAGAGCCAGATTTTTCTTAATCCCTCACCCACGTCAAATGAATAACAATCTCTCTTATTCGACCACCAAGTACTTAATTTAACACCAGTCATCTAGCTATGAGAAGCTCATTATTTGGTAAAATCTCTGATTACAAATTACAGCGATGTTCCTGTTTCCCTGTTTCTTTAAAAATGTTTCTCTATTCAGTATTAGTTTCTGAGCCCTACCTGTTGCCTTTGAGAAAATGACCAGCATGATAAATCCGAAAATATGTCTTGTTAAGTCTTCCATATTAAGCTCAATTTTTGTCCTCTAAATATGGGAAATAAAACAAATTTACTACAACCTAACTAAAAAACAATCATAGAAGATATAAAAATATACGTAGAGGCTGTTTGTCTCTCAAATTTCACGATGGCTGTTACAAAAATACGAAAAGATGACACTTTGAAAACGTGATATTCTTTTTCATCTTTTTCCGGAAGGAAAACGAGTTTGATAATAATTAAGTAAATAAGATTCTTTATTTAATCACGATGAGAGTGAAAACATTATTTCATGCTTGAGGGGTCTTGTGTAACTACCTGATACCTAAGTAACCTGCAAGTGAAAGTAGTTAAAGTATATCAAATAAATAATCGAACTGTAAAGTAGATACATGACAATGCAAAATGTACTTTTATAATTTAAGATAATCTAAAATTAAAAATAAAAAACTCGCCACCGACTGTGCGTGGGTTGAGCTGGTAAATTTGATTTCCCTAAATGTGGGATTAGATTTCTCCTTTCCATAACATGGCTTAAAACTACAAGAGTCTTTTAAATAATCGGAGACAAAATTCCAAAATACAGCGCCTCTATAACGAATGAAATTGACTTGATAACTTCCGCTCAAGTTTTTGAAACGGCTATCACTTCAGCCATACAGTAGTGTTTATTGGTCTTCATGATCAGTTGATATAATGATTTTAATATTTGATCGTTTCATTTGTTCGATTCAGGCAATTAAAAAAGGAGAATGTAGTGACAGTACGCATGTGAGTATGAGAATTTGAACTTAGGATTTATATAAATGAAGATGAGAGAGTTCATCACAGTTATGAACACAACAAAGCAGTAGCAAAGCACATCAGAGGACAGTGTAGTTCATCAAGTCAAGTTTACCAGATGCCTTGGTATTGAATCAGACGATGAACTTAATTGGAAGATTCACTTTGCCGAACGAATCTATTCTTGTCCCCGGAAACTGAAGGTTTTTGAGGTCATTCTTTTTTACCTGCCATATCTCAAAATCATTGTCTCCTCTGTGACCGATATGTTAATCCTATTGAATACCTGTGACTAACCCTCTTGGACAAACTTGAAAAAATATTACATAATCTTGTCAGTTACGTATATCATTAGTGTAATATGACTCGACTAGTCTGTCTCTCTCTGTCTCTCTCTCCCTCTCTCTCTCTCTATCGCATGTATGTGATTATGGCGATTTCTTACTAACAAAAAGGGTACACTTCAAAAAAAATGCATGACCGTGCCGTTAGGATAATTTACAAATTAGACTGGTATAAAACTACCGATAAGGTGCCAGTTCATACCAACTGGTCTTGTTGTATGATTTGATCAATTTAAGATTGCTAATTTTGGCCCGTAAATGTTTTCATAGAACATAGCTACATTCTCTATCCAAAAATATTTGAAGAACTATATTTTTAAATACAATTTACGTGGAATACTGACCATTGAGGCAACGCGTTCGAAAACAGGACTCCGTCGTAAATCTACTTGCTACAAATCAATAAGCTTTAATAATTTTCTGAATATGCAATCAATGGAGCTATATATCCAATACAAAGGAATTTAAGAATAAACTTATCATTTAGATTTCTGAAAAAGTTCAATTCCATTGTTTTAAGATAATTTTCTATTGTCTCATTGATGAATGTCTTAGGATTATTTGATTTTGAAAGGCTCTTGTAAATTTTATCCCTTCTATAGTTGTAGATGTCAACACGTTAAAAAACAAAAGATTCCACGCATGCGCTTTAGAAACTTTGGGATTATCTGCTACTAATCCTGAACGATCCCAAGTTTTAGTCTCCGGCCTTCTTCTTAACGCTTTGGTAATATTATTTGCATCCTGTAACATTCTCTGAGTTTTTTAAAACTTCAGGAGTAGCTGCGGTCATATATGCTATGATCAAAAGAGAGCAAACCCAGGTACTGCGTAAGAGATGTACACTAAGCTTTATGAGATTCTGGGATATAGGTTTCTTCTTTGGTAAATTCAGCATTTTCTGTTAATTTCATTCCTTTTCTAATTTTTCTCTACTTTGTATTTGTAATCCATGTTATATAATGATAAATATGATAGATAATATAATGTTAGCAGCACGGCAATCGTTATAGGTCCTCCTGGTCTAAATTTTCTCAACCAGTGGATTAAAATTATAGTTGATGAATATTCTGAAATGAATATCCTGAAATAAATATACATAAATTTGTCTTCGCACTTGTTTCACCAGCTTCAGTTTGATTTTTTTTTTCTAAAACGTTCCAACAACCTTCTAATTCTTAGTCCAGAAGACGCAGAAATTCGACCCAGCAAGACGGAGACATCACTGCACCGAAACTGCTCAAATTTCGGACCATACAATGTTATTGTAATATATATATATATAATTAATGTCATCCTAAAGCTTAAAGTGTTATCTTGAATCTTTTCATGAATGTTAAATGACCTAGTTTATTCTTATCTTACACATAAGACTTGACTTCAAGATTTATATTCACTATTCATTTCCATAGCTTTCACGATTTTTGCGAGAAGGAAAGAGATTCAAAGACTTAGCTAATAAAGAATTTTAATAATCTCATTTTCAGCAATCTGCTCTTCGTCAGCAAAAAGAGCTGTTCTTGGGAGGTGCTGCTGATTCTTAATGTCTGAAGGCCAAGCCATTTTTCTTGAAAACAAACTTGTTTTCGCATAACATTGTCTTGTGATGAGAGTTAATGGTAAAAGTGCTTCTTGTACAAAATATTCAGATTTATTTTCAGGAATCTTTTTTTTTCGCGATGAAAAATTTCAAGTCTGAGTAGCTTTCGTCATTTTACTCGAATTTTAAAATTATATCTCCAATAATTGTTATCGTATGCGTTTCTGTTTTCGGCTTTTAGCTACTTAGTTTTTACTTACCTTCAGAATTAACAATCCACCTCTGCAAAGAGAAAAATTAAAGTGCTTCACACTTTTAAACTTAATTTAGTTTATTTGCTTCTCGGCTTCTCGGCTTCTCGGCTTCTCGGCTTCTCGGCTTCACTGCTCCAACAGAGAAATTGAAGTTTACTTTGAGCACGTAACCAGGATCTAACACACAAATTATTACTGTGTGATGAATGGTTTCTAGCACACTGTTTTGCATGTTAATTAACGTTGTGTTCATTTAATGATATTTAATTAGGGAGGTTGTCAGTCATGCAGTTTTTAGTAAAAGAATTTACTCGGACCGTTAGTTTCACTTATGAAGACTTATCATAAAAAAACAAAGATTTTGCCTTTTTTTTTTTGTTCGTTCTGTATCGTTGTGCTTTTTTTCGCGATTTTTAAT